GGGCTGGGGGTTGTGGGTTGTGGGTTGTTGCAGTGAGGAATGGAAGGTTCCCCCTTATCTTACCCAAGCCAGTTCCCGTCAGTATTCCAAGCCGTTAACGCACCACTTGAACGCGTTGAGCGGAGTGTCAACCCTTCTTCAATCATTCAGATTCTTTACAAGTTAAATAGGTCCTTCCATTTAAGGTAAGTATACCACGAATAAGCTGCTCATTTTGAATGAGACGTTCACTCTCCGCTCTAGAGCCATTTGTTCCTACGAGTGGAAATTTCCCATCTTATATTGTGAGGCGATCATGAACGTAGCCTGAACACTGCGTTAACCGCTCTTGTGACCCCCCACCCCTTCTTTCCGTAGGTAACGGATGGTGAGACAACGACAGGCCCCATGTAATAACCAACTTGAAGTAACGAGTGGCATCCCCTCAACAACAAAGCCCGAAAGTAGCAGTGTAGCACCTTGGAAGAAACCCAAATTCCTGTCAACCTCCCGGACCGTCTGCACTTCTTCATTGCTAAGTTGTTCCATTGAGGAGGTGCATGAAATAACTAGTAGCTAATCAAAGACTTGGGCTCGCACAACTGTATCAGGTGAGAAAAGAGGATCCCGGGATATCGCAGCAACTCTATCTTCATCCTTAACCCGTGAAACAGATCCCCACACTGCCAGGGCCGCCGGGGAAGAAGCAGGCAAAACAGCCCACCGGGATACAGTCCGTGAGGGAATTACAGGTTGCGGGGCAAGGAGCGGGCTGACGACCATTGAGCAGCTCCGACAGATCTCGTGAGACCCTGGGAGGAGAAGTGGCACCAGTGGAATAATCGGGATGCGGGAGATTGAGGGGGTTCCCTGGCGTGAGTATCGCATTCGCATCGGTGATAAGGCGGCCATCGATGTCTGGGTGCTCCAAGAGGTATTGTATGCCAAGGGCTACATCGACGCCGAGGGAACGAGCCTGACGCGCCAGGCCGGTGGCCAGTTCTTGGACTTGGTCCGGGTCCAACTGACGGTAATCGACCACGCTGATGTTGGGGGCGAAGCTCCGCAGGACACCATCTACGCCCAGGACAAAGACGCCTTGAGGATCGTAGCTGATGTTTGCTGATGCCTCATGAGCTGAGCCTGGAACATAGCGGAGGGCTGGGGGCTCTGTCTTGCTCTCGGGCAAGACAGGGGTGCCCAGGACCTAAGACAAGTCAGTCATGGTTGGTAGGAAGTTAGGTTTGAAGAGGGCAAGGACAGTATTCACCTGACATGCCCACAGGCAGACAAGGACAAGATGAGCGAAGAGGAACATGGCGGGAAGAGAGGACGGATGTCTGTGAAAGGAGTCAGTAGCGGGCGCAGTTGGAAGATCAATGTGCAAAATGTGTAGGACTGGGAACTTGAGAGCCTACATATAAAGCTAAGCTCAGAGTTGAACGCGGGAATTCAGCTGCCTTTTATACCTGATGCCCAACGCATTCTTTGGGAACTTCTCACTTGGTATATGCGTTGGCCCTCTTATCGAGTTCCCGCCAAGTGGTTTCATTGGAATCAAGTCCGAGTCCCGCATCCCAATCACCTGCAGGCCGGATGGCTTCGTCGGCTTACATGCGTATCTACACCTGCTGCGCCGGGGCAAGATCGGCAGACAGGTCCCATTCCATTATCCCCATTTCCACAATATCAATTGGCCTCTCTGCTCTCAGCATGACCGGTCTGACCGGTCAGCCCGGTCAGCGGAGACACCAACACGCTCCGGGCCCCAACTATGGCAGCAACGTGCCCATAGACGGTTGATATCCCGGAATCCACGACCCAGGCACCAAGGACTCCTTCGTAGCCATCTTATTCTATATTAGCAAGCCTGGCTGACCGCTGAAGTGTGATGCTATAGCTATCGTGGACTGGATCCACTGGGTCACTCTGGGTAGGTGTAGGTGAGGTGCTCACTAGTACTTTGTAGTTGTCCCCGAAGGTGGAGATACAGGACCTCAGAGAACTGCATGTGAGGGAAGGTCTGTAGCCAACCAGTAGCTCCACCAGTGCCGCGAACATATTGCTCAGGCGATGGTCCGGATAGGATAATAACCTCCTGGTCTCCCGGAAGCGGGGTCACGGCTGCCCTCAGATGAGCCGGAAGGTCCGGATGGAGCGGATGTTCTGCCTGACTGGCAGGGAGACGCAGAAGTGTGGTGGCCAGCTTGAATTCGAGCGGGTCCGGACCGTTGGCAAGCAATGCTCTCCTTCCCGCGTCCGTCTGGAAAAACCGCAGGATGGCCTGCTCGGTAGCCGTGTCGACGCTGCCAACAAACCACACCCAGTTCACCTCGTTGGGGGGCAAATCGATCCTCTCTAGGGTGATGGAGAGGGCAGCCGGGGCAAAGCCAAGCTCCTGGGCAACGAAGGAGAGAAGCTCGTGTCCATAGCGGCGGACCTGGTCGCAAAATCTTGACTGGATGGCAGGATCCATGTTCACGATGCAGGACGGGCTGATGTTTTCGACAATGGCATTTTTCAGCGAAAGGGAGTGCGAAGACGTTGCGAGGTTGCAAAGAAGTGATATTCCCGTCGGGGGCAAGTGCGACCCTGATAGGCAGGTAGGTAAACGGTGTGGGCCCAGGCACCATATATTTCCCTATCTCCCTGACCCTGACAAAATGCCCCTGTAGCAAGAGTACAGTCAGCAGTGCTGACTGCATCCCGATCTCAACTTCCTGTTATGTACACTCGGTCGAGTCGGTCCTTGAACTTGGCTACGCCCTTGATCGCGTTCCCCCTCGCATTCCATCTCGCACTCCCTCTCCCGACATTTCCATCATCCGGAACCTCTCGCACGGTGACGTGCTCAAGATGAGGAAACATAAGTACCTAGGGAATACTCCGTACATTATACTGATTATCATGTATCATGTTATTAAATATGGAGCTAGTATACTTTTAGTCTTACACTGAACGGAACCGCACAGGAGTGGAAAGGTGCCGACATATTCCCTTTGCCGCTGGCCTCATGCTTTCAATCCCTAGGCACTTATCGGCCCCGTTACCGCCCATCAACGAGTTTCCACGTGTGCTCAGCTATCCTTTGCATCTGCTCTTCTGTCCAGATTGCCTTGTTTCCGATCAAGCGGCCCTTATTGTCAATGTTGCTCCAGAATCTACCGTGATCATTGCCTTCCGCTGCAGACTTGGACACTCCATTCAGCAGATTGTTGGCACAAGTCTCTGGCGAAACAGCGATAAGGCTTCCCAGAGCCCATGCCGGAGCCCGTAAATACCAGGGCAAGTCTCTGAGAATGCCCGTCTTGACACCGCCGGGGTACGCATGCACAAAGTGTCGTGTATGATGGATGCCCTGCTGGCGCTGCTGGGCCGCCCACCACTGAATCATGGCGTCGTTCATGATCATGCAGTGGTTCGCTGCGTTTCCGAGGCTGAAATTCCTCTTCAGGTCGAGATCGTCCCAGTTGAGTTTGTCTGGGTTGCCGTATTTGCCGTCAAAGACTATGACCACCTTGGCGTCGTCTTTTAGTGCCGGGAGCAGCTCCCGGATCAGCAGCTGCTTGCCGTAGTAGTGCACGGCCATCTTGCGGTCGATACCCTCCGGTGTCTCGGTCCGTCCGGCCATGGTCATGATGCCTTGTGTCATGATGAGCAGGTCGAGCTGCTGCTGCTGGGCCGATTGCTTGAAGGCGTTTGCATACTGCTTGATTTGCTGCATCGACGATGCGTCCAGGGGGCGGAACTCAATGTTGGGATGTGGGATGCTCTGGGGCTTTGTACGGCCGCTGATGATGACTGATGATTTTGCTTCCGAGGCAATGCGGCATGCCATCGCGTAGCCGATACCGTTGGTACCTCCAACCACTAAGGCTCGTACGGCCATCTCGAAGGGATTGAAGAGTTAGGTGGAAGATCAAGAGCGGGTTCAATCCATCCGATGATCCGAGACCTAGATGCAGGATTTAGCAGCCAGGAGAATGTTGCTATGACGTGCAAATTGGCAAGAATTCATGGGAAGCTGTTATAGAAGGGTCAATTTTACTGTATATGTAGGTGAGATGGAGAGTTGAATTGGACTTGCGAACCCTTCACTGCCTTCAGAGTTAAGAGCGACGTAGGTGTGGTTGCCTAGGAGCTGAGCAAACGGAATTTTCAGGCTCGGTTATCCACTTCTGGATTTCATTGCAAACGTGCAGTCACAACCCGCAAGGTCGCTCGATTCATGGATATTTCACACTGCATTTCGAATCCGAGGATCGCAAAGAAACATACTTAGATCACAGAACCCCGGACAAGGACATTGAAGCAGCTTTTCTCGAGGTAAGGCGCGATGGGACATTGTCGACACATGGTGCATATTTAATAATCACGGTCCTCTGCAACCGGAATTAGTGGAACCAACTGGGAGACTCGGAGCCGGAGTTAAAGCGGCAGCCGGGATATGTGGGTCCACACTCCGGCTCACCCTGGTACTTTCAAAACATCATCCACAAAGACGACCTGCCCCGTGGCGATCGACTTGTTCGCAGCAATGCCTGTTAGGATCGATGCGGCCCCATCGACATGACTCGCCGCGCGCATGTACTCGTCCGTTACAGGCTCGCCAAAGAGATCCTGCAGCAGCACATTGTCACCGCCGCCGTGCGCCCCCTTGCTCTCGTCAATCGGGATTTCCCTCGGTGGTTCAAAGAGCGGTCTCAGGAGGATAGACCTCCTCTCAATAGAACCCTCCAACGACTGATCGCCCCCCGAGTTCACGTAGCTGTTCTCCACCACTTCCATCTCCAACCTGCCCCCCGTCCCGTTGAAGTTGACCCGGAACCCCTCCCAAGGCGCGTACGCCGTCAGGGAGTAGGTCATGACGGCCCCGTTGCGGTATTTGACCAGCACATTCATGGTGTCCTCGATGGTGATGCCGTCGCCGAAGACGCTCTGGTCGCGGTAGTAGCCGTCCTCGTGCTCGGCGTCGAGATACAGCGCCTTGAGCGTGGGGATGGTCTCGAGGTGCAGCGCAAACGGGTCCCCTTTTGCAACCTCGCTGCCGTGGGCGCGGCTGTAGAACCCCGTCACGCCGCGCCGCTCGGCGTTCTCCCTGCCGTAGAACCTGAGGTCGCCCTGGGCGTAGACGGACAGGGGTCGCGTCTGCAGCCAAAAATTGACCAGGTCAAAGTGGTGCGTGGCCTTGTGCACCAGCAGGCCGCCGCTGTTGCGCTTGTCGCGGTGCCAGCGGCGGAAGTAGTCGGCGCCGTGCGACGTGTTGAGCAGCCACTCAAAGTGCACCGACGTGACGGTGCCGATGGCCCCCGACCGCAGCAGCTCGTACACCTTGGTGTTGTGCGGCGCGTACCGGTAGTTGAAGGTGACGCGGACTGATCGTCCAGTGCGCTCGACGGCCGAGAAGATGTCCTCGCACCGCGCCGCGTCGATGGTCATGGGCTTCTCTGTCACCACATTGCAGCCCAAATCCAGCGCGCGCACAATGTAGATGTGGTGTGTGCGGTCGATGGTCGTGACGATCACCTCGTCCGGCTTGGTAACCGAGATCATCTTGTCAAAGTCGGCCGCGAGAAAGGTCGGGACGGGGTCGTGGCCGAGGGTCTGCAGCCGGCTGTTGGCGTAGTTCATGCGCGTCTGGTTGGTGTCGCAAAAGGCCACGATGCACGACGTCGCCCGGTAGTCGGTTGCGATGGCCGTGTAGAAGAAGCTGGACCGCCCGCCCGTGCCCACGAGGGCGTACCGCTTTTTCGTGGCCATGGTGGCAGAAGGACACTAGAAGCTACGAAAAGGCCCTCGGGGTGTTTCGGTGATGAGACCCCTAGATAACCTAAGGTCAAGGTACTAATGCTTCGGAGTCAACCCTTCATGCCACATGTTGATGAGGTGGGCTCAGTTGACGAGATGATCAACTGTAGCTCGGGTGACAAACTCTGCCTCGGCCGGAGATGTCCCAGGTCCCGACACTTAGCCTTAACCCGACTGGGGCCGGCGCCGATCCCCCACATGCGGGGAATTTTAGTTGTTTGCGGGGGTGGAGAGCAATAGGAAAGCTTATTCTATCTCCTTCAACCTCGTGCGAGACTTTGATAATTGATTCAATGTCATTATAATGCGTTGATAGTATGCAGGTATAATAGGTACTTAGGCAGATACTAGTTGGGCGGGAGATGCCGATTGAAGGTTACAGTAAATAGTACCCCTTTTACCCCTTTTTGCCCCTTTTTTTAATTTTTTTTTGGTTGTTTTGTCCTTCTCCTTCCTCAGTCTCTCTGCCTTATTCTCCCCCACATTCAGCCTGAATTACCCCAATCAATACCACAGGAGAGGAACTCGGGTTGAAAATCAGCAATGAAGATGCAGGTGAGTTGCAACGGGTGCAGGTCACACATCCTACCGGGCGGATGGATGGATCCCGAAATCCATGTGACCTGATCCTCTGCCGCTGTTAACACGAGCAGCTGGCTTCAATTGCCAATGATGGCCATTCTGTTCGGGATAGAAAGTAGCGACCGACTGGGCCTTGTGCCCTTGTTGTTCCATCAGTAAAATTTCTCGCGGCATGCATGCGTGTGATGTCTGATGTTTGGTTATTGTGCTTAACCCTTCTTATCTGAGAGATTCAAGACTTGCGGGCCCGATTGTGAGCCTTGATTCTCCAATCTCTGTAGGTATTGCTGCTTCTCTCGCGAACCTTACAAACACCTGGCGTCATGGGTGGTTCGGAGGGAAAGGCAGACGCGGCACAGCATGAGAATGGGGATGGGATCACTCCTGTCTCCAACAGTAACGCAGCTCCTAGGAACGAACTTCGAGACAAAGCAACCGAGTTCCTCGAGGCCCATGCCGCCGGTGACAGCTCCTTCACATACGAGGAGGAGAGGGCCGTGTTACGGCGGATTGACATGCGCATTCTACCCCTGATTCTTGGGGCGTACTTCTTTCAGCAGCTGGACAAGAGTTCGCTGAGGTGAGAACAACGAACACAGTAATGGTGTTTCCTCGGAGTGATGAGCTGATGGAGCCCACAACAACAGTTACGTGTCAATCTTTGGCATTAGCCAGGATGCCAAGCTGGTCGGCCAGCAGTACTCCTGGCTCGGCTCGATCTTGTACCTGGCTCAGCTGATAATGCAGCCGCTTGCCGCCTTTATTCTCGTCAAGTTGCCCACGGGCAAGGTTATCGCGAGCGCCATTTTCTTGTGGGGTGCCTCCCTAGCCATCATGTCCGCGTGCACAAACTTTGCTTCGCTACTGGGGCTGCGCTTCCTTCTCGGCTCATTCGAGGCCATGATTGCGCCCAGCTGCGTCGCCGTCACACAGATGTGGTGGCGCCGGAGCGAGCAGACGATGCGGACGAGCTACTGGAACGCTATGAATGGCATTACGGCCATTGTGGGTAGTTTGTTTACCTACGGGCTGGGTCATATTGAGAGCAGGGTGATGTTCAAGTACCAGATTATCTTCTTGTTCTGTGGCTTGTTGACTGTGGTGTACTCAGCGATTGTCTTTATCTTCATGCCCGACTCGCCTATGGAGGCCAAATATCTCACCGAGAGAGAGAAAGTGATTGCTGTGGAGAGATTGCGGGCAAATCAGATGGGGGTCGCGTCGAGGGAATGGCGATGGGACCATGTTTGGGAGACTCTGTTAGATCTCAAGACGTGGTGCTGGTTTGTGGCGATTGTGGCCATCTCGTATGTTCCCTGCTTTGTGGTCATAGCCAACCTAACTGAAGATGTTCGCTAACGGATCCATTGGATTCCAGCATTGCAAGCGGCGGCATTGGGACCTTTGGCAGTCTCATTGTCAAGGATTTTGGCTACACGAATTTCGAGGCCATCTTGTTCAACATCCCCTTTGGGGCCATTCAATTCATAGTCATCATTGGGTCCGGCTGGGTGGCAACGCACTTCCAGCACAAGGGTCTTACCATCACGGCCGTCAGCGTACTGCCTGTGGTTGGAACCATTCTCATGCTGTCTGTCTCCAGAGAGCACAAGGGTGTTTTGCTCTTTGGCTACTACCTAGTAAGCCTGCTTCCCGGACTTGAGATCGTTTTTTCCTTTAGTAGTAGCAACTAATGCGTGCATAGGTATCTTGCATGGCGGCCATCACACCCCTGATCTACGCCTGGCAGGCGCAAAACACAGGTGGTGACACCAAGAAAAAGTGCACGTCAGCTGTGGTCTTTGTTGGGATGTGCACGGGCAATGTCATCGGCCCGCAGCTGTATTCGGAAGATCAGAAGCCTCTCTATCGTTCGGGACTCATCTCCAATCTCATCATGTTTGCTCTGGTTGGCGGCATCTCGGCGTATGGTGCTCCCAAACCAAAAGTGTCATACAAGAAGTTTGCTAATAGTGTCACACTCCAGTATCATCCCAGTTTACCTCATGTTCCTCAACCGACAGCACGCCAAGCGGCGAGAGGAGCTTGGCAAGAGTGCGGTTCTCGTGGATGAGTCAATGATAGGCAACAATCAAATGGAAAGCAGCAAGGCTGGAGAGCTTGAAGACGGCGCGGCTGGCGGACACAGGAGGGTTAAGGCTCTCGATGAAGACAATGCCCTGCGAGACATGACCGATTTAAGGAATGAAGACTTTATATATGTGTATTGAAGCAGAGACTTGGATACCACTGGTATTTCCATGAATTAATAAAACTAAGGTGCTGGTTGCTGCTTCCCTTTCTCCCCGAAACTGAACCCATCGTGCGGTTGACAACTGGAAGGAACAGTAAGCCTTGTAGGTACTAGCACCTGAGGTAAAGAGACACCTTGACAGTTTTTTGCAAACTGTACATGGTACCTACGGTAGGTAACCATCTGAATACCTTCCCAAGGCACACAACAATCCGTCATAATCCGTTCATGTGCAAAGTATGTGCAGCCTTAACGCAAGCCGCCGGAGGCAAAATACTTACCTAGGTAGGTGAGAATGGATGGTTTGTCTTCTGCGCCTACCTATTTATGGACGAGTATCCTCCACAAGCTGACGATGGCTGACCGGAAGGAAGCATCAATGTGTGCCTGCCATTCTCGTGGCTTTTCCTTTTGTCATTGAGCTGATTGCCTTCAATCCATGATTAATTCCGTGCAGATTGATTACACGTAACTAACACATTGCCTTCATATACATATACTAGTTGTCTTCACACCTCCTTTGACATCCATCAACACCTTCGTACCCAGATTCTGGGGGTCGTCACTCACAGCACAATCTAGTTTCTCAACTGACTGCCTATTCTACGATTTTCAGTTCTTTCAGCTTTACAACTATCATAGGTAAGTCGTCGTCATCAACCTGAGCAGCAATTGCACAGGTACCTACCTGCATCCCTATATAGTCATACTTCGAAACTATGGGATCCCTGATAGAGAGGATCGCGATATATCTCCGGGGCGTCGACAACGGCTTGCTCCCATTCTCCTCCCTCTTTTGGAGGATCTGGACACCGCCCATTGGCCGCGGAGAGCGCTACCACTTCGAGGACTTTTTCGACGGCTACGACGGGGATATGCTATGGTCCATCGTCCCCCGTTCCTGGGCAACCGACGTTTGCTCCCCATTTTGAAGAAGATACCCTACCTGGATGTTGAGGACGTCAGGCGACCGTGGGAGGAGATGCCGGCCGAGCAGCGCCAACAGCGCGAGGAGTTCGTCATCGAGTCGACCATGGCCGCCTACCACAGTGATAAAGCCTTTTACACCCGCGATGCCATACGCCAGCTAGAGGAGCAGCTGCAGGCTGCCGAGCGGCCCAGAAACAGACCCGAATGGCGGCACAGGCTGCTTGATCGATGCTGGACCCCCAACAGAGCGTGGGTCAAGATCACTGATCTCGATGGCATCGTGCACCACAGAAGTGTCTGGATCCCAGGCATTGTTACACGAGATGGTGATGGTCATGCCTCGCGCAATGGGCGTACGCACATCAGATTCCGCACCATCCAGGAACTTACCATGCCCGACCCCGACTCCGACCCAGCTCGCGAGCCGTTTGTGTCCGACCAGCGGACATCCTCAGTAGCCTACACCCCAATTACCACAGTCTACCGCCTACACGAAGACGACATGGATGACAAGCTCACTGTTGGTGATGCCATCTTTGAGCAAGTGACTCTAGACGAGATGCAAGATCTACTCTCGCAATACAGGCAGTTCATCTCGCAGTCGAGTGAATGGCAGTCAATGGTCAGCTCGCTGGGTGCCACAAGGCAGTCTCTCAAGAGCGTTGACAATATTGTCTTCTTTTACGCCCTGGGCATGAGCGACGATTCCCTAGCTTGCAAGCGGGCATTATTCATGCTTGCCGTTGTCACGCATCTACGCGATCTCGTTGGCAGGCCGATCCCCATCTACGTGCCAGCATATGATCGCTTCCGGAAATGGAACGACGACGAGAAACAGCTCTTGCATGATAACTCGGTCATCTTGGTCGAGGCTAACGGCGAGCTCTTTCTCAAGATAAACGAGAATGCCGCTGTCGTCTCGTACCGCAACTGGAACCCGGTCAAGCAGGTGGTTGCCGACATGCGAAGCCAGCCGTGCTAATCTGCACCCCTGTATCGGAAGATGCGGACCAGGACTTTGCATACACGGTTGAGGAGCGTGATGGGCAGGCCGTAAAAGTTCCCAAGGTTGGGGCGCGCAACGTTCAATTCGGTAGTTCCCTGCGCATGCGGGACTAGGACTCCCCTAGGATCAGGAGACTACTGTCGAGGGACTATGACGGGTTCGCGTTGCCAGAGCTGCCTGGCCCGAACGTTCAAATGGCAGAGACGGATGATGGTTTTATACACGACCCGGCCATTATGATGTGTTATGTGCGGAAGGATGATGTCTGTTTCAAGGTTGAGTATCACTGATACCGCAAGGACACTTTCATGACATGGAGCTCCATGATGGATGCAGTGACTGGGACGGAGTTTCAATACCCCATTTCTATGAATAGGTACATAAGGTACCCGGATTGGAGTTAATACTGCTTTCAATACGTATTGCATGTATTCTGAGGTGCCCAAATAAGATCTGGTGCGGGCCACATACCTACGTTGTTGAAGGATATCTGGTGTCCAGCCTGAGCCAAGATAGGTGTCCCGGCCTCCCGGCGAGAAAAAGGGGCATCCATCAGCATTGTCGGCTCCCATTTATACCATGTTGGGGCCTAGACTACCTAGGTAGGTAGTCTACACGTCGCATCTAATCAAATGTCTGAGTTATAGTACTTGTGAACAAAACGTTTATCTCCCAAGCCCAACTGATTGTCCCCATTGGAGCCCGGGCTGGTGCCACCCACCTAGTATTGCCGGTATCCTCAGCCGAGAATTGTGATTCCAGGGACGCCCTATATTTCCGGAACTGCACCGCCGGCTGATACGTTTACTAGCTTGGCTATCACCATTTCCCCTTCAAGCTCGCGGAGCTAAGGCTAGGCAAATCTATCGGTTGAGGCAGACAACTGGAGGGTTACAATGGGCGCGGATCGCATTCATGATGACTGATATTGACCATGGTAGATATGGATAGACTCCAGCCAGCAACTCCTCAGAACTCTCTACACCTAAATTCATGATACGCCCCTTTTCTAGTTCGGTTCTGTTGTAGCGTTGTGGACGTGGCATGCTCTCCACGGCGAGATCTTCGTTCCTTCCAGAAATGGGGACCTTAAAGCAATTGCTCCTCCTTTGGAGCAACCCAATTGTCATTGCCTATAGCTTTCTTGCAGTCAACAGCGCCTTCAGCAAGACCATCACCGACAACCTTAACCTACTATCACCCCCAACTCACAATGTCAACCACTCACCAGCGTTAGCACACGCAGACACCCCAACCTTCCCAAGCTTCCTGCCTCCCCCGTCCCTCGACGCATGGTACTCCCCGCCTGCGGGCTGGGAATCAACCGCACCCGGCACAGTACTCCGCATCCGGCCGCACGCCTACCCAACCATCAACATCAGGCACTGCCGCGACACCTTCCAGCTGCTCTACCGCTCCTCCGACACGCACGGCAACCCAAGCTGGGCGGTGACCACCGTCTTTGTGCCCTCCTCCCATCCTGCAAAACCTAACAACAACAACACCACCACCACCACCACCACCACCACCAGCAGCAGCAGCAGTAACAGCAACAGCACAAACCCAGGACATGAAGTCATACGAGTAGTCTCGTACCAAGTCCCAAGCGACTCCGTCTCGCCCGACGCGGCACCGTCCTACCTCCTACAGGCGCTCGAACCGTACGGCGAAATGCGCGACCTGCTCGCGCGGGGGTGGTTTGTCGCGGTGCCGGATTACGAAGGACCCCAGGCAAGCTACTGCGCGGGCAAACAGGCCGGGTACGCGACGCTGGACGGGATCCGGGCGGTGCGCGACGCCGCGGCAAGCTTCCCACTCCTCCGCGACGAGTTTAACCTCCACTCCAATAGCACCATGCGCGCCGCTATCTGGGGGTACTCAGGCGGCGGGTTCGCGGGTGGGTTCGCCATGGAGCTGGTTTCGGCGTACGCGCCCGACTTGATTCCAGTTCCCCACGGGCAGGACGGGAACGGGAATGAGGGTGGGGTGCTTGTTGGCGCCGCAGTGGGCGGGCCGAGTCCGAACCTCACGACCGTTTTTCAAGCCATGAACGGGCGTGACACGGCCGGGCTGGCGCTGGCGTCCCTTGTGGGCGTCACCATGCAGTGGCCTGAAGTGAGGAGCTTCATGCTCTCGCGGTTGAAGCAGGCCGGACCGTACAATGCCACGGGATTCCTGGCCGTGGAGAAGATGTCAGGAGTGCAGGCGCTGATGGCGTACTCCAAGCATGATGTGTACGGGTACTTTGAGGGCGGGGAGAGGGATGTTTGGGACCCGGTGATGCAAAAGGTGGTTGATGCTGATGCTGTAATGGGCGTGCACGGCGCACCGCCAAGGGAGGTGCCCGTGTTTGTGTATAAGGCTGTGGCTGATGAGATGAGCGCCGTGGAGGAGACGGATGAGCTGGTACGCGCTTACTGCGCAGGCGGCGGCAGAGTGCTCTATCACCGGAATGAGCTGGGCGGACACAACGACGAACTGTGGAGTGGGAGGTTAAGGACGATGGATTTCCTGGCTCACATCCTGGATGACAAGAGGAGCGACAACTTCACCCTGCCGGGGGTGGGTTGCCGAACAGAGAACGTGAGGGTGCCGCTTGATGTTTTGGGCCTGCTGCCGGACTGGTGGTTCACAGGGACGCCTCGGAAGTAACCAGGTCATGTAGAAGTGAATGGTATCATTGCGAACCCAGGAATCAAAACTCCAAGTGTCTTAATCAATGCTCAAGGCGCTGCCCGCTGTAAGTTAGACGACTTCATTTGGGCGAGATACTAAGCCCAGCGGTATCCAAAACCAGAGACTGATAGTTAACAGACAATCCATCGATTACCATATATCTTAATTCCGTTCTTCATACCAAGCCTAATTCTTGTCATTCATAAACCTCTGCAGCCAAGGATTGCGGCCAGTGAAGCTCCGGATCTTCTTGCCAAAAATCCTGTAACAATAATGTTAGTATCGATCCAGTCCAGCCTTCATATGCGGTCAAACTCACCAAAGCGGGATTGTCAGCATCATGACGAAGACGAACAGCGACCCCAGAATGCAAAAGACAATTAGCGGACCCTGGGCCGCCAACCACGAGTTGACAAAGTACGTGAGGCCAAAGGTCAGCAGGTTCCTGGCGTTGATGGCCACAAATGCCTCCTCGTTGTGCTCGCGGTAGCTGTCGACGACATAGCCAAACACACAAGTGGATGCAAAGACCAGACTCATGTTGGCGAAGCCGAAGCATAGCACGGGACCTACCCAGTGCGTCTGGTACTGAACTGTTGCTCCAAAGCCGAAAAAGCCGACGACACCGAGGATTGTGGCAGGAATAATGAGCGGGAGTCGAAACTCTGGCTCATAAACGCCCTTGTTCTTCTTGGTAAGGTAGAGGCAGATCCAGTCGTTAAGGGGTCCGGAAATCACCTCGCCAATAATGGTCATGATGAACGGAGACAGACTGATCAGGCCGGTCTGACTGACGGTGAAGTTATACGGCGGTGCAACAAAGATGACGCCGTTGACGACCGAGAAAACGACGATCCAGGTAAGCACAGTTCCTGACACCTATTAGCTCTGAAGACAAGAACACCGAATGAGCCAGGTCTTACCATAGACCAAGAAACCCCACATCACCGCCGGGTAGAACAGCATGATGACTGGGCGAAGGAAGGGCTTCCAGCCCGGGGCGTGAGAGTAGCGGCCCGTAAAGACGCGCAACGACTGCCAGTACGAACGCCTCTTTGTCGGCGTTGACGGCCTTCCCACTCCCTCTTGATGTGTAGCCTGAACCTCCTTCTCGTCTGTCACATCCTCCTTGTCACTACCGACCGCCGCAATGACCAGATTCCTCCGGTACGCCGTCTCTGGCACAAGGAAGATGACTGCCAGCATCAGCACGCCAAAGAAGATGGCGCAGACGCCAAACGTCCATTGGTAGCCGTCCCGTTCGATGATGTACCCGGCCACGAGAGCACCGCCACTAATACCCGTCAAGAGGAACAGGTTCCAAACGGCAATGCGCGTGGCACGCTCGTGGACAAAGTACATGTCACCAATGGTGCATTGCACCAGAACCTCGTACGGCGCCATGCCGAAGCCGGCAATGACGCGGCTAGCCAGGAACGAGGGGTACTCCCCAACGGCGGCGCCCCAGACGCTCGTGGCAAACATGATCATGATCGCCCCGATGTATACCGGGCGGCGACCGATAATCTTGGCCAGTGGGTTGGTGATGAAGAGGGCGAGGCCGATGGTGAGAATGAGCCAGGCAGTTGACTGCGAGAGGACATCGATCGTGATGTTGAGTTTGGCGGCGACGGGGACGAAGCCCGGCCCAAGCATCGGACCGTAAGCGCCGACGACCGCGGCCGACAGGCCGACGATGAAGAGGATCATCTCTTTTTGCCTGGTATGCCATCCCTGTTAGTGTGTGCTCTGGCGTGTGAGGAATGGTTTGGTGGAGTAAAGCGGAAACGAACCATTGGGGCCACTGTCAGTCCAAGTAGGTTAGTATCAGGCGTTTGGGGACATGATTACCAGCAGTGGCTGTAGACGACTTACATTTAACGGATCATTCGGATCGTCTGAAGGCTGGGGAACGAGAATGACGTCCTTGTATCGACCTTTTCCGTGTTTCAGCCGCTCCCGGGGGACCTCGGAGTACTCGGGTGGTAGGTCATCCTGATCGGCCAGGATAGCTTGGGAGAGCCGCCAAGAATGTGTCAGTGGATTTCTTCTGAAGGGAATAGCACGGTGTTGAAAGAGTTCTTGTTGTTGTGTTGCGATTTGGGGAGCTTTCTGACTTTGGAGATGGTGCGTGCAACTGCCGTGTGGAGGAGCTTTTGGTATTGGGGAAGGAAGCATGGAGTTACTTACCCGTGCCAGGCACGACTTCCATCTTTTTGCAGTCCAGAATTCCGAAAGGCATCTTGCCAGCTACAGTTACCCCACAAAATGTCGACAAAAACCTGCTCACAAGAGAATACCAACACCCTCGGAACCGGGTCGCTCTAGACGAGAGAGTTCGGTGGGGATGTTGTTAGTATATGTAGACAACCGGCGCCAATTTGGGGTCTGGGGAAATCTGGGGAAGCGTTGAAACGGTGAGGAGAAGATTGGGGGACCCGGTCAGCAAGCATCTTGCCTAATACCGTCATGGACAAGTGTATATCAGAACATCCCGGAGATGGTTTTCCCAATCCCTCCCGTTCCCAATCTCTGGAAAAGCTCGGCTCTTGATTAATTCCATGCACTGTAAGCTGACCACGATGCAATGCAACCTGCGAGAGTGCCAGACCCGACAAACCCTGGATGCATGCAAGTGCCGAGATACCTTTAAACCAGTCTCCTAGACTCCTGGACAGCCCGTGTCCATTGTCCCCCGTCACCGCTATGCTTCCAGGCTTGCTCGCTGGAAGGGTACCCGGAGAATGATGCGGTTGCCGCGCCAGCGAATGCTTTCCGCAAAGACAATCACCTATGATCCTACTATCTCCTATCGGACCACAGCAGGTACCGTACCTCTAACATAGGGTATCTGATACCTTGAGTCGATGCCGGTACTACAGAATTGCAGTGATCACACCATGTTAGCCTGCAAGTTGATTCTGTTAATTCGCTTGCTAGCAGGTGGGTGAAGAGATAGTTTGGATAGCATTTACTTCCCTGCCCACCCACTTGTTATCTCAAAGAGCACTAACAGCCTGTCTTGGCAGCCCATCAAATTGCTAGGAGTTAGGGGCTGCCAATAGGTAACGAATCCGGCCTTTTTTGACGGGAATGTATTGCCGGTATTGCTGCTCTGTGTTGGATGTGGCTGCTGGGTTGGAGAGCTGCTCTGGTACGCGTTTGTCCAGGTACAGTTAACCGGACCTTCCATGCAGCTGTTTCAATGCTAACTGGTTGTATCAGAAGCTGTGGCACTATTGATCAGCCATGCCATTGAACCATGTCGAATCCGATTTTCAGCTGGCAGACGATCCTGTGCGTGTCTCTGCGGTCCATTTTACGCGTTCCGCTTGCGCCAGGCCTGCTCGTCCGGGTCCTCGGCCGGGTCCTCGGCCTTTGGTCAAACAGACCGTGACCAACAGGACTCGGAGTAGACTCCGGAAGACTACGGAGGTACCTATCTTGCAATTCGTAGTATTTTGGAGCACGTTGCGAGGCAGTGTTGCCAATACGGCGAGCAACGTACCTGATAGCAGAATGGCCATTGAAGCTAAATCTCAACCGAGAACTTGAAGAGAGTGTGCACTTGCAGCACTTCCTACTTCCTAGCAACCTTGAGCCTGCAGCCGCAATCGAGTCCCGTCAGGAGATGGGAGATCAAACTTGATCAAGGTCTGAGATCATGAATTGGCAATGTGAATGAAATGAACCCGGGCCTCCACGTGTAAGCACGCGACAATGAGCGCGTTGGCAGCACGTCAGGGACGTGGACGTGGTGACGTGGTGAAGAGCCAGCGGCTGCCAGCCAAGGAAGAGAAAGCCGGGGACTGGGCCGAGTGGCTGAGGCTTAGTGGCTGAGGAAGCAGAGTGGAGCATTCTGCCCCACTCTCCAGTGGTTGCTGAGCAGCTGGGTTAGGCCCCGAGGGCCCTCAACCCCTGATTTTTAATTACTGGTTTAAGGGCTTGAATGAACGTCGCTGAACTTCTCGAACATGAACACAACACGGCTGCACCGGCGCAAATTGACGACATCTTTTACGTAAGTACAGTACAGTACATACTCCTACAATACATTTGACGCGTCGGCTCTACGAGAATTGGCCATCATGGAGGAGTTTCGAAACAATCGCCAACCCCAACCCTCTACGAGTTCAAAATCCGGCAGTAAAACGGCCGCCCCAGAAACAAAGCGCTCTCGCGTCGTTGTTTCGCAGTCGAAACGAGGTTGCGTGACTTGCAAGTACGGACCATTCACGGGCATTTCGGCGCTCGTTTGATTGACCAGCTGCAGGACACGCCGGGTCAAGTGTGACGAGCAAAAGCCTCTTTGTCGACGATGCGTCCAAGCAGGTCGACTCTGTGGCGGCTACAGCCACGAAAGCCAATTATCTGGGGCCTTGCAACCTGCTCTGAAAATCGGCATCAGAACAGACAACCATACAGAGAGGCTAAGCTATCTTGCAGCTCAAGTGCTGTCTTTGGACAACGACGGCCGCCCGCTGCAACAGGACTGTGTCTGGGGCCGCATATTTGTCCAGCTCTCGAACCAAGTCGAATGTGTTAAGGCCGCTGCTGCTGCGTTTGGCGCTGCGTATGAATCATCGCTCAACAACGCCATTGCGAAAGGATCTTCTTCTGCCTGGCGTTACTACGGCTCGGCTCTGACAACGCTTCAGTCGGATCTGAACAGCAAAGCTGCTGGCCGAGAGTCCTTGGCTCTGGCATCAATGATCCTAGCTTGCGTTGAGATACTCAGCCAACATGAGCGAAATGCATTAACCCATTTCCTTGGGGCCGTACAGATCCTAACCCAGACCTATCAGAGTTGCCATGGAGTTCCGCCTACTGACATTCTTGACAAGATTAATGACGAGCTAGTCAGAATCAACCTCTTGATCGGCAGCTATGCCTTGTCCCAGACGCCGTCAGCCATGTTCCTGGACTTTCAGGAAATAGACATTGGGAACGATGCGTTTCGTGAGCCGGAGCTTGCCATCAACACCGCGATGCTCTGCCTTCACCGATCGTATCAATTCATTGAGTCGGCTGCCCGGCTGCGGTATACATATCCTAGCTGGAAAGAGCAGGATCCTGTCATGTGCAAGGGTCAATCTGACGCTGTGACCGAATGCCGTTCGGTTCTTGATGGCCTTACAGCTGTTGCCACGAGACTGCAAGCACGCTATTCGGGCGCGGCGTCCACACGGCGAGAATCCGAGGAGCTGGCAGAGATCTATGCCATTCGCGCACAACTGAGGTCAACTATAATTTTCCTCCTGTGTGCACACAGCCCATTCCAAACGGCATACGATGAACATCTGGACGAATTCCGAGCTGTGGTTAGCGATGCTGCCGCGTCAGCGCGTCTGATGCGGCGGGCGAAGCCCGGCGTTTACAAACGCTTCTCGACGCGTCCAGGCATTGTTGGGCCCCTCTTCATCGTGAGTATGAAGTGCAGGGATACGCCGCTGCGTGCTTTAGCAACGACGATGCTCAACGAACAAGGTCGCGAGGGGCCTACCGATGGACGAATCATGGCGGCAATTGGTGCTCGACTAGCTTCTCTTGAGACATCGGCGTGCAACACTTCTTCCCCTTGTACTACTTTAGCTGCCTGCGACGTTCTGGAAGGTCAGAGGGTCCACGGCTACGGGGTCTCCCCTCCAAGAGTGGATGGTGATGGCCGTTCCGTCGTTGACGTTCGTTTCAGCCGGCCAAAGGTGCCGCTCTTGCTGGGATGGGGTCAGGTTGATTACTCATGCCTGGATAACTGGACCTTCTGGTCGGAAGCTATCGATATATAGACTTGTTCAACCGCCCAGCCCCGTCACAAGCCCGTGTAACCACCTACAAAACCCGCTCATCCTGATGCCTCATGGGTGTATGGGGGGTCATTTACATGCTTCTGGCGTCGCCACTTAGAGCGCCTCTACACCTTCATAAGTCACTAATTCATGTACACCCACGGGGAAACCTCCCAGGTGCTCCGTCCCAGATGCGCCAGTTTTACCTGTGCGTGGAAACTTTCGCTCACAGCTGCTCCCAACGAGAAGCGCGTTCCGCGCTGAGAAATCCCGATGTCGACCACAAGATTACCACGGCCGCGCCTATGAAACCATGCTTCAACGATGTCACAAACGTCTAGAAATTGCCTGCGTCGACATGAGGCACAGCTGCGAGAGCTAGCATCATTAGGGGTGGGCGGATTATCGAGCTACGGAATGGAACGAGGCAGACCACAACAAGACCGAGATGGGCTCCACAAATATTGCTTCGGTGATTCGATACATCAGCAATAGCCCGAAGGTAAGTTAAGGTACCTAGGTAAGTATGTACAATACAGTATGTATGTACCCCCTACACATCGTAACCTGCCCCTGAATCCAGGGGTACATACAGTGGTACTAAACTCAGCCCAAGCTCCACAAACACCGAGCTGACCTCCACTGGTATTCCCGTTGTACTTGCACAACACGCACTAGCAGTGTAATCACTGAGGTCTGTGAAATGGACGTTGAGCAGTCTAGCCGCTACTCACCATGGGTTTGGGTGGGATCGCACGCCTATATAAACCACGTAGGACCTCGAGCTGAGAACCCGGGAAAGAGTAGACCATTGCAAGGAGCCAAAGAGGAACGGAAACAGATCGCTTACTGGCACCTTTCTTGGTTTGCGAAAAGTTGTCTTACCTCACGCCTGAGAGTCTCCAAACACTGCAGTTCCGGCACAGCGATACTTGCAGACATGCAGGCTGCTCGTATGCTTCCAGTTCTTCTCTCCTTGCTCGCCAACACGGCTGCAGGGTACCTCGTCCCGAACCCGGGCGGTAAATACAATGTCACCTTGACAACGGGCTCTCTGATCGACTACAGCCGCAATGACCCCTATGCCGCAACTCCAACGCCTCGGGCGTTGATGCTGTCCGTCTTTCAACCTGCGAAGTGCGCATCCACTGTGCCCGTCCCTTCTATGCCCAACATAACCGCCGACTACCAGGGGCCATTCCTCCAAGAGACCTTCAACATATCCGCCAACCTCACACCTCTCTTCCGAGAAGCTCGTCTGCCAGTGTGTTCGGACCATCCCATGATTTCCCGCCGCTGTACGCCCCTAGAGGACGGCCCAGTCCTGCTCTTCTCCCCTGGCTACAGCATCCCGCGCCTCTATTACAATGTCCTCGCCTCCTCCATCGCCAGCGAAGGCTTCACAGTCATCACCATCGACCACCCGGGGGACGCCAACATCATCATCTATCCCGATGGCCACGCAGTGTTCAACAACGAGTCCATACTGAACAGCCCAACCTGGGACGAGTATCCTCGTGCCGCCGATGCCTCATTTGTAATCGACCAGCTGAGCAACGCAACCGCCATGGCCGAGCTGCTGCCCCGACGCGGGGCCCAACAGTTCCGGACAGACCGTGTCGCCATGCTGGGACACTCTGTGGGCGGCGCATCGGCCATCATTGCTGCCAGCCGGGACCCGCGTATTCGTGGCGCGATCAACTGGGACGGCACCATCTTCGGATCGCCGCCTGCTTCGGGGCAGGACCATGATCATCCAGTGCAAAGCATGTCCCAGCCGGTGCTCTTCATGTCTCATCAAAACTATGCCGATCCCAGCTGGATGGCCGCGTGGCCGCGGCTCAAGGGGCCGAAGATGGCCGTCTACGTCGCAAACACGACGCACTACACATTCTCGGACATCCCCTCGCTGTTCCAGGCGGCCGGGCAGACCACGGAGCCATTCGCACATCTGCTAGGCACAATTGCGCCGGATGAGATGGTGCGCATCCTGACGGCGTATACGACTGCATGGTTGAAGGGGGTGTTTGAAGCCCAGGATGGGCACCTGCTGCTGCAGTGGCAGGAGCCCGGCGATTTTCCGCAGGTTTCAATCATGATGAGAGGCAACCTTTAGAGGTTTGAAAATGGATCCCGAGATAGGCGCAGCTTGCTGTTTTGATCGCGCGTGCGAGAATTGGTTCAGGAATCCTCAGCCCTTTGGGCAGTAACATGGACACTTTCCGATACTGACAGGCAACGGAGCAATCACTGTCCGGCGGTTATCATGTGACGACAGGTCTTGTATCTTCAAGTATTACCCCACGCAGGTATTGTCAGGCCGGATTTTGAGAATCCTCCAATATATGCATCTTACCCACTTATGCCATAGGCTCTCTGCAGGGCTACTTGGCGCTGGTATCAACGGCGAACAACCGTACCCTCCGTACTAAGCTACCTCCGAGCCGTATTGCAGGCCTTGGTAAACTCTCTGAGAAGGGCCTATCAGGCACAAAGTGTGTCAGCAAACGCTAATCATGGGCATCCCGGGGGTAATGCCTAGATGTATTGTTGCTTGGGGTTGAGCATACATCGAAATCGTGGTGAGCCAGCGATCTGAATTCGGGTCTCCTGTCTAGCTTCAGCTCTGTGATCCTCGGGCTTCTGATACCGAAGGCTATCTTTGCTAGAAAGCGGGGATCATCGCGTATAGATGTTGCTTTGAGAACATCTTTGATCGACGCAGGTGTCGTCGGACTCAATGGTCGAGAAGGTGGCTTCACGGGTTTCCCCGTCATGCAGTAGGTACAGTGCCCACATTTGGCTTTTCCCTCAGGGAGGCCCATGCCAAAGTGCTTTGTGAGAGCACGGTTGAAACATTCCTAGCCCGTGATCAGGTTTTGCACCTGGTGACTTCGCTTTACTGCGTCCTCCTCCCTGCTTTCGAGGTCGCGGTATAGCTTAGCAAGGACGGTGTCTATCTCAGGATTCGTCCGTGGAAGCCTTTTCTGGACGATATACCTGTTGATCAACCCACTCGCCTGCAGCTTGATGTGACCGCGGTCATTCAACTCGGTAAGCTTCCTGACGATATCCACGCGGGTGATACCGCCACCAGAAGCTCTAGCAGCAGCGTTGACGCCTATGTCATGGTACTTGAATTTTTTAACCGCACTGGAAAGAATGGCCTGCGCCTCTGCACTTTTGTCATTTCTGAGCACTGGAAAGTAGATTGACATAGCCTCGAACTTGTGCGTCGTAAACTCTGGCGTAGTGGCACGGAAAAGGCCGAAATGCTTCTCGAGAGTGGCATAGATGACGTTGAGTGTGGTCGGACGGATGTCGGAGTCCCGTGTCTGCTCAGTATGGCTGACTTTGAAGATTTCGCCGACTGACAGCCCAGCCGCGGCTCTTGTGAAGATGTCTACGAGAAGACGTCGTACGGACTGCCCAGAAGGCAAATCTCCACGGGCGAAAACCTCGCCGAGATAGTATGCGCTCGGTGAAAGGTAGAACATGCATCGACTGGGCTTACCGTCTCTCCCGGCGCGGCCGATTTGCTGGCTATACTCTTCAATACTGTTGGACAAATCCCAGTGGACGACGTTCCGGATATCGGGCTTGTCGATACCCATGCCGAACGCAATTGTAGCACAGATCTTGAGGGGCGTCAGCAATCTGTACTACCTCAGAAACAGTAAATACAAACATGAGGCTTACGATGTCGATTCTGTTTGCCATAAAGCCATCTTGGATTGACTGCTTTTCTTCGGTTTTCATGCCTGCATGGGAAGCTGCCGCGTTGAACCCTTGTTTAGTAAGAACATCGGCATGGGTCTCGGCCTGTTGTTGCAGCGCGACATAAACGAGCGTCGGGCCTGGATTAGCAAGCAAATATCTGAAGAGAGTTTCAAATCTGACGTCGCTTTCTCCTTTGGCCCGAAAGCCTAGCAGCCGGAATAGCAGCGCGTCGGCAGAACCTTCCTTGACATCTATTGTTTCGGCCTCAAGAGTAAGACTGCCGTATATCAGTCAGTTGAGTAAAAAGTCACCGAGTTACCAGGGCTAGGAGAACACTTCGTACTTAGGCCTGTACGGTGATGTCCGAATGACACACTGCGGCTGGATCTTGAACGCTTTGCGAATGTCTCCGGCAACCTTTGGCGTAGCTGTGGCCGTGAGACAGATGACACGCTCAGCTTTGATCTCCTCGGCAAAGCGAGCGACTATGTGGGAGAAAAGTCAGGCTGAGGCCATTCTGGGACTGTGAGTTCCGTGGTGATCTTACCTTTCAGATAATCCGGTCGGAAGGAATGGCCCCACTGAGCACCTGTGTCAGTCAAAGTCAAGGTAGGGAAAGCGGAGCGAGAAAGCTTGCCTCTGAGACGCAGTGTGCCTCGTCCACTGCAAGTAATCTGATGCCACCTGCGACCTCTTTGATGCTCTCGATAAAGCCTTCATTGTTGAGTCTTTCGGGAGCGCAGTAGAGGATACGCAACTGACCGCGACGCAAACTCGCGTAGATGGTCTGCAAGTCGCCTCATTTCTTGCTGGAGTCTATACTATCGGCCGCGATCCCCCTTTTGCGCAGGGCGTCGACTTGGTCCTTCATCAAAGCTATCAGCGGGGATACCACCAGGGTAACACCCGCATTTTCTGGCTTCCTCGAGCCGTCTGCCGCGTCCACTCGGGAAACGCGATTGCCGGAATCTACAAAAATGTCGGTGCTTGACCGGGTGAGGCGGGATTCAGTAGCAAACTTACTTGGAAACATAGCGATTTCCCTGCACCTGTTGGGAAGATGACAAGGGCATTCTCGCCGGCCAGTATCCGCTGGATCGCATTGGCCTGCTCGTGCCGGAAAGACTCGTAGCCGAACTTTTCTTTGAGAATGCGATTGGCGATGTCGGAGTAGCTTTGCTTCGAGGCGGAGGAGGCGGACACCTCGTCGAAATGGCAGCTCTTTTGACGCTTGGTGGGCCGTTCCAGTTCGGCCTGCTCGGCCTGCTCGGCCTCATCTAGATCCTCGAAAATATTGTCTCCGTAATCCGAGGAGTCAGAAAATCCCATGGTCACTGATTCACTGCTTCAACTGTTGAACGGTGCAGTGTATGCCGCAGAAGAAGGACAGGACGATATCCTCAGAGGAATTTCCCACGAGGCTACTCGCGAGAGTTGTCCCCAATGCTGACAGCGGTGTTAGCTCGGACAAGGCGTGCTGTGTCAGATTTCCCTCGACGAGCAGGATGAAGGATTGGCGGCCCCGGAACCAAGACAGAAAGGTATCGGTTCCGAGGAGCCACCTTACATGTCCGAGCTGCTTGTCGCCGAACTTTGGGCCTTGTAGGACCGCGTCCTTCAGATCATCCCACGCCTGCTCGGGCCGAACGCCGAGTATGCCCAGAAGCTCAATCGACGAAATCAGTGCCTCCAGCACATCATCGACGCTCCCTGAAGATGTGAATGCTGGCCGAGGCGTCGCCACGCGCAATATCTCGTTCTCGTTACTCAGCTCGCGGTTCTGATCACTGAGCATACGGTTGTCTGGACATCAATGTTAGTAGGTAATTCTCCAGGTGGGACATGCATTCCGGATTACTGGGAGGGATAGGGACGTACAGTCTTCAAGGCGGCGATACTCCTTTTGTTGCGCCTCCCACAGCTGACGGTAGTGTTCCTCCTCGCGAATTTGCTCCTTTTTGATGGCTGCCATATCATAATATATGACAGTCTGTGCTGCCGCGGCGGTATCTTTGGACTAAAGACACAATGTATTCGTCTTGGCTGAACTTTCAGCTGCTTGCAGTTTCGTGAGCGCCAGCACTATCGAGTCCTGTTTTTCCATCACAGAATTCATTTTCTCATTGACTTCTTTGGAATTCCGATGCGCCTGGGAACTGTGTTGCAGGGTCAAGGCCATAACTCTATAGGTCATTCTCTCGACGTCTCCGCGGAGTCTGGATATATATCCATTCCATCGATCGAGGATATCGTCGATGACCATCGTCTCGCTGAACCTGAGCTGCAAAAAACTAACCACCTTTTTGTACCCTGCCGTTCATCAAACGGCTGATTAGTAGCAGTTCACTGTGACTCCCTCTCGCCGTTGGAACGAGAATACGCACATTTTTCCTTGGCGAGGAGTAAATACACCAGAGTTGGAAGCTCGGTCAACACTGTGCTGTAGAATTTCTGCTGCAACTCCAAGGGCTTTTCGGAGGGATCCAGGTATACACAGGCCGCATTAATTGTGAGAATCGTTTCTGGAATTGTCTCGAAGCCTGCACGATCTTTGTCCGATTCTCGATCTGTCGCTTTGTAGACTAGTATGCCATGTTCTGGTCAGTTTGAGCCACCTCAGTCGGTGGGACACAGGCATATACAGTATGCTACTCACTTCGAATATGAGCCCGAGAGTCCCCTTGATCACCTTCAGGCCATATTCGTCTGGTAAAAGGGAATCGATGGCCTGAGTTGTCAAGTCGATTCCTAGCAATCTCGCTTTCGACGCATCGCTCTGCGCTGAGTGCTCTGCCTTGGCGCTCGCAATCTCCTTGAATACAGTCGCCCAGGAACAATCGGAAAACTTGGGCTCGTCTGGCCCTGCATCTTCGTCATGGGAATGTAGCACTTCTTCGAGATACCTGTACTTCGGCTCAGTCCGGGCATGAGACCTGGCTCCTCGCACATGGCTGAGAGTCTGCTTACTCTACCGCAAGCCGCTCTTCAGCCTTCCACTTGCCTTCTTGATCGTCCCATTGAGTGGGCTCAGCAAAAGCCGCGTGGTGGGACCCGGCTCTCTCTCGAAAGAACTGCTTGCTGGTTTCTGGCTCGAGTGCATTGCTTGAGGTTGGCGTTGATGCCTTGGATCTTTTCACCTTGTGCACGTGTACATTGAACCATCGCGAGACACGGGTGCTCTTGATACCATCTTCTTTGTCCATTCTCAGGCTTGGCGTTTTACTTGTTGCTCCAACAGCCGAAAACGAGACGAAGGCGAGTGATGCGGGTGTCCAAAAGCTGGCCATCGAAGTTTTGGTTGCCAAGCCTAGTTGGGTTGGAGAGGTCGATGAGGAGATGAAAAGGCGCACTCATATTGATCTCGATGAGAGTCAACCTGCCGGAGACGTTAGTCGCACATCCGGCGCCCTGATGGCCTCGTCTCCCGAGGAGCTGGGCGAGCGCCGGAAGATACAACGCGTGAGGATTCGGTCGCCAACTGTTCTCAACCTCCTTGCAGATTTATCATCCTGGGATGAGAGCGATTTGCTAGAGGCGACCAACGATGCGATCGTCTTCGGCCGCCCTTTCCGCACTCTTGAGTATTGCCACGCTGGCATGAAGAAGAAGCTTGCTGAGATGAGGGCCGCCGAACTCTGGGTCGACAATGGGCCATCTGAGGGCGCGGAGGGAGAGCAAGCAGTCGATACCTCTGCTCCTTCTCGCCCAACGCCTCTCGAGGAGATGGAGGTGTATGTTGACTTTGTCGAGAACATGATCCTGCCTCTTTAGGCCCGGGGAGCTCGTCTACATGCCACCTTCACCGGCAAAGTCACGAGACCTATACCCAACCGCCGCGCAGACAATCTTTAAGGTGGTGTACTGTATCCCGCGCGATTTACCGACCAGTCTTGATGGTAATCATTGGTAGGACGTTGCGGATTTCAGAGCGACCACGCTGTACCTTCACTGCCTCGACCACAACGGCGAGAGTTTCAAAGCCATTTACCACGCCGTTCAATTCAAAGAATCCTTTGATGGCGAGAGAGAAATTACTTCTTTGCCCTGCTACCCGCTACGCTTTCACCCGGACTATGAAGCCGTCCTGAGGCGTCACAAGAACATGGGTGGATGGGTTCCCCATTGTGTGGAAGGGGAAATCCGGCATTTCTACTATTCCGGCTGGACCATGGAAACCAGCGTCCTACCAAATAAATATGAGTCGGGAATTACCGACGCCGGGGGAAATACCGACGCCGGGGAGGAAGGCCTTCGTACATTGAAAGTGGTGTCGTGGTCGATTTCAAGGAGGCGACGCGCCAAAACAAGGATTGGGCAACTGGGGGTCTGAATCGCCCGTTGTTTTCCACTAAGAGTAACGGAAGACCCGATTCTATCTGTAAGATGATTTACTGGTCCAAGAATGGGTCGGAGATCACCCATCGGCGCTCAGAAACGTTCCTATTTCGGGAAGACGCTGTTTACGCAGCGGATGCCAAAGAATCCTTCAGAAACGACAGGTGGTTGCAACTCGAAGAGAAGTCAGAAAAGAACCCATCGGACCCGGCGGCCAGGTGGGATCCCTCTGATCTGGCTTTGGTACCTAGGAGAGCCCTGGCCTACGTGTTGAGTGAGAGGAGGTCCGCTCGCCTGGATGCCCAAAACTTGCAGAATGAGCTTCGATGCCGGCAGGCCACATTGGACGACATCAAGATGAAGCCGGGCCACCGCAACATTATTCGATCCACCGCCTCGTCCCATTTCGACAAGAAGAAAGGGGAACGGGAAAGCTTTGTGCCAGCATACCAACCAGATGTCATCCATGGGAAAGGGAGGGGTGTCGTCATCCTCCTTCATGGCGCCCCTGGGGTCGGCAAGACGGCGACAGCCGAGGCAGTAGCCCAAGAATTCAAAAAGCCCTTGTTTCCGATCACCCGCGGGGATTTAGGAACCACGCCCGTGGACGTTGAGAAGACCCTCAAGGACATTTTCCGCTACGCCCATTTGTGGGATTGCATCCTGCTGCTAGACGAGGCGGATGTGTTCCTCACACAGAGGGACAGGACCGATGTTGAACGCAACGCTCTTGTCTCAGGTGAGCTTTAATCCAGGGCCTATAATCCCTCGCCTCACCCTGACAAAGGCTAACCGAGGTTATAGTATTTTTTTAGAATGTTAGAATACTACAACGGCATCCTTTTCCTTACAACCAACCGCGTAGGCGCGCTCGACGAGGCCTTCCGCTCGCGGGTTCACGTCAGCCTCTACTACCCGCCTCTCTCGCTTTCAGACACTCTCGCCATCCTCAAAGATAACCTTAACCGGCTGCCTCGGGTTGAAAATCTGCCCGAAGGCGAAGAGGCCGGTCCGGGCCACATCCAAGTTCAGGACGAGGAGATCGAAGGGTTTATCACGGACGAGTTTAGCATGCGCTATGAGAAATACCGCCGAGGTCCCTGGAACGGGCGACAGATCTGCAACGCGGTACAGATTGCTAGCTGCCTTGCCTTTTACGAGGTGTAGAGCAAGCCTAGGGGCAAGAATGTGCGGGCCGTCTTGACCGCGACGCACTTCAAGACGGTGGCCGAGACTACAGCAGAGTTTGATCGCTACCTCAAGGAAGCTCGCCGGGCCGACGAGGCCAAGCTGGCACACATGCAGGGCGACCGTTTCAACGGCTTCAATGACCAGGGTCAAGATGACCACGATTGGCATGAACCGGTCGACTTCGAGCCGATGTTTGTGATCCGAGGTTCCAAGAGACACGGTGGCGGCGCCGCCAGAGTCCACGATGGCAGACGATCGGTCGAGCCCCGAAACTCGAACTCTGGCCGGGACTTTTTATCCGCCACGCGTCCGGTCCCCTCATGCAGATCCTCGTCGACCGGAGAACCAATACACGACACCGCGCAGATTACGAAACCCCAATGGTTACGAGGCAGATCATGGCCTTTCGTCGGACAGACGGTCAACGAACCGGAGTGACCGCGCGCGGCAGATTGTTGACGACGATGAGGTTCATGAGTTTGACAACGTGGGAGGTGATCGTGAAGAGTCTGGTCGGGATCGCATGGAGGACCGCCGCGACGTCAGGGGTAAACGTGACGGTCGTGACCTCGCAGGAGCGGATCCTCGCCATGCCAGGGACAGCCGTGACCTGAGAGACAGCCGTGACCTGAGAGACAGCCGTGACCTGAGAGACAGCCGTGATTTGCGGGACAGTCGCGATCTCAGGGACAGTCGTGATTTCAGGGACAGTCGTGATTTCAGGGATGGCCGCACAGGTGAGACCAGCTTCCGCGGTGGTCGCGCAAACGGCTCTGCATCGCGTAGAGACGCGGACTTTGACGACGAGGTTGAGGCGCACCAAGGTTCTCCCTTAGATGAGCCCCGCTACCGGAAATAGGATGGTAAGCTTGAAGGATAATTACCTGAGTAGAGTAAGAGGGCGGAGTAAGGTTGGAATAAAGTATTTTTGGTATCCGAAGACTGGACATCGGTTTTAACCCGTTTGGGTTACCTAGGTAGTGGTACGAATACGCGTGTTTTTTCCTTGGCCTCGTGTTTCGTATTCAAAAGCGCGGCCAATGATTCTTTCCATTCCCTGTTGAGATTCGGCTTATCGGCCTCGTCATCAGCGCAACTTCTACGCAAGCTGATGTCTCCTTAACGTTAGCTACCACACTCATTAGGTTCTGTACATTACTTCAAATTTTCTCATTTTCTACGATCCTTCCCACACGCAGTTACAACGCACGTGAACTCCCACTCCGACATTGGCCTGGAATTTCAGACGCTTTTGCTCAACCACATGCACTCATCCTTGCCATAAGCCCGCCATGATTGACGACAGAAATGACCACATGGAGACGCAGCCGTTTCTCGCGGGCGAGGAGCGCGACTCAATTGACTCGATTGACATTGCCGAAGTTCCAGTAGGTCACGGCGCTGGACCGAGCACACAGCGCCCTTTGCCTCGACGTCGTGGGTTCCTGTCCCGTTACCAGGCGCAGAAGCCCACCACGATACTCCCGCTTCTCGCCGTTCTCACCTTCGCCATCGCCACCAGTGGCTTGATGATCATGATCCCCATATTCCGTCTCATGGAGGACGCTATTTGCCACGATTATTACCACAAGGATCGCTCCGAGCCAATCGAGGAGCGGCTATGCAAAGTCGAGGCCGTCCAGAAGGAGCTGGCGTTCCTGGGCGGCTGGGGTGCAATGCTCAATTCACTTGTTGGCTTCATCGCAGCGTTGCCATACGGTGTGCTTGCGGATAGGTAATGGATTTGCTGCGAGTGACTCCAGGAATCCAAGGGTTCGCTAACGCTTAGAGCCCAATTCCAGAATTGGTCGCAAACCAACCTTCATTCTGTCATACTGCGGAATCTTGCTCGCTTTTGCGTGGGGCCCTCTACTGCTGGCCATTGGCGAGACCCCTAATCTTCAGCTAGTCATTATTGGTTCCCTGTTCTTCCTCTTGGGCGGCGGTGTCCCGGTAGCCTTGAACTCGCTGAACGCCATGGCCTCTGATGTCAGCTCAGAGAGCGACAGGTAAGCCACAGGCTTACAAGTGAGATGTAGCCATGATTCAGGGCGTGGGCTGATCTGCTTTAGGGCGACGGGTCTGCTCTACGTCTCTTTCGGTGCCGTTTCAAGCGGGCTTGTAGGCCCCCTGATGTCGGGCATTTTGATGGAAACCCTAGGACCTTGGGTTCCTATCATTGTCGTCTTCTCTGTTACCCCAATCATCTTCGTCCTGATCTGTCTCATCCCCGAGACGCTACCCATCAAGCTGCGGCAGGCCACTCAACAAGAACAGCAAGAGCCATTGCCAGTGAAGATTCGGAAAGCAACCGATGAACTGGGCAAATCGGTTTCATTGCTCAAGAACCCCAACATCTCTCTGTCCCTGGTGCATTTCTTCATCGTACCCGCCTTGTTTGCAGCTTATACGTCAACCCTGGCTCAGCACGTCAGCAACTACTTTGGGTGGAGTTTTGCGCAGACCAACTACCTCCTGTCGCCCTTGACCATCCTTCAACTGGTCCTCATCCTTCTACTCCCAAGGGTGTCAAGTCGTCTGACCAACCCAGCGGGGCGCTTTCGGCTTTCCCCCTTCACCAAAGACCTTTTGCTGACAGAAATATCGTTGGTGTTCGTCATCGCGGGCGCGTTGCTAGAAGGATTCAGCCGAGAGATCGGCATGTTCCTGGTCGGTCTCACAGTGGGAACCTTGGGGTCGTCCAGTGGACCGATGTGCCGCGCGGTGGTGACGGCACACGTTGAGCCTGAGCAAACGTCTCGTCTGTATGCCTTGATCAGCATGATGGAGACCGGTGGGGCGGTGATTGGCGGGCCTGTGCTGGCTTGGTGCTTCAACGTCGGATTATCTAGACGTGGATTGTGGATCGGCTTGCCATGGTTCTACGTTGCGGGGCTCGTGTCCGTCGCTCTCACTGCGTTGATGTTCGTAAGGCAGCCAAAAAAAGTTGTCTTGACGGACCCGGAAGATGAGGTCGGCGGGGATCAGGGTACTTCTGATCTCGGGTACCAGTCAGCTGAGGAGCGAGTATGACACAACTGACCCGGTGATGCCTCCCTGCTGAAAGTCTTCCAGCTGTCTCTGCTACGCGATGAAGAGCTCAACTGAAAATATGTTTGGATTTGTGTTCCACAAAGGACAGGGAAACAGTGGAAGAAGTTCTCTAACATTCGTTCAGAACTCAGTCTTGTCTCTCCCTGACACCTCCAGCAACAGGCTTGTCGTTCCTGGCGATTGCGCTGCTTGATGGTGGTGCCCTTGTCACAGGCAATGCTGCCTTTCTCCTCAGAATCTGGATTCTCGAGCCTGCTCCCTGCGGTAGGACACGCCGCGCTTGGTTTCCCATCTTACGTGCAACCCCAGTGGTCACGTCAAGCCCCATGGGGTCGTCATAAAAGTCCAGCGCCATCAGAGCGACGGTAAGAAGAAGTAATCCGCCGAAAACAAACATCCCGCTGACTTCTAACGCAATGTAGAACGTGCTGCGGTACTTGGTTAACGCCGTCACGACTCCCACCACGGCCAACACAAGTATCAACAACCCCGGCTGCCCCACGATAGCGCAAACCACACTCCCCCAGATCAGCGGCCAAAGTGCACCCTTCAAGTAATACAGAAACTGCCACAGCGTGAGCGGCACCTTGGTCCAATTCTCCTTGAGCGCATTGCCCAGCGCGATATGCTCGGCATCGCCTCCGGCCAGCAACTTGTAATACGCAATGACCCACGACACGGTATTGACGCCTCTCCCAAAGATATACTCGGCCGTGGAGAGCACCCAGACCAGGTACCCGACCTTGCCCGCCGCGGTGACGCGCTCCATCCACAGCACCACACTCTCGGGCAAGCTACCTGTGCCGCCGTTGGAATGGTACTGGCTTCTAGACGCCTCTAGCATAAAGCCAGGGATGCGCTGCGGAGGGTTGCTCAGGGCGGCCTCGCCGGCAAGGGCGACGACGGCGGCGAGGATTGCGCCGGCGACGTCAAACAGCCATTTCTGCGCGTAGCTGATCAATGCCCAGCCCCAGGTGTAAGCCAGGCTCTGCTCGAGAAACACGTCCGGGTTGGACAACGCCAGACGCAGGTCGTCCAGCGGCCGGTACCACATCCACTGGCCCATCCAGGGGAACAGCATGCGGCGGATCTGATGCAGGATTCCCGCCGTCAGGAGCAGCGCCAGGGCCGCCCGGTACCCGTCCGCCAGCAGCGCGGCTTTGATGTTAAGCCAGTTGTCGGCCTGTGTACCGGAGAAGGCGCCTGCGGAGAAGGCGTCGAGGGCGACGGCGAAGGAGGAGCGGGACAGCACGTCGAGCAGGGGCGTTATGCGCCGCCGGTGGAAGCGCCGCTGGGACTGGGGGATTAGAAAACTTGATGGGCCAAACCACTTGTCGAGCGGCTCAATCAGGGATGCGGGCGTCGCGGAAGAGTTGCCCGTCATCTCGATGGGGAACGAGGCGAAGGAGGACGTGCGCCGCGCGTGGAGCCTCCGCGGGTCGTTGATGGTAAAGGTCGCCCCAAGAATCCCCCGCGAGGGGAGCGATTTGAGCTTGTACACTAGCCGCGCGGCGTTCCAGTGGAGAGAGGAAATTTCGAGTTCGAGGTTTGTTGCTTTCCTTGAGCCACTGGCGACAAGCTGAGAGCTGACCAAGTCGCTCTCTTTTCTGGGAGGCGGAGCGCCGTCCTTGCGGAGTCGGCTGAGGACGAGAAGGGCAGCCTCGTAGTTTGGATCGTTCGTGTCGGTGACGATCAAGGGGTTGGAAGAGCCGGCCGTGGGAACCTCACCCCAGAATGGGTAACTGGCCACGATCTCCATCCAATTGGCGGCGTTGACCAGAATGTCGAGCGGCGACCACGTGCAGCCAATGCTATATTCTCGCAGGAGTTCCTCGTAGAGAGGAGGTCTTGCGAGGAGAACTGCCAGAGACCTCAAGCCACGAGCCATATCTGCGAAAGACGAAACCATGGTCCTGGTGCCCTCGTCAAATAGAGTCTCTGTACGGTTGAGAACCCTGTCAACTTTGAGCGTTTCCATCCCGGACCTTACCTTCGTGATCGAGGTGGACATGGAAGTCTGTGAACCGGGCGCAACGCCGGTCTTGCGTGACGCTTCGAAGACCTGCCGGGCAGTCTGTAAGCTCTTGCAAAACTCGCCATGCTGAACAAGAACGCCCAAGAGCTGTAACTGCCTTGCGAGTGCTGTCTGGGTCTTCTTCACCAACGCGGTGCCTTGAGTCCGGTCATGGGAAATCAATATAGCGATGGGTCCGGTAAGGAAGTCGTTTAGAGCAAGGAGTAACACCAAGACGTCGGTGCACACGCCGTGCATCATTTGATCGGCTAGACCAGCAGCATTCTCGTTCTCTAATGTGTCTCCGGACAGTTCGAGATGTGCGTTCCAGTGGGCCCAGGCATAGAGAACCAAAGACGACGCGATTGTCTCGTCATGGACATGGGCCAGATGCAGGGTGGTCAACGAGCAGATGACCATGCAGACACTGGCAGCAAATCTATGCGCCTGTGAAGTCGAGAAGCCGAAACTCAACATCGAATCCGGAAGGCCCAACCCGCCCATGTGGTTGAGAAAGGTGCGCAGTTCTGGATCACACAAAGTGACATAGACCTTCGAGCGGGCAGGATCGGTGGAGTCGTGCTTGGTCGAGATCAAGCTGCCCAGGAGCTTCCGGAGTGATGCCGCAGCCTCTTGGTCGTCCATATAGGCACTGTCGCTCAACAACCTCTCAATGTGCCCCGTATCTTTCGAGGCGTCGATTTGGAGCGCGATCCAGATTTCGTGTGCGCGGAGCGGTCGCTGGGCAACGGACAGCAACATCAGCGCTGACCTGGCAAGGGGCAGATCCAGTTCGGACGGGTGTGAGCTGAGGAGGTGTGAAAGCTCGTCCATGAAGCTGTCATGATCGAGGATGGCCATCTTGGCCAGGAGTTGGGACCTGGTTCGGTAAAAAGGCGAAGTCTCTGAGTTTGACAAGTGAGCTCAATGCAAATGGAGAAGACATAAGAGCTGCAAGAGTCAAAAAAGCCCCGAGCTTATCACGAAATTCGAAATGAGGCTCGAAACGCAGAGCTTGCCCCGAAGAAGTGGCTTCTCAGCCGCATACCGCTAGGTAAGAGCAGGGCGCAAGGCAGACCGGCGACCAGTTTCGCATTCAAGCATCCCAGTCCTAGACCCCTCGATATTCCCGGCGCCTAAAGGTAGTCTACATGCAAACAGTTCCCTTGGACAATGTTTTGGACTTGAATACTATAAGTGAGTTGAAGGAAACAGGATCATCACGAAACTCAAAAAGACACGCGTCATAACGGAATTCACAGAATCATTCGTACGCCCCGCAGTACATCCAAACGCCGCGGAAAATTGGCTAAAGATAGGCTCCGTCCATACAGTGATCTCTCCGCCGCCCGCGCCCCGCGGAGCCTGGCAATCAGCCGAACAAGGGGAAGCTTTTTACCCCTGAGCTATCCGTACAGGGTTAGGGTTCTGACTGCTCAGGGGCTGGCACAGGTATAAAAGATGAGGCATAAACTGAATCAAGGGCAAAAGACTTGCAGCCTAAACCGTCAACTTCGGTATGACCATAACATGAATACACTGTATAGGGTCTCCCAGGGAGTGGTATATCTTTTTGCTGATAAGGCTCAACCACGAAATCCCCGTCCTGGTTTTGTGACAGAGAGTTAGTACTCTCAGTACTAGTAGTTCCTAGAATCCTGGCTCTAGCTACTTCAAGTTGTTTCTTGTCGCTATGTTATGTGGCCATCAGCATCTAGTTACACTGTGAGATAACGTACTTTACGTGGACAAGGTAGTTTCCATGCCGCTGCACCGTTGCTGATAGTCAATAGTCCGGTGGACATCTGGGGGCTGAGGTCTTGACCTGGGCAACTGGGAATGGGCGGTTAAGTCGGTTTATTCCATGGAGTCGTAAGTATCAAGGCTTTGCCATTTTAAGGGAGCATGGCCGGGTACCAGGAGCGGTTCATGAACGGTCCAAAATCCTTCCGTACGTTTCACTGCCCAATGAGCGGCTCATTGCCGTGGGCGAATGGTTTTCGGCTCGTTGTCATGAGCGGCTCATACCTCATACCTATTCCAGTGGTCCAAATGAGCGGTTCACGGCTTTTGCAAGCGGCTCACAGTTTGGATAAGCCGTATCGTCTCTACTGGATTAGTTCAAACTACACCACACTGTATACCTTAGTACTCCCATCCCAACAACTCCCTCCCAACAAGTCTAATCCCAAGGATTCCGGTCCCAGCCACTGTAACTCCCATCCCAAGGACTCCCATCCCAAGGACTTACGTATAAGATCCATCGTGCAACTCCGATACTCTAGATCAATCGCGCTAGTAATAGCCAAGTTGTTGGCAACTGCTCATCACGTATATAAAGAGGATGGGACAACCATAACCTTATAGTAGTTTGAGGTGGAGCGAAGGAGTAGAAGAGAGTAAAGAACTAGAAGGGTAAAGGAGTGGAAAAGAGCGAGGGAGTAGAAGATAGTTAGGGTGTTGAAGATATATACTAGCACCGAAAGACTACTTACCTTACCTAGTACGATTTGAACGGCTCATATAGACTAAGCTACTTACTAGGAATGGTAGCTCTCAACAACCACGTAAGGTTTAATAACTCCTTGTAAGTTTGTAAAGATAAGCGGCTTATCTTTCTTAGCCTTGCTATATTCTATATTTATCCCTGGCCTGGCACGTTGAGCGGCTTATGAACGGTTCAAGCCCCGTGAGCTGTATATGAACCGCTTACGGTACCCAGCCATACTCCCTTAAGATGTGTCCCTGGGCAAGTAGATTGTGCTCCGCTCAAAAACTTCATATGTGCTCGTTGGATGACTCAAACAATCTTCTCGCTGACTACTACACGTTGGCTCGACACTTGATAGTGCCCCTTGGGTGCATACGAAGGTCGAGCCAACAGGTACAACCTGAGCAACTGTCTCTGCAACTGAGCCTGATTAATGCTAGGTCTATGGCCATTCTAATTGCCTACTGGACACAGTTATGATTAGTATAATGCTTCTATTCTTGGCCACCGTGACCTGTATGCTGTGAGTCCTATGTCTTGAAACTCCGGGTTACAGTAAGCAGCTGCTGATTTATATTGCTAATACCTAGGCATGAGATTGGGTGGTATACAGATGAAAGCGCAAAGCGGACACTTCATCTGGCGGGGCTCCCAAATACTCTAGCTAGAGAAAAGGGTCTCGGGGTTAGTACATTTCCAGTTGGGTTCATAATCCCCTTTATTGAGAACATGAGCAGTAGGGGGGTAGTATGCCGCAACGAGGTCTTGATTTGAGGCAAGGGATTGTCAGCATCATGATGACCCATTTCTTCACGGGTAGAGTATCAAGTATCATAGATATAAACACTATTTTAGAGTTGTTCGATTTCGCCACCTCAAGCTCAGATGGTTGATGTCCATGATGCTCCTCTCCTTCAAGACCGATTGCCAGCTGACATTACGCCCTTTGATTTATGATACCTTAAGCAATGTAACTACCTCAACAGCCTGTGTCATCCAGTGCCATCAGCGTCAATGGAACCGTCGACTGAGATGCAGCAGCCATAGCTGCCTTACCCCGCCGTGTACATGTAGTCGGCCTGACAATCTAGCTCACGAGCACCACCTCACCTACCTAGGCTGAGTAGGGCAGCAAGTTCTATTTTTAATTCATGTATTGTACATACATGGCAATCATAATGGCGCCCAACTCGGCGTGGCACTCACCCACCAACCATTTGGCTGACGAACTTCTCCTGTATGCTGGACGGAAACGAGCAATATCGGCCATGATTGACGAGACACGGATATGGAACCATCACGTTGGTATCGAGACCCGTGCACCTGGTCTTCGAGGGACCCGACCAAGCCATTCCGAGAGTCCAATTACGCAATCACACACGGATGGATATTGGCGATACATTCGTCTCTGTTACTTACCCACAGTCGAGTCGTGTGACTGGAACCATTGCCGCGGTTCGTAGCCGAAACCGAAGAGGAACCAAATGTGGTCTGCCGGCTACACGCGATGATGCTATAGCATTCTGGGCAGCCACGCTACAGTGTGCAACGACATGAACGAACCCAAACCTTCCTTGTCCACGGAACGACATGCTCGCAACCGATGCTACCACTTTGGACGGGTATCACTGTGGGGGTTACGGACCTGCCCTAGCGGTAACGGACCGATGATTCACAGCGTGGGATGGACTCAGGCTTCAGGTCGCTGGTGATGAGCGTGACCTACGAGATAGGCAATCGAGTCACTAGGGGAACGAGCAAACCAGTTCCACCATGACAAGCTTGGTGGGAAGCTAATACAAGACACGATGCCTAATGTGTCTGTCCGCGGTGTCTCTCCGAAGCTGCGGCATCGATTTTGGGCATAATCACACCGTTCAAACCCGGGATTGTGTGAGGAGAAATGTTTCTCCTTTGATGGGAAGAGGCAGGAGACGGATAAGGTTCGGGTCCAAGGGGTGTAAGCCATAAACGACAACGCGAGCAACAGGTATTGGCGGAAGGTGAACTTGGAATACATGGGCTGTTGTTGTGAGGAACATAACAGTGTCGTCCCCGGACTATATGCCTTCCTGTTCCAGCAAGATATAGTTAAAGGACGGATATCTGCGTCTTACTACGAAGCCATCAGCTTGCCAGGGCTTCGAGGGGAAGAGTGGGGGTACATGGCCGTTCGGGCCGGTGCCGTACGAGAGATAGCGGTACGCTTTTCGGATTGCCAGACCGAAGCCGCGGGAAGAGAGAGCCCCTTCCTCTCAGTGGACCCACAATACGGTTATTATGTAGGACCCTCTGGGCCGAACCGGACAATGTAAGACTGTGTCGATTCAGTACGTGCTCCAAGAGCGCTGCGAGCTTTCAGCCTGAACCCATTTCGTGTGATGTATATATGTCGTGCTGATCTCCTGGTTCGTCAAGCGAGGTGATGTGTTGATGAAGATATTATGGCATGTATTCTATTCTACACTGTAGTGTAGTGTAGTTACCGTTACCGGCTGAGAGGTGGATGGAGGGGGCTCGCGCAAAAATGCGGTTCCTTCAGAGGGACGCCTGTTGCTCCAGCGCCAAGATGACCCAAGCAGCAAAAGCAGCAAATCACGGAGCATTGCAGCGATGTGGGTGGGTGGGCCCTGTCAGTGGGAATCTTCAGGTTCGGAATAAGCCCGGGCATTGGGAATGGCGGGCCGCAAGGCGGCTCCAAGGCGCCACTTTTTTCAGGAGATGCGGAGTCCAAGTTCCGACGAAAGACCCACCCACGGCCGATCGGGACCAATTGTGGCCGCTCAAGCTTTCTTGCATGGCCCAGAAGCCAAAATTGCCCCGGATGTGCGTCCCTGGAGTCGCCTGGTAGAGCCGGGTTGCAGGCATTTGCAGGCCGTTTGCAGGCGATCTTCTGGCTAACTGGGGCCCAAGAAGCTAGCCGCATTCGCCGCTGCTCTGTCTCCAAATGCCGCGGCGTATTGCCTCTGCCTCGCTCCTGCACTCTCTCGCAGTCTCGCAGTCTCGGCTTTCCCCGTGCCCACCACGGTTCAACGGCCCTCGTGGCGCGCAGGAGCCGGGGTCTCTTCTCTTCGTTATCGTACGAAGCAGGTGTAACGTGAGCGTAATGCCGCGACAGGCGCAGAGGTCCCGCTGTTTGTAACTGCTTGTTGGAGCCATGCAGCTGCCAACGGCTGGGACTGCCTGGGACTGCCCACGCGGAGACAGATGCGCCGAACCCGCGTCGGCGTCCAGGCCTTCGGGCAATTGATGGGGCTCGTTGGCGAGATGGCCTAGCGATTCCGGCACAGGGCAAGCATTCTGCCTAATAAGACAGCTTTATATTGATGCCCTTCGCTGTTCCGATGCTTTGGCTGCGCTGACATCCCAAGACGTGGGTTGGCCAAACCCCACCAATCAACTTATCAAGGCAGCGTGCCCATCCCTTCCCAGTTCGAATCTGCGCGCCAGGTGAACAGACACAGACAGAAGGTGCAACCTGAGTGACTTTGAAAAAGGAAAGAGAGAAGGAGCAGCACCAGCACTTGCATCAACCAGTTGCAGCGCCAGGGACAGAGAAGCAATTTTGGGTCGAGGTTTCCCCGAGCGTTTGCCGTTTGCACGGGCTTGGACGCGGCTTGGAAAACGAGAAGGGGTCACCTGCCCGCCACGCAACCCCCCGATGCTCGATGCGGTCTTGGTACGACGACAGGTATTTCATGAGGTCTGGATGGTCACGGGGCCAGGAACAGGATGTCGGGCTTAGCAAGCGGCGCCGGCGTGTCGGTGTCGACGACAATGGCAGCGGCAGCGGCAGCAGCAGCCGGTAGGGATGTGGTGATGGGAGGAACGACCTTGACAGGAACCCCAACAACAACAACAACAACAGCAGCAGCGGCCGCAGCAGCAGCAGCAGCAACGACACTAGCAGCGACGCTAACAGCGACAGCGACGCCTACACAGACATCGACACCGACATCTGCAACGACACCCGCAACTGTGGTGAGCGCCAGTCTGCTGGCGACGGCTGTTGGTAATAGCCCGCACAGTATAGACCAGGGCCTCCTTGAGGCACGGTCACGGTGCAGCCAATGCGGGCGAAGGCGCACAGTGTGCCACCATCCCATTCCCACCTCCCCGTCTGCCTCCGCAAATGCAATTACTACTGCGCTCGGAAGCCTTAGTGCCGCTGCCGCTGCACCGCCCTTGCACTCTACGCGACCCCGCAGAATCTCCAAGCTCAAGCACCGTTTAACTGCCACCTTCGCTGCCCAGGCCCAACTAAATGATGATGCCGCCGCCGCTGCTGCCGCTTTGCCCAGCAGTAGCACAAGCAGTACCAATCCCGACAGCAACAGCAGTAGCGCTACCGGCAACGGCAGCAATAGAGGCAGCGACAACAGGAACGACACCGAGAGCAGCAGCGCCATAATGGATCCGCCCGTGCTCTCCTTCTACGGCAAGGAGCCGGTGCCACTGCCCACGCGCTTTGCCCACATCAAGCACGCTCTGGTCGAGGGCCACGAGAAGGAGCTCGAAGCCTCGTGGGCACGCCTGATCGACGCCCTGCGGGACGAGGTCGACCACATTGCGTCGCGCGGCCCCAAAATCACGCCGACTATTGACTTTGCCGACATCAACAGTCCCGACGCCGCCGCCGCCTTTGCACGCGACCTCAAGCGTTATGGCGTCGGTCTGGTGCGCGGCGTGGTGCCTCGTGCCGATGCCCAGGTCGCCATTGATGAGACAGTCAAGTACCTCGAAAACGGCGCCGACTTCAAGGAACCGACCATTCAAGACCCCACGTGCTTCGATCTCTTTTGGACCCCCGCCCAGGTGCGCACGCGCGCCCATCCCCGTGTCATGGAAGCCCAGCGATTTGCCATGTCGCTATGGGACCATAAAGCGGACGACCGCATGGCAATCCGTTTCCCAATTGCCTACGGAGACCGCCTGCGCATCCACGGTGCGAACATTGGCAGTGTGGGCCCCGATGCGCCAGCCAAGAAGGATAAGGATAAGGACGTGGACGGTGTCATCAACGGGGATGCGGCTGACGGTGAAGAGGCGAGGAGGATCGCGCTCGAACTGCTCGGGGATTTCGCCTCGTCGACCGTCATCGCCCAGGTGGACAATGGCAGCCTGGAGCGCTGGGAGCCCGACGGGTATGGCCGCGGGGGAACGTACGCCTCCGTGTTTCGGGGGGCGTGGGAGAAGTACGACCCGTGGGATCCGACCTTCCGCGTGAGCTCTACACCCGACCTCTACAACGGCCACGGCGCGTGCAGCATATTCCGCATGTTCCAGGGCGTGGTCGCCCTCAGCACCATCGAGCCCGGCCTAATCCGCCTGCTGCCCAGCCCGAAGCTCGCTACGGCTTACTTCCTCCTGCGCCCCTTTTTCTCCCCAAAGACAAAACCCCCTGAGCGCCGCGACGGCCCCGAATGGGAGGCCTTTCTCGATGCATCCAATTGGTCGCTGGACCGCGACCAAACTACCATCATACACGGCGCCGTCCCGGGACACGCCCAGCGGCTGACCGAGCTTTGGCACCCGCACCTGCACCTCCGCCGCACTCTCGTCACAATTCCGACGCTGCAGACTGGCGATTACATCATCTGGCACCCGGATCTGGCGTACCACATCACGTCCAACCCCAACGTCATGGCCAGTCGGGCGCCGACCCCGCCGCCAGCGCTGGACGGCGAGGAAGAGAAGCCGCCCGGCCGGCCCGTCTCCATCCTCGTCTACGTCCCCGCCGCGCCCCTCACCCAGACCAACGCGCTCTACCTCGCCCGCCAGCGCAAGACCTTCCAGCGCGGCCACCCGGCCCCGGATTTTGATGCTACCGGCAGCGGCCTCGGCAGCGAGAAGTCTCACGCCGACCGCCCTGGCGAGACCGTCATTGCCCAGGTTGGAGGCCCCGCCGCCCTGCAGGCCATGGGTTTGGCTCCCTTCGACGTGGCGCCTACGCCGCCCGCTACTGCCGATGCCGAGGCTGAGGCCGTGGGGGGCAACGCTGCAGGATCAGCCGGAAAGGGAACCGGCGACGGGGATGGGGACGTTGCGATGGATGGTGGCGGCAGTGCTGGAGGGAGGGCAGTGCCGTCCATGACACGTGCTGAGGCCGAGGTGGCCAGGTTGGCCAACATCATCTTGTTTCCGGACAGGTACGACTTCTACATGGCCAAGCGGAACGGCAGCGGGACCAAGAGGAGTAAAGTCCTCAGGGTGGACAGGAAGGAGGATGAGGATAAAGAGGACGAGGACGGCGATAAGAAGGGACGGAAGGAAACCGATGTCAAGGCTGAAGGTAAAGATGGCAGGTGATAACTCCGAGGTCTCTGGAGAGCTCTGGCCATTCGATTTGGATAGGAAGAAAGAGCGCGAGGGGTCTGCTCGGGTTTCGGATTTGGGCCTCGTTTTACATGGTGCCATAGAGCGAGATGTCATACCCCGCGTGTGCATGTCTGGAGAACTTAGAGCCGGGTGCCCGGTTGGCTTGAACGAAGCCGGGCTTGGGCTGGTCGTAGTTAGAGGCACGTTTCAAGATGATGCCGGCGGTGAGAGGTTGGGGAGTCTTGTTCTTGTGTTTTGACTGCTGGCATATAATAGCTCGCGTGTTTTCTCAGGGTAGCAGACTTGTATAAATGGAGGTCTACCTGGTTGGGCAGACGACGCGAACCTGTCACTTGATTTGATGGGCTTTTTCTGTTCAACGTTATGAAGTCAACAACATCTGTGTAGGCTGGATGCCTATCGTTGCCTACCATTCCCAGAGGGCCAGGCAGGTGACTACGACAGCATCTACGAGTGCGGGTATCTGTCATAATGCTTGGCGTCGTGATATTCGCGAATGAAGTCGTTTGTTGGATAACCCAGAGCCTGTTGCCCTTACCCGGGTCTCCTCGTAGGCAGACCATGCGTGGCACGGTGCCCTCTCGCAGTGATGCGATCTCCATTGATGTCCATTTCAAACACCTCTGTTAAAGAACCGACGTTGGCAGGATGATAGATTGAACGCCTATAGAGTGCTAGATCGAACGACCTAGCCAGACATATGACCTGTACACATGTTCTTACGCGTACCCATTGCTGACCAGCCATTCCTTGATGCCCTTTGCATCGCGGGCTCTGTACGCCGCCCGACCGCGGATCTTGTCCTTGACCGTCTCGAGGGTACGGTCGAAGCCTTTAGTGCTTACCCCAGCAAAGAAATCCTCAATCTCCTTAAGCGTATCCAGGTCCGCGAACTTGGGCAAGCTAACGTTCACCATGCGGTCGACTAGGATGGGATTGCCGCCGAGCTTGGCGTTGAACTGATCCCAGTTGTCTCGCAGGTAGGCCCAAAGCAGGGGTCGGCCAACCCGGTTGGCCGCTAGATTGGCTGAAAGGATGTGCATGTCTGCCGGCGGGACAGCATCGCTGGCTGCCGCGGGAGGCGAGTTGTTGAACAGGAATGGGAGGAGGACATCCTTGATGATGGCTTCGTCTCCTGTATGGCCGAGCGCCTGGAGGCAGATTTCCTTGCCATCGATAGCTGGTGTCGTGAACCACTCATGTTTTAGAGCCGCCACGGCGCTTGACGGGTCCCTGAGTATCGCGGCGCGGTAGACAGGAGCGCGGAGGTCCGCCGGAATGGGAGCTTCAGTCGGCTTCGCTACGTACGCAGACCAGCGCTGGAACGCAGCTGCGCCCACTCTGCCCTTACAGTTAGCTTTCATCATCCAAAGCGTACAAGAGACGAGGAGACAGGAATGGAGGTAGGGACGAAGATTGGGAAGAAGTAGGCTGCCGAGACGAAAACAAGAAAACAATAACGTACTCTTCATGCGAATTGGAAACGGCAGTGAGCAGCAAGCGCTTGCGCAAGAGGCTGGTGTTGAAATCTTCACCCTGCTTGGCCTCCCAGCCCAGTTGACCCAATGCTTTCTCAATCAACTCTAGGGTAAACTTCTCTAGCCCTTTCTTAATTTGCTCATCGTCGCCGAAGATGGACTTGAGAGTGCCAATGGAATCGAGAGCCTGGCTCAACACGCGGTAATGCGTCTCACTCTTCACGCCCTGGATGAAGGACAGAAGAGCTGAGGTGGTCGCGTGGCCGGAGAACGCAAGGTCAGCAGCAGAGCCAATGATGAAAATCTTGTCCTCAGTTGTCAGGTGTTGGAGCTGGCTGCCGAGTATCCTCAACCTGGACTCGGGGTAGTTGACGCGATAAAAGCCGGTCGCGCCAGCATTGATCTGGTAGAAGTCGTTGCTGACGCCATCAATGGTGGACTCCTTGGTTGTGAGAGCTAACGGTTCGACCCCTTCAGAACCAACCTTGCCCTTCATCGCAAGCGGAACCCACCAGACGGTCTGGTCATCTTCAGGCTTGACATCTCCAGTGGACAGGAAGCGAGATTGCTTGACAGACATCTGCTGCTTTCCTTCAGTAACGGTAACCACCGGGAACCCTATCTTCTCGATCCAGGGACGCATGAGGGTGTTGACGTCAACGCCAGATGCTTCGCTAAGTGCGTTCCAGAGAGCCTCTGTCTTGGCATTGCCGTAGGCATGCCTCTTCAGGTAGATGGAAATCCCCTTGAGGAATGTTTTGATGCCAATGTTGGATGCAAGCATCCGGATAATCGAGCAGCCCTTGAGATAGCTGATCTTGTCAAAGATCTGATTGACATCGAGGCTATCGCGGACCGGGACGTGAATGGGATGCGAGGCGCGAACAGAGTCCAAGAGGAAAGCCTGGTCCATACTCTCGTTGATAAACTGGGGCCAGACGTCCCAGTCAGGGTGGAGGTAATCCGTTGCCAGCCAACCGGCCCACGTTGCGAAACCCTCGTTGAGCCAGAGCTCATCCCACCAATCCATGGTGACGAGATTGCCGAACCACTGGTGGGCAAGCTCATGGGCAACCACATAGGCGATTCTGTTACGGAACTGGGCTTCAGACAGCTTCTCATCGAACAGAATGGCTGTCATTCGATACGTCACAAGACCCCAATTCTCCATTGCGCCGTGGGTGAACTCATGCACGGCCAGGATATCGCTCTTCGGGAGGGGGTAGTCAATCTCAAACTGCTCTGAGAAGTAGTCAATGATTTTGGGGGCATGTTCGAGGGCCCATCGGCCTTGCTCCTTCAAGCCGCGCGTCGTGTAGACGCGGACCGGGATCGTCTTGCCGTTGTATCGGCGCTCAGTGAATGCCTCAACATACTCAAAGTCTCCCACGGCCCAGGCAAGCAGGTAAGTGCTCATGACCGGACTACGCTCAAAGGATACAAGCTTTTTGCCACCCTCAACGTTTTTGGTCTCTTTCACGGGCATATTGGAGAGGGCAACTTGATCCTCCGGAATCTCAATAGCAAAGTCAAAGGTCGCTTTGAGGTTGGGCTCGTCGAAGCAGGGGAAAGCACGGCGAGCATCGCATGCTTCAAACTGAGTGCTGAGCATGTAATGGAACTCGTCATCGCGGGGCACGCTGGCAGCAGCCGGCGTAGCGGGCTTGTACTGGCTGCGGTAGAAACCGGCCATGTCATGATTGAGCTCGCCCGTGAAGCTGATGGTCAACGAAGCCTTGTCGGATACGGGCAGTTCCTGGGGGAAAGAGATGGTCGACCGCTGACTCTTGGTGTCGTCGACAAAGGCGGTAGCGTCCCATGATTGGTCACTCTTGTTCTGACTGATCACGAACGTGGAGCTGAGGAGCTTGAGCTCGAGGGTGTTCAGAACGATTTGCTTCGTCGGCTTGACAAGCTTGCCATCGATCCTGCGTCACCATCAGCATATGCGCAGATCCCACCAGCCTGTATGGCACAGGTATTCGGAGATTACCTGACAGTGCCTTTGTAGGACCAATTCTTGAAGTCGAGGTCAGTGATGACCAGGTCGTAGTGCACCGGCTTAAAGTTATCTGGGAGGATATCTCTGTCTGCCATGTTTACAGCTCGGCACAGTCTTGACTGGAACGATGCGTGAGAGCAGGTCCGCCGGAACACGAGAGAAACAGATGCCGAGGAAGCACGGATTGGGAGTCTTCGCGCAGTTGTAATGGATGCGGGGTTGTCTGATGAACGCGAAGAAAAGAGCCGAGGGGCGTTGACTCGGGACGCAAAAGCAACTGGTGTCGAGAGCCGGATCGGTCGAAACACACCGTTGAGAGATGATGGCGGGGCTGAAAACCGTGCTTTGCATAGAATGCTAGCAACGGGTTTTAGCGTTGGCGAGTGAGGCATCGAGATCTTATGTTGACTGTCCCTGTGAAGCCGAGCTCCTGCTGGCACCCCACTTTAGCCTGCAGCTCAACCCCTCCAATGACGGAAGCAAAGCAACACCGTATCACAGCTCTCGCGCCTAGAACGCCTGCATCGCCGGCAGCTCGAAGTGCACGTGAGATATTTGGGTATCAGACGCGATATCCCGTTATGGCTTTTTGATAATGCCAAGTAAGATCAAGAGCCAGATTTGCTAAGTTGTATGTCTGAAGCGTTCACATTGTCAACATTGTGTAAATTGAACATGCCCAGTTGACGCAAACTTTGCACTGGGCGGCGGATGAAGGTTCGAACCATGGTGGAAACGCGTGGGGCAGGCATTGTGCTCTTGAAGGTCGGTTCTTGGCAACACCAATCGTACTGAAATTACACTAGAACCTATTGGAATACAGTGCATCTCATCCCAGGCACCAAGGTGTACTTCCTAACTCGTAAGAGCTCAAATATAAGGGGTATCATATATCTCCGCGAAAGTCGGAAGTATCTGTCGGATCGCAAAGACTAAGGCTTCAAGCCTACATTCGTCCTACAGTGGAATTTTCGCGAATAAGAGAAAAACTCATTGTCAGGACTGTTATTAGATGTAATCGACACAAGCACAGTAAGCTGACGGGGACTCTGCTGCTGATAGATAAAGGTGCGGAATAATGTAAGTACAGTACCGTACAGTAACGTTACAACTCATCGCTGTTGCCTCGACTGTCACCCAAAAGCGCTGACCCATCGGCCCATGGACCCATTGATCAAAGACCTCACAACCCATCAGACGCCAACTTCCTCGAAGTCAGGCAGATCAAGGAAATGCTCGTCAGGCAGACACAAAATGGACGGAAAAGAATAAAAAGAACCACCGGCATACCGTTAAGTCCCGTCATTTACCGCCCCCATCCTAATCCATGCAACTCATCGAATCGGCTCTGCCCCATGACCTGCGACGAAGGAAAAAAGACATAAACCAAGGACCGCCCAGAAAAGATGCATCAACAGAGTTAAGAAACGCCATCTCTCATGCCAGCCCCTGATCACGCAGAATGAACCCTTTCCACACTATCCTCCTTCTCAACCTCCTCGGCCACTTTGTCCCACCACCCTCCATGCGCATTCCGATCCACAGCCGACACCTTGCTCAGCATATCCACCATATCCCTAACCTTGTCCACGAACTCGGCCAGCCCCAGAGAAGCGAGCCTCTCACCCGCCGTGCTCGTGGCCTTGACTTTCTCGCTCGCCGACGCAGCCGCTAGTCGTGCCAGGATATGCCCACGCAACCTGCCGAGCAAAAGCCGCAGCACCGGCTCCCTTAGTTCGCTCTCCCTCTGTGTAGCGGCCTCCATGCTTGCCGTTAGAAACTTGTTCACTAACCCCCGGAGGTGGACCTTAGTCGCCGCGGGCATCGAGCGCCCTGCTTCGAGGGCCGCCATGACGCCCTCCACTGCCGCTTCGAGCGTCATCTCTTCCTGCCGGGGCTCGTCCATCTTCTCCAGCACTGCCAGGATCCGCAATGCCTCGTTCCGCCACGGCGCTCGGACGTCCCTCTTCAGTAAGTTTTTACATTGCAGCAGGATGGCTCCCGTCGTAATAATCCGGCGCGTCAGCCTTCCAGCTTCCAGCACGCGCTTGTGGTCGAGTAGAAGCATCTCTGGCATTTCTTCCAGCGGCACGGAAGCCAATTGCGTAAATAGGTCGACCAGGAGTTGCGCGTAGATGCGGTTGGCCGTGGGTCGCGAAGCAGCGCTGTTGACGTTGTCAGGGTCTCTACGTGCCGCCTCGGCGAGCAGCTTCTGCCGCGCCGTCCGCCACGCCCTTGTTGCGGCAGATAAGCCGTGTCGTCCAGCCTCGAGGTCGGCGGCAAAAGCTTTGGCTTCGTACGCGGGCGCCTGCTCAATGAGCCGCGGTGCTGCGAGTTGGAGTAGGTAGTTGGCGTAGTCGCTTAGCATAATGTCAATAAAGCCATTCAAAGCCTCGAGGCGGTCGACATAATTTCCCTGGATCAGCTTCTCCTCAACAAGCTTCTTGACTTCATCATCACGGACTGGGGCACATAATTTCGGGAGCAAGGCTCCCATTGCTTGGAAAAATCGCTCGTACGAAAAACTGCCCATTGTGAACTGGCGCCTGGCGATTTCAGTGTCTAGTAATTCCCCAATGAACGTGTGCATGGAGTTTCCGGGCTTAACAAGACGCTGGAGCTTTTCCCGGATCGAGTCGGCAACCCTCAATAGCAGGAAAAAGTGAGCTTCCTGGTCCTGAGCCTGCATCGTGGCCCGCATCTGTTGGAAGAGCGGGGCGAGCAGGTGTTCCTGTTGTTCATGGTATTCATGCGGCTCGGTGCGGAATTCCTTGTTGATGGCCAATTCGTGCACGACAATTCTGTTGTCTGGCAACAGACTCTTTCCGCTGGGAATCACAATGCTGATTTTGAACGGTTCATGCTTTCGAGAAGGTGAAGGCGGAGGTGTCGGTGTCTGGCCGTGCGATGTTTGCTCCAGGCTCTCTTCCACACCGAGATCTCCCATTGCTGTCTCCGTGAATGAGTGGTCCGCCACACGGGGTTTTATGTCGCCGACTGGCTTCTTCGCCCTAGCTTTACGAGCGGCTTTCACGGCGTCCGCCACCATCTGCTTCCCTCGAGCTGGGCCGGCCAGCTTCTTGATCCTGACCAGCAGGAGCAGCTGATTGTTGCGGATACTTTCTTTGTAGACTTGATCCACAGATCCGTCAGTGCTGTTCTTGACTGACTCCCAGATCGCGTCAAGCTCGACAAACTGCATTACCATCAACTCGACCAAGGAGCTCGAGTCACGCGCTTTCCAGGCAATGAGCGCGTTATAGAATGTGGCGTACACTTCGGGGAAGGAAGCCAAGAGTGTCGGGGGCGGTGTGTAGTTGTTGAAAGGCGTCAGGCGTGCAAGAATATTCTCAAACGATATCAGCAAGTCTCTAGCCTTCCCTACCAGCTCCTGCGACTGCGGGCTCGCCAGCCCATCCCGCGGAATAGGATGAGCCGAAGACGATGCAATCTGGTCCGGTTCACCCTTCTCCTCTTTGTTGCTGAGCACCTGGGATGGGTGACCCAGGATGAGAAACGCGCTCAAAAAGGAGCGTACAGCCGCCATCTCTTCCACGGAGCCTGGAGCGCCCTCGTTGAGGCCACATATGCGAAGGACACGTGCGGTAAGCATCAGCACATCCTCCCGAGAAAGTAGCATGGTGACTTGGTCAAAAGATGTCTCCCGGACCGCGTCGAGAGTTAGACCCAGAGCAGAGAACTCTGTGACAGCTTGTTTCCTCTTCATGGCTCTCCAGAACCATTGGATTCTTGAGGCTGCAGCATCCTCCGTCAAAGGTGTGGGCTCGCGTTCCTTGACCTCCTTAACCTCGGGCATGACCCCAACTGGACTAGGCTTGCGTGACCCAAGGCTTTGCCCGCGTTCTCGCCCCTTCGCTCTGGAAGCATTTCGGTTTCGCAGTTCTTCTCTCCTCCTCTCGGCCTCGGCCAGCCGCTCCTCCATCTGCAGCTTCATTTTGCGGATCTCCTGTTCACGTTTCTCCTTCATGCTTTCTGCAACAGCCTTGGCCCTCCTGACCTCCTCAGCACATGCGGCAGCGATTTCAGCGAGGTTGCGCTCCCGAGCCTGAGCCGCCGCTAGCGCCCGCTCTTCGCTAATGCTCGTATCCTTGGACGCTGCCTTCGCCAGAGCCGCTCGAAGCCGTACTTTCTCAGCGTGTGCAGCACGGTCAGCCAACCGCGCCTTCCGGTCCTCCAAGATGGAGGCCCGACGAAGGTGCTGGGCAATATACTTGCTCTGCGGGCCTGCATTGCGAGCGCACCCATGAGATGAGCGAGAATGAGCAGACGAGATGCTATTGCGCCGTGATGAAGCGGCGCTGTCTTTGCGTCGCGACTGGTTGGTCGCACGGTAGAACAGCCGTGCAGCGATACGCGGTGGCGGGGTATAGGCCTTGGCATCGCTGCTGTCACCATCGAGAATATCAATCTCTTCGTCGGGCGCCGGAAGAGAAAGGTCAGAGGGCCGTTCGGGCCTACCGGCAGATGGCTGGCCATTCGAATCTTCGAGATTCCGAGAGGGCTCGGTCAGATCCAGCGATGCGCGCCGCATTGTGGTGTCACTGTTGCTTAGTGTTGCGGGGTTCGTTGTATTACGACTCTCACGGGATGTGCAGAGTTTCGAGGTTGAGATGGATATCGTATGCGTCTGAAGCGGGAAATGATAGCTGCCCCATAGGCTCGGGCTTCAGAGACGAGGACGCTTCGAGTTTTGCTCGGGGTCACGGACAGGAACTGCGGAAACGAAGTCAAAACAAACGCGCCAGCCGGATGAAACGTCGAGGCGGGTTTAGCGAACAAAGACCAATGCGTCACAGGAAGACCCAAGGTCGTGGCAACGAACGAAAAGGTAGAGAGTGCGTGGGGAATAAGATGGAAGGAATAAGAAGGGTAAGAGTGAAGAAATCGATGACACAAGTCAGCAGGACTCTGCTGACACACAAACACACACGCAAGAACGGTAACTTTAACTGGATGGAGAGTCGCATCGCTGCAATCGGCACCAGACGGATAACGGGAGTGGGGCAAGTCAGGTGGGGCAGAGGTCCTGCCATTTGCCAAGCACTGCTTGATTCCAGAACTCGCACCTCGGGCTTCGATCCCTCAAATTTCACCGGTCACCTTGGGCAGCCATGATTACTGCAACAAGTGAGTCCTACATAACACGCAAACCCAACGTGAACGACAATAATTGGAACAAGAGCTAACTTCCATCTTCTTAAACGTGTTGGCTTCTTCGACAACATTTCGCACAACACCCCCCCCAGGCCTCGCCTACTGATCTACAACGATCAGACTTCTGCAGACAATTTCTTGAGAAAGCGAATATCTTCGTCATCGATAAGTCTTCTTGACACCGAGTGTATTGGTTCCGACCGCATGATGACGAGCGAGCGCATCTCAGCATTCCACAAACAACCAGCTATCAACCGGCAATAACTGGGTTCTTATGAAACTATGCATTCTTACAATCACCAGCATCCTATGCTCCGCAGCCCCGCCAGCGGTTGCCATGTTGGAAGGCCACATGGTGTGCCTCCACGTCTGCCAGCGGATTATCTAAGTGATGGCACCCCGAGGACAATCCGGTCTTCCGCAACAACAACCGCTTCCCGGCGGTTCATAAATCCGCCGTTCAGATTCGGAATCGCTTGCCAACCCTAGACTGGGAATTGCTTGATTCGCCTAGAGGATGCCGTTGTTGACACTGTTGGCACCTTGGATATGGTGTTGAAGACTGCTCTTCGGCCGAGTCGTTGTGTCAACGAGGAAAAAGCCCGGTAACGGCAAGGCGGGGCCCGAAACCATAACTCGCCCTGGCTTGTTCACTTGTTGATCCGAGGAATACCTAGATCTGGTCTCCTAGACGGACTGTCGTCAGCGAGGGTCCAGGATGAGGAATTCAACTTGATCCTCCACGGCTTTACGAGCGGAGCTGCGAGGCACAGGGACGATCGGGTTTGAGTCCGGTGATGTACAGTACATACATGCATCGGTAAGGCTGCCTGTTGCTGGCAACTCCATCTAAACTTCCTACATCGTCCGCGCCTTTATATACGGGTTTTCATCCCGGTTGTCGGGTTCAGGCCCTGGAAGTACCCGTGCCGTTGACAACAGTGTCGATTTCTGGCAGTGGACGCGGGCTATGCACTCCTGACCGTGCTACTGTGTATCTAACATTAGCGGCTAAGAGGCGTCCAAGTAAGCGCGTCGCCCTGTTTGCTCAAGCAACATCATGCAGCGACTGCGCCGGGGATGGAGGCTCTAATCGCTGGCGCCAACTACTCGTACGAATGAGCCGCCTCACTACCGCGTATGTGAACGCGCCCAACGTCCTACAGATGCGCCAAAATATCTCGCGCAAGGGGCAAGGCAACCTCAAGATGGTAGTGTAATTCGGGGTGCATCGCCTGGACAAAACAATGCCATGCTGCCTTGGCGATAAAAACCACAAGTCGACGGACTTGGCGGTTTGTTGATGTAGAGCAGCTGCTGGCAACACTGGCAGCGTTTCTGTCACCGACTTCGGTTGCGCACGCTGGTTCTTCGTGGTTTACGGAGTGCATCACTCCGCCTTTATCCAAGTTCATCCCCCTCCATGATACCTCCTTGTTGGCATCCTGAGCGGCCATCTAGATGGCCGTCACGTTAGCCATACCCAGCTCCTCAACCCATTTGTCTGACAATCGGGACCCCAGTTGATCAGCACTTAATCGGCTATCCCTGATATGTGAAGTCGCAACCATCACCGATTTCTTCATGAGAAGGACTGAAGAGAAGCCTGGATTTAGATCTACACTAGTGTACGAACTATATACAAAGTATTTATGGTGTTATCGATTAATACATAGCAGGAATACCTATGGATACGGAGTACACGTACACTTGAGCCTCGCCCCTAGATGTCCCCTCAAGAGTCCCGTCGTCACGTCCAAAGCGGGACAAGCCGAAGGAAGTACACTAATGTACGGAATGCAGAGAACTTTCGTTGGATACGAGATAAAGTGGGACTGACACATGCCTGGGCGTTCTAGTGTTATAGTCTTGTCACGGCGCAGATTGCGCTACTGTGACTACCTAAGGAACGAAGGCCCGTGTAAACGACTGAAGACACAAAGGGATGTCTTGAATTACAGAATTCATCAACCGTTCTGGATTTGTGATGAGTGATTTTGAATTTCGGCCAAGCCTTGAAACAGACACTTTTTTAAGCTTAAACAGCTTATGGTACGTCCTTACACTCCTAATCACTTCATAGTGTAATCCGAGTCAGACACGCCATGCATTTCGGAAGTGCAACAAAGGTGGGCCGAATCATGCCGCCGGATAGACCTAAGATTCACACTCCGTTGGGCCAGAATCGCCACCGTCTCTCTGGTGTCCCTAGTTACTAGCCATGGCTTTGAGATACAGCTAAAGCACGTTAATTGTAAATGCCATTGTAAATAGCATATCTGTCCTCGTAGAACTCTAATAGTAGTGTAGATGTAGGTACGAAGTAAGGTAAGCATGGATCGGGATACGAACATTCATACGAATACGTACAGTACACGTCATTCGTGCAATGATGCTGACCCCTTTTCAGTCACAGTGTGAGTGGATCCTTCCCGACGGGTGGGAGGCAGGTCCCACCAGCCGGATGCAGCCAGTCTACGGAATTACAGTACAGTACGGCGGTAAGGTATTGTGCACTGTCATAAGGATTTCAAGTTCACATTGAGGCATTATTCCTTTTGCGTGGATATCCCCCAAATATACTAGAGAAAGCTGAAGATCCGAACTATGCTGCACCCGGACGCGTAAACCTGGATAGAGATCACCTAGTAAGGTCCTGGGACAATGGAATATGATCTCTGGAAGCAGATAGCCCGGAATTCCTGATCGATCCTGATGCTACCATACTGTGGTAACCGCTTCGAGCACGACAGCGAAAATGTAACAGTAGCGCGAAGGCGGGTCAACTTCTCCGCCGCGGGCTTCTCGATTGACAGATGGATTGGATGAAAACCAAGCAGAGCCCCTGCGTGCCTGGCTTGCTCAGCCCCGCCAGGATTCCCAGGAAAAGTGACATTTTGCGAAGCAATCTGTGGTTCCACACTTTGCGCCCTGCAACCTGGAGATACCAGTTTATCAGGTACAGTGTTGTACTTCCCTACCCTTTCTTCACCCCAGAGCCCAGACCCGAGGGGCTTTTCGTCGGCGCATCGGGATCCCAGATCAACAGGAGGCGGCGAACGATGTTTTGGTGGTACGAGATTTTGACCAACAAAAGCTGAAGGCCGAACCCCTGAAGGGTACCGGTAATCCGAGTTTGCCATTTTCGACATTCCTGCAGCCTTGACTCTCCTTTTTAGAAAGCCTTCTTAGGCCCTCTCTTCTTTCTTGCCTGAGACCTGCCCATCTCAGCCATTCCCTTTTGACGGCACATGGATTGAACTTCTCCCGCACTACCGAAACGGAGATGCTGTCTGTTGCCGTTTGTCCTACCAACGGATGATTTCGACGAAACATTCCCACGGCCAAGGCGCGCGTCAACTTTTACCCGTCGGGATGCTGACAAGAAAGGCTACCATCTTCGTCGGCTTCGCCGTGGCCACCCTCCTTTTACTTTTGTATACGTCGAGGAGAGTTGAGTTCTGGTCGGATCTGGACGGAGCCTACTATCGCCCTGACCCCCACAAGAGCCACCACGCGCCAGAAGCGAGCTGTCACGATGGCCATTGTGGCCCCGATCATAAAGAACGGCCAGGGCCACCGCCCGTGTCCCCGGGGAACCCACGCCCGAGACCCCCGGATCCGATGTGTGAAGGATTTCCGGATACGAGCAAAGTCCTGCTGGTCATGAAGACGGGCGCGTCCGAAGCCTTCGCTCGGGTGCCCACGCAGCTAATGACCATGCTCAAGTGTTTGCCTGACTTTCTCATCTTCAGCGATTTGGACCAGAATATTGCCGGCCAGGAGATCCACGACAGTCTCTCGACTGTCTTGTTTGAGGCGCAGGAGGGTAACTCGGACTTTGACTTGTACCGGCGTCAGAAATGGTGTCTCGTCGACCAGGACAACTGCAACAAGCGGGGAAACCCTTCCACCGAAGGCTGGAACCTCGACAAGTACAAGAACGTCCACATCGCCGAGAAAGCGTACGCCATGCGTCCTGGCTATGACTGGTATCTGTTCGTCGATGCCGACACGTATGTCCTCTGGCCGAACTTGATGCAGTGGCTGAAGGAGCTGGACCCGACCAAGAAGCTCTACCTGGGAAGTGTCACCCTGATCAATGACTTCACTTTCGGTCATGGCGGTTCGGGCTATCTTGTCAGCAAAGCCACCATGGAAGACTTTGTAGGCAAACATCCAGGCGTCGCAAACGAGTACGATATGCGTGCAAAGAATGAGTGCTGCGGGGATTACATCTTTGCTTTGGCATTAAAGGCCAAGACTGATGTGGGCGTCCAAAACATGGTGCGTTACCCGGTTTCTCGCCGTTCAAGCCGCCTTCTGCCGCGTCTGGCACGGCTTTCGCTTAGCCGCCGATCCGGGATCTGTCATGCTGACCTTCCAATTTTTAGTGGCCGACGATCAACGGCGAGAAGCCCGCGACGCTTCCGTTCGGACCCTCCCACTGGTGCCACCCCATTGTCACCATGCACCACATGAACAGCGAAGAGATCAACGCCTTTTGGCATTTCGAGCGCAAGAAGATGCTTGGTCAGCCCAAGTCCGGCAAGTCACGACCGATGGTCCTAAGAGATATCTTTGAGGAGTTCCTCGAGCCGCACCTCAACGCAACACGCGAGGACTGGGACAACCACTCCGAGAACCGCTATTATCTCGATCCCAACCGGAAATGGGAAGATTGGCAAATGGACCGCATGAAGAAGAACAAGGACCAGTACAACGAGCAGGAGAAGAAGGCGCACGAGTCGTTCGAGGCCTGTGGCGCGGCGTGCAAGAGTGTTGGGAACGAGTGCTTCCAGTACAGGTATAAAGATGGCGCTTGCTCTTTTGGCGATTCTTTTCTGCTCGGCAATCCGGTCAAAAAGGAGAGTAAGGAGAAGCAGCGAACCATGAGCGGGTGGGACATTGAGAAGATTCGCACCTGGATCCAGAAGCAGGCCCCTTGCGACAAGGTCAAATGGCCCCAGGTCAAAGTCACATGATGGTGAGGCACGAGCCCGGGATCGTTGGCTCGGGTGCTTTTTTGCTAGGACCTGCGGCCAACCTCCGCGACTCCTATCTTCAGTCCCAAGACCATCACCAGCAAGACGCCCAGGGCTCAGTTGTGACGGGAAATGGAACAGAACAACCGAGGCGAGGCACTCGCTTTTGGTTCTGTGTCCGATTAGCGGCGTCGCAACAGGAAAGTCGGATCAAGTGCAGGTGATCCTCAAAGCGATGACTTGGCTTAATAAGGGAATGGGAAACCAACAGACATATATGTCGTGTCATAGATGGCATTTCGGCGTTTATAGGATGGGACGGGAGGTCAGATGGATTTACCAACGGGAACATTTAGGTGGGAGGGTTACGGGATGCATTGTCTTTTCGCCATGGGCATAGAAAATCTCACTTGGGCGTGGATATAATCATGCTTGGGATGTAGATCTTATGTACTAGAATCGAGCTGTTGGGCCGTGAAAGTCGCCAGAAGACCCCACCTTCCTCTTCCCCTACCATCCCTACCTAGTTGATGTTGTGATGTCGGTTGCTGTATCCGTGTATATCGGTGTGACGCGCTTAAGCGGCGTTTACCAGCGGATGCTGTCAGCCGGCACTGCAATTAATTACCGTATCGTACTTCGTAACTGCACGGTCTGAAGCCTACCCCCAATCTCACCCAGCAGCCTTAACACTGTTCAACGGTTGAACTGAGCGGTGAATGCGGTCGCTAAATATCGGTATTTGCAGTACAAGTCGCCCAATTGTTGAGAATAGATGGGAGTAAACGATAGGTGTAATGCTGCTGAACATGTTGTCAAACCGTACAGTACAGTACAGTGGACCAAGCTCTTAGCCAATTCCATACCGTTTTCCAGTAATTACCTAAGCACTAACCTCCGCCCTGCGCCCAACCTTCCAGCCATCAAAGGAAAGTTCCAGCTTTGCTTCACCACAAATGTCACAATGATTCGCAACACTTGAGAAGCGAGGTTTACTTAAGTCAACAGGCATGTTGGCAATGCCTCTTGTTTGTGTTTGGCCATGTCTCGAGCTGGGCAAGCTGGCAATTCATGGCCTGGCCAAGTCGATGACCACAACAGTACTAACGTTAGCCATCAGCACTCAGCGTGGTGGCTGCTTTCACTGGCAAATATGAAACCCGACGGGTTGCACCCGCCACCGTAAAGCAATAGCTCTTCGAATACAGGAATAAATAGTCAACCTCGCAACAGTCCAGCTGTGCCCAATGCATCCGGAACGCCATTTCCCCACAGCACATGCATTCCTTCCTTTAGGAAATGGTGGAAGAGGTTGAGCCTCGGCTTTGGACGCGCCTCAACATCAACCCATCTGACTGCTGATGCTTGCTTGGCCTCATTCACCCTTCCAGCCTCCAGCCCGGGTCACCCTCTTAGGACGTGCTCATATGAATCTACCCTAGCAAATCCTGAGTCGGCCGCCGAGAAGCTGTGAGGGCCAAGTGCGTGGCTGACTTCGCTGGTCTGGAACGGTGCGCCGACATCCCCACCGAGCTCAGTGGCAGACTGCCCCTGGGGGGAGGATGGCCCCAGCCTGCTGGGCGTGGGGATGTTGTAGGCTCGCTGCGCCGAGACAATCTTGGACGAAAGCAGGTCGATGCTAGTCATGATTTTCGAGGTTAGTCCTGAGCTTTTGGGCTGTGCAACGGACGGTGGGCGAACCACTTACTAGAGCATGATAGGGAAGAGGCATTCCATCGTGTAGGCGAAGCGGTCCACCTGGCCAGCCACACCGGTTGCGCGCTGGGGCTTGGACTGGAATGAGTACGTGACGGCGCGCATGACACCAATGACTGCTAGGAGCGCCAGGCGAACCTCCGTGCTGCACATCAGGTAATGGAATATGTCGGCTTTGCTACCGTGTTTGAGGACGTCGTTCTTGGCTTTTGCGAAAGTAGCCAGCAGAAAGTAGGCGCTAACGCACTCGAGCAGAGCAATCAGGGGGAAGTAGACCATATGCATGTAGTTGACCATGTCTTGGAGCTCGCTGGAACCGCTCGCATGCCACCTCGCGCGGGTGATGGCGATCAGGATGCGGGCAACGGCAATGCCGACCATGATGGTCCAGAACGAGCCTGCGAAGATATACCACGGCCTGCCGAGCAGAATACGGCTGAGGATGATGTAGCTGTAGAAGGACACTCCCGCTTCTTGGACCTATCGCGTAGCAACATGAAGTTCAAGTTAGTCCTGTTCCCGGAGAGGTCATGGTTCAGCCTGAGACTGTCTTGAGTGCGTACCAGCCATAGTACGTCCGCGAAGACCGAGGCAACAAGCCGGTTTGTCACCGGGATGGAGGGCAAGTAGAAGGCGTAGTAGCAGAGGCCATTTGCAACGGAGCCGGCGGCCGAGGTAACGATGGGAACGGCAGCGATGGGAGAGAAGTTCGTGATGCTGGCAATCACAAAGCCAAAAAAGACATTGGCAGCCCCGATGGTGCTGAGTATTGACCAGCTAAGCTCGAAGTAGACGGGGACAGGCGCCATGTTGGCTCTTATTGCTGTCCTTGCCTCTGGAGAGGCTTGTGTGACGAGAGAGAATAACAATCACGTTGAGGACAGTCATTCGGACGGTGGCGATAAACGGGAGAATGGGAAGATGTTCAGTTCTAGAAGTACAAGTATTGTTCTATGGAGCGTAGTCAAAGCTCGACACGAGGTAGCGGGTCGTCCAAACCACCTTGATTACCTACTCAGGTAGAGGAGGCTTCGAGGGGGCTTACTGGACTGGAGCTAGAACTTGGGAGCTAGCTAGTAGAGGTCACAACTTACCGGGCTGTAGTCCAGACCTCTAGCTAGCGCTCCTTGGCTTGAGTAGGACTACCGGGCACTCCAAGGCTGGAAGATCGTCCGACTTATATGAAGATCATAGTGTAGCTGCATGCTGTGGCCTGTTATTAGTGATATCTGCACGTAGGGAACGACCAAGGATCCAAGAGTTCTGGCCGACAACTATTCTCGAAGGTCATATGTTGCAGCACTCTTGTGCATGTTTCCTGTTGACCTTGAGGGGTAACCAAAAAGCCTTGACTTTGCATGAGTCAGTCGGAAGGGGCAAAATATTTACTTTATACATCTGCGCACCGCACAGACAGTGTACAGTATCCGACAGACGCCTTCCACTGGTGACCCAGACATGCCCAGGAAGACTGTATGTAACAAATGATCCAAGGAGTCTTGTTCCAAAGTTCCTCGCTGGAAGGCAACGCTACTAGTAGTAGTCTACCACATCCCGCATTATGGTAGGTTCAGTATGGTGCAGCATCCGATCCGCTCCAACGCCACCTAAGAGACGCTTAAACCCCCAACCCCTTACAATATCATTAGACGACATCAAAGCTTCCAGTCAGGCAAGGTAGAGCTTGACCGGCTTTTGTGGCCTTGTACTCATAGCTCCCTGACAGCCGACATGGCCTCTTACAATAAATCTGGCAAACTCTCATGGTGGAGGTGAAACACTCTCTCTCCCCCGACTCCCCGACCTCCCCTTACAACCTCGCCTGCGGCCCCTCCCTCTTCAAATCTTCACATATCCCTTGCGCAATCCAATCCGCAATCGCCATGACTGTGACCATTGGGTTTACCCCACTCGCGCTGGGGAAGACACTCGCATCCGCCACGTAAAGCCCCTCTATTCCCCAAACTCTCCCCTGGGGATCTACCACGCCATCCTTTGGCTTCGCACTCATCCGGCACGTGCCCATCTGGTGTGCCGAGGCAAAGGGGGTGAGCGGTGGCTTGTTGCCGTGCGATTGTAGGTTGGCGAGCCACTGGTCGAAGGAAGGCCCGGTGTCATTGTCTTCCCTGCGGATGAAGGGCTTGATTTCAGGCACGGATGGATGGATTTCGCGTGCGCCGTGGGCGTACAAGATCTTGGAGAGCTCGAGCATGCCGCGGAGGTTGTGGGCACGATCGAAGTCGGAGGGGGTATACGACACGCGCGGTTTACCAGTGCTGGCGTCACGGTATACGTAGCCTGTGTCGCGGTCGCGGCAAATGGCGATAAATGTGTTGAGGTGGCGGTACGAGGCAGCGAGAACTTTGAAGTCGGCGCCGGAGGACCAGTTAAGGAAGGGGAGTGAGAGAGATGGCTGGGGGTGCATTAGCAAGCAGGGCAATGTGGAACAGGACGGAGACGAACCATCATGGACATGGCTTCGAGCTTGACGCCGTGGCCTCTGCCGTCGAGGTTCTCAAAGTCGCTGACGACTGAGGTGAGACTACCGCCTGTTATGGTGTCAGTTTCACGTTGTAATGGATGCGAATTTGGGATGACCAACCCTCCCATGGCCGGACATCATCGTCAAATACTCCTGACACAAAGTTTGTGGGATGCAGATACAAGTTTCTACCGACCTGGGGGTTCTGCTCTTGTCAGTTTCCATTCGTTTCTGCTGATTCTTGAGCTCGTCGCTTACCTTGATGCCGCTATTGAGCAGTACAATGGGACTCCACAGCGTCCCGCAGCTGACAACGACCTTCTTTGCCTTGACAATCACCTGAACCGTTTCACTCCCATCCCCGGCCGTCCAGGTACCTATGACTCCCTTGACCACCTTCTTGCCCTTTCTCTGCTCAAGCAGTACCCTCTCAACCTTCATACCCTGGACAAACTTGACCCCCTTCTCTGCCGCCTCAGGAAACCAGCCATTCACTGGCCCCAGCTTCTCTCCCCTCCAGCATCCTAGCGTACAATACCCACAGTCATGCTCCTTATTGCCGCAATTCTGCGGCACCTTCTTAGCCGTGTACCCTAACTTCTTGGCTCCCTCCAGCAACACGCGATTCGCATGATTCGGTCTAACCTTGTCCGCTGAGCAGCCCATCTTCTCGCAGACGCGATTCAAGCACCTCTGGAAATCCTCGCTCTCGAAAAACCCCAGACCGGCGCTCCTTGCCCACTCCCGCCTCACAAAATCCTGTGTCTGCAGGCCGGCACTCCAATTGACGGTGCCGCCGCCGCCAAGGGTTGCGCCGGCCGTGACCGTGATCGACCCGTCGTCCGACTCAATCACCCCGCCGTTCTCAAAGAGGCTGGCGAGGCCGGCAGCCTGCGATAGTGGGAAATGACTCGCGTCAAAGTGCCGCCCCTTCTCCAATACCAGGATCTTCATTGCCGGTCCGAACTCGTTGGCAAGCCGGTTCGCTACCACCCCGGCCCCGCACCCGGACCCGACGATGACGACGTCGGCGGCAACCTCTACGGGGACTTTCTTTCCAGCTGTCCCCGCCGGAGAGGGGCGGAACTGCAGAAATTCATACGGGTAGCTGAACCCGGCGTTTGCGGTCCACCCGGCGGGGACCGGCGGAAAGCCCGTGAGCGGGAAGAGGGTGACGCTGCTGCGGATAAAGGCTAGCTTGCAGAGGGTGGTGATGCTCTTGAAGAGGGCGCGGAACGTCCACAGGGATGAGGACTGCCACGCGTGAAGGACTTCAAGGCGCTCTACGGCCGGGAGCGAGGGAAGCGGCGTGCTGCGCGAGGTGAGCAGCAGCGAGCCGGCTCGGGTGCTGTAGGCGGAGTTAGATTGCGCGCAATGGGTTATGTACGCGCGGGAGGGGACTAAAATGCCTGAGAAAAGAGAGAAGGTAGCGCAGCTCACGCTGTTTCTTGGGCGGGAGATTGGAGAGGATGAGTCGGAGGGTTTGACTGAAGAATGGGTTGTTGGAAGGCCGCTCGGCGAGGTAAGCATCGAGGATGTCGGAAGAGTGGTTGAGAGGCCAAGCGGCTTTGCGGAGAGCGGCGATCGTGTCGGAGTACTCGCTGTTGGAGAGGTAGATGACCGAAGTGTCACGATGCTCGTGAATTTGGGATGGATCCTGGACGCGGATTGCTGGGACTACCGTGTCCATGAGAGCCATGAGCACCTTCCATTGGCCATCATTGAGAAATCCCGGAATCTCTGGGATGTTGACTGGCGTCGGTGCCCTGCGAGTGGTGGCGTCGTCGGGACTTGTCATTGTCGTCTCGGCTGCCATGGCTTGCCTTTCGCCGCACAGCAGGAATCCAAGTACTGGGCAGGTGAAGGTCTCCCGGGTTAAAGACAGAAGACGCACTGGGGATCGAGACTGAGCAATGCCGAGTCATAACACTAAATTAGTATCGATCTGCCAAAATAGCTCCTACTAGTAGTTAGTGCCTTACCATTCACATCGAATTCTGTGGATAGTGCAGTACGATGCTGTGCTGTTGAGAATTGATGCAAGTGGCTCCCCGCTTTCTGCACCCTAGTTTGAACCGGTCGATTCTGCCCCTGAAATCTGGGGTACATACACGCTAACGTCAGTGGATCCCCATCCGAGGCAACAGCTGCTTGGTGAGAAGGGTCCCTGCAGTGGAAGCATGTGATACTGTAATTACAGGCCTAGCATTGCTTACCTCAGCTAACCACACCCCCATCTCTGACCGCACACGGGCTCTTGATTTCTTCTCCTTTCCTTCCCCTTGATCAGGGTATCAATAAGTTACAAATCACTTGCAGTTATCAGCCATTCAACCCATTTGGTATACTTGGATACTTTTTTTTCTATACGTTGAGCGTTTTCAATACCTAATGTTATCGAAGGCAAATGTGTATAAACTGCGATGGATGGCGCTCAAAGCCAAGCAAGAGACTTGGCAGTGTTGGGAAACAAGGGATAAACAACAACATCAACCCCCTATTTACCCGCAACCACAGAGACACGCACACACACACACATGCACATAGAAAACAACCAAAGATAAAGGATAAAATGAGAGAGAAGGATAAGGAGAAGAATAAGAGAATAGAGAAAAACTATGTAAAAGAAACGAATGAAGAGAACGAGAAGAAGAAGAAATGAAGAGAACGAGAAGATGCCTGGCAAGAAAGGAAGGTAAGAGTGAAGGGATGTGGGCAGCTTCGAGTCAGGAGTAAGATTACTACAAGTGGTATTGATGTCGGAGCATGTACAACAACATACATGTAAGGATCACGAAGCCAAAAGCGACATCAGCACCAAGGGATTAGGTAGGTGGTACAGTACGTTGTAGTGACAGTGAAAACTAGTAGCTATGAGAAAAGGAGAAACGCAGGTCCGAAACTTCCGAAAACCCACCGTGATGGCAGTGTAAAAGCCTTGCAACGATTCCATTCCACAAGTACATGATTCAACCATTCCATATAATCCCAGCCTCTCCCGTCAAAAAAACCATAACCCACCCCGCATCCCGACCGAGCTCACTCCTTGGTAATCCACAAGTAGATAGTGGGCAACTCCCCATCAGCACGCTTTTCAACCCACCCCATCTCGCGGACCGACTTGTTGATCATGAGCTGGTCGTCGCCCACGACATGCTCCTTCCAGCCCCAGCGACCGCCACCCTGCGGATAGACCTCCCAGAACTGGTTCTTGCCCTTGTCCGGGTTGTTAGCGCCAAACCCGACCAGCAGCTCGGCCATGGTGATGTTGGCCGGCACCTTGCATGCGTGGAAGGGTATGTCGCGGTACGTGCCCGGCACGAGCTTCCACGGCGGGATCGAGCACTTGAGCACCACCACCTTGGCATGTTCCGTGGGGAAGAAGTAGTTGTATCCGGGCTCGGCACCCGCGCCTCCGGTTGCGTTGAGGAGGTTGGCCGCGGGGAAGGTCGGGTCAGTGGGAGGTGCCGGCTGAGGGTGACGGTTGGTCCCGTTGAGGCCCGAGATGTACTGGTACAGACCGCCTCGGCCGTCCAAGGCATAGGTGCTACCGAGGGCGGGTGCTCCAAAAGCTCCCGGAGCTTGGAGTTGGCCGTAGTATGAGTAGTATGGGAAGTAGTTCTGCATGGCGTACAAGGGTTGGTCGGTGCGAGTGTGACTTGGAGGCGGAGGACCGTTGTCCGGAGGGGATGCTGCGCCGGCGACCTGTTGGGCGGCGGCGGGAGGGGGCGGACCGGGATCTAAGCCAAAGGCAGGGTTGTAGCCAGAGCCAAAGTAGGCTGCCATAGGGAATGTTAGCGATAGGTTTGATGCCTAGGATGATGGGTAAGTTAGCTCGGCGAGCTGAGAGGGATCCTCAAACAGAACGCCCGGGCATGTAGGAGCAGCTGAATAGAAGGTGAACGGCAAAGACAAAGAGAAAATAAAGGCTTACCAAGGAGGACGATATGAAGGAAAGTGATCAAGATTGGTGTAAGTGAAACTGACCGAGTGCTTTCAAGCAGAGCAATGTGCTTAGGTCAGGAGTACAGCCAGGATGGTGGGTGAACGAGGAGATAGTGTCAGAAGGAGAGGACTTGGGCACGGGAAGGGGGATTTTATATCTATGAGGGAGCGGCACCACGTCCTCTGCCACCTCATGATGCCAGCGTCAGTGGGCCATTGACTCCTATTGTTCCGTGTCAAGACCATGGGCACAATGCGCATCACTGTCTGCCATATGGAGGATGCTGTGTTGAGATGAAGATTCTCAGGGGCCAAGGGCTGATTGTCACAAAAGGGGGAGGGCGACAGAATACGCTGCGTAATAGGATTGGTGGTACAATGTCTTATGAATAACAAATGCGAACGCCAACGGCCGAGACCAGATCATAGCTTGTCAGTGAATGCCACGCCCCTTGAGCCTCCTAGGTAAACGGAGCAAGAACACTATTGGTGAGTAGTCTTAATAGTCAAAGTCCAGATGGAAAAAGCCCTGCCACAGAGTATTAGGGAAACACATCTACAATAGGGGTCCCGGCATCTCATATCGGACTATTGTACACGTATCCAACACAATGAGGACTATGTTGAATAAGCACAATAAGAATGGATTGACGCAGGTGAGAAAACAACTACTATGAGCCATACCACGTTCTAATATTGTACCTAGGTACCTTGCTCACAGCGAACCTAGGAGATGTCAAACAGCAACGCATGAGGTCGCGGGTTGAAGCAAACAGATCCCCTGGTGATACCACCGTGTCATTAGAGGTAGCGGTGTTTGACTGGCATTGACAAACGGGCTACTGAGGCTGCATTGAGCCGAGTTCTGGTCTGATACCGATGAGCTGGTTCCCAAGGCTATGACATGTATGGGCAGTGTAGCGTCGTGGGCAGGGAGGACGACAGGCAACGCCCCCGAGCCATCGAAGTTGACTCTAACTAACATCGTTGGGTTTCGACCTATACTTCCCAAAGCAAAGAGTTACTAGAACTTCACAGACACCTTAGGGTGTCCTTGGAGGTAGCTGAGCACGTCCGCATTCTGCTTACCCTACGTGTGTATTCAACGCCACCTGTGCTCTAAGACAAATGATGAGTCTCAGACTTCATCTGAAATAGAGCTGGCCTTGGTAGAGTCATGCAGCGCATAGGGTGCAATGAAAACGTGTCCTCTGCGAAGCCGTTTACCTACCTATGTATGTGTCTTATTCAGCTAGTACCACTTCCATTCATTGTTTTCTGACATCCCATTGTTGAGAGGGCCTCATTGTCCCTGGCTCTGTCACATGCAACTGGAATCGTCCACATACCTCAATGCTACTCCCAGAGTCTTCTAAATCTCCCTTTCGACATTGTGTCCCATTACAATTTGTTTCTCAATCCCTCCCTAGCCGTTTCCAGACTTCGTAAATCGAGGGCACTGGACCCGGACTGTCTGGGACGTGGCGCCTTGCTCTTTCCCTCGATATATGCCACAGAAATTTAGCAAGTCCAACCCACACATTTCAAGTCAGTATAACCCCCCCCCCCCCCCCCCTTCCAAATCCCTTTCCCGTCAACAATTCAAGTATCTCAAGTCCCGATTCGTTGAGCTTCCGGTCTGAGTGTACAAAGTTCGAAGAGGGAAGGAAATGCAGTAGGTATCAGGCCGGCAGGACAATGGCACCATTCAATAGTGGATTTCAGTTTTAGCTTGCTGGCAGACAGGAACGAGGTTCGTGCCTCGGCCAGTGGACTGGGGAGCTGGGACACGCCGATTTCAACGGTGAGTGCGTTTGTCTCGTTTGCTGTGGTCGTTCGATTGACGTATAGAAGAGAAATCATGACTGAAAAGTTCTCAGTGTGCAATCTCCCAGTTCGCTCCCCAACGCCAACTCCAAAGGAAAAGTTCGCTCAACGCAGCCTGTCCCTGGTGGTAACCGCCATTCCCATCCCGGCTCAGCGTAAAACCTGCCGCGGTGCGATGGGAAAGCTCCCACCATAATCTTCGTGTAGTGATCTTGTATGTACAGTAGAAGTCGTTCGTACATACTCCCGACACCACTTCAATCCCCGACGTCCTTCCCGACCAATCTCACCGCACCGCCCTTTTTCCCCGCACCACCACCACCCCCTCCAACCAGCTGCTTCGCAGTCGCAATTCCCTCGTCGGAGCGCCCCTGCTGCTGCTGCTGCTGCTGGGCCGCCGCCATCTTCCTCCGCTCAACCTCGGCGACCAGCGCCTTGAGATAGACCTCTGCCTGCACGGTAGCGCTGTAAGCCTCTGCGGTCCAACTCCAGACGTTCTTCCTACCGGCGTCGGCGCCTGCAGCCAGCAAGGTGCGCAGCACGAGCAGGTTGCCGTTGGAGCTGGCAAAGTGCAGGGCCGTGTTGCCGTCGAGGTCGGCGCGCGCGAGCGCCGCCTCGGCGCCGCCCGGAGCGTACGTCAGCAGGATCTGCACCACCGTGTCGTGGCCGTGCAGGCTCGCCTCCATGATGGCGTCGCGCCCGCGCAGGTCCTGCCGCAGGATCGTGGCCGGGTCGTGCTCGCAGAGAAAGTGCACCACCTCGGTGTGCCCCGCGGCCGCGGCCAGCATGAGGGCTGTCTGGTGCTCGTCGTTGAGAGCAGGGGTGCCTGCCTCGTGGCCCAGCTCGACTAGCAGCTTGCAGATGGCGAGGTGGCCAAGCGAGGCTGCAATGTGGAGGTTGGAGTTGGCATTGCCTCTGACGGAGAGGTCCGGGTTGTGGAGGAGGTGGGGGTGGGATTTGAGAATGCGCCTCACGAGCAGGGCGTCATTTGCGTGAATTGCTCGGCGGAGGCGGATCGAAGGGTCAATCCTAAATTTGAACCGGGCGTTAATGAGAGTGTATTGTATTGATCAAGGAGCGTTCTTTCAGACTTACATTTTCTGTACTGGTTTTGGTTGTCGTGAGACCAGGATGAGCTGAGGTCAATTGGGTTCCAGCCTGTTGGTGGCGAAGTCCCGTTCCAGGTTGTTGGGGTCACCGTGTGGATGCTACTGTGTAAGTTTCAATTGGTTCTGGAAGTACACGTAAACGGGGCCCAAGGGTGCTAGAAAACAGGGCCCTTGTGGCTGTTTGATGCTTCCGTGGCCCCCCCACCGAGAAGCTCATTCAGCCCTACACGTCACCTTGATCACAGTGGGAACGTACTGTAATTACCACCTTCCATGCATTCAAGTTCAGCACCTACGGTCACCAAGGAGGTCATTATGGACAATGGCCGAAAACGCGAGCCTCTACCAGGTCCTGCTTACGATTTAGAGAGAAGGCGCAAACATCGCAATCAGTTACGACGTCTGGAACTGTTGACATTTCACAAAACAAGGCTCATCTATCGAGATACAGCAGCGTAGAGTCATCGACAATGGCAACTAGACTCAGTCTAGTGCTCTGTATTCATATTGATATAGCCAACAAGGCCAGAGGCGGCTAATCCAAATCCAAGCCGCTCGAACGCTTTTGACCAACAACTCCCGCCAATGGGAACCCAACTGACTACCACGTAGCAGTCTGGTTCCCGGGTATTCGACTGATTTAACTTTATTACATCCCTCAAATATGGGGCCACCGAGGTCTCACAGAACCGCCACCCTCCAGAACCTCGACCTCAAACGACCAGGCCCTTGACCTGCTTGAAGTCCTTGACCTTGATATCCCGCCACATAATCACCGCCACCAGCGAGATGGCCTGGAGGACCGTCGACGCAATGATCATAATCTTTTGCGCTTCGCCATAGGCGTGCTGAATGGCAATCCGAGTGGGCGAGCCAACGGGGTACGATAGCTGCGTGGGCAGCGAGCCGTAGATAGAGACCAAGTCGCCCTGCGACTCGGCGGGGAGGTACTCGGCCAGGCGCTGCGGGAAGACGCCGTTCCAGATGGCGCCAGCGACAGTCGACCCGATGGCGCCGCCAACGTTGGCAAACATGCCCTCGACGGCTAAGACGACGGCAATGTACTGGTGAGTGGTGGCAGCCATGGCAGCCATCTGCTCGCAGATGACCAGGGTGCCGCCCGCCACGGCAATGAAGATCTGGCACATGATGATGTAGCCAACGTTGACGTCCGGCTGACGGAAGTGGGCCATTAAGCCAACGCCGAGGATGGTAACGGGCACGCCAAAATAGACGGCAAGCCACTTGAAGCGGCCGGACCACCGGACGGCGACACCGACCAGAAGCGACCAGAAGCACGAGCCGATGCTGTAGATGTTCATGACGTAGCTCGTCTGCGTGACGTTGAGGTTGTTGACGACCTGCAGGAACGAGGAGAAGTAGCTATCCCAGATGTAGAAGGAGATGAACAAGACGCCGCTGAGAATGCAAGCCCACAGAACGGTGCGGTCCATGAGGAGTTCGTACGGCATGAAGGTCTTGGGTGCGACATACTTCTCGAACAGCACAAACCCGATGAGAAGCAGGCCCCCGACAACGAAGAAGGCAATGATTATAGGAGCCCTCCACCCTTGAGCTTGGTATGAGTAGAGGCTGAAGGGCAGCAGGAAGAAAGCGAGGCCAGCCGTGATGAGAAACAAGCCCGCCACGTCGAACTCGATAATATAGTACTTGATGGACTCGGACCAGGTGCGGCCGCTGTTCCTGTCGGGGATGAGGCCCTGTCTACGGGCTTTTTTGTAGTTGAAGTAAAACAGGGCCATAAGCGGAGAGCAGATGATGGGCGTGATGATGGCAAAGGCGCCAAACCCCCACCGGAAACCGGGGCCGTTCAGGAAGGCCGTCGCGAGGGGCCCGCCAATCCACACAGTGATGATGTAGGGCGACGAGGCAAAGGCAAACATCAAGGCTCGGTTCTTCAGCGCCGAGGTGTCGGCAATGAAAATGGAAATGGAGTATGTGATGCCGTTGTATCCCATCCAGTAGAAGACCTGGCCGGCGGCGTATGTCTCGACGCTGTTGCAGCCGGCCATCATGATCAGGCCGATGGTGAGCGAGATCATCATGGCGACAAACCCCTGGGGGCGGCCCCAAATATCGAGGATCTTGGCGAGCGGCAACTTGAACAGACCACCGATCAGACTGGAGAAAATGCTCGTCGCAGCCGTGAGCGAGTGGCTCTGGAAGGAACTGGTAACGTAGGGCGTTAATTGCGTCGACATGCCCTGCTGCATGGCGTCGACGAAGAAGATGCACCAGATGCTGGAATGTGGTTAGCGGCTTGATAAGGGAGCGCTGCTGAGAGGCCAGTTCATCCCACTTACGTGACATAGGCCAGGATAAGATCTCGTTTCGTCCAGACCTTGGCGAAGGCCTCAACATTTTGCACACCGGCCTGTGCGTTCACTGAGATGGCATCCGAGTCGTAAGAATCGTCTCCCGGCGTCTTGGCTCCATCGTTGGTGATTGCGGCCTCCTTGTCGGCAGCGGTCTTCTCGGCCGGCACTTCCCGTTCGGCAACAGGCGCCTCTGTAGGGCGGGACCAGATCATGTACTTGGACATGGCGGCCGACTCGTGATAAATCTAGTGGCCGACAAAAGAGCTTTTCTTCCGAGTCGGCGGCTGGTTGATGGGCACAACAAGCAGCCCGGTCCGACGCTGTTCCGCAAGATTTGGGATGAGAGAAAGAGTGGAAGGGAAGGAAAGATGGGTAGATGCTGGCAGAGGAAGTCGAGCTTTTTATCAGATGGAATGGTTGCCCTGTATAGTACAGTACCGAAGGCGGCAGGCGGGAACAAAAACCCACACCAATGACACCACTCACTCACTGCACCATGCAGTCGGTGAGGTGGAGTGTACCCGTACCTTTATAGGTAGGAGTGGATGCGCAGGAAGTCGAGGTCCAGATTGTTGTCCGTGGACCGCGTCTATTGGTTACAGGTACCTGGGTCCGGCCCACAGCACGGCAGTATCCAGCAAAACTTCTGCAGAAAACCGCCGCGATGCCCACGGCCGATGCAACATTGAACATTCCATGTGCGCCATTTCCCTACCACAGTGGTACACTAGCGATGCCACCGGTGCATGGAATCACCCACAGACGGTCAAGCGCTGCCTGACCTTGGGAATCGGAGACTTGCTCGGCGTCAGAAGTGTACATAGGAGGAAGCAAAAAAAGGTCAAGGCTTTTCCGCGCGGACTTGTGCTTCTCTTCCTAGGCCAATCGCATCACCGGTGCCCCCGCCACCTTGCCGAACGTTTCCAAGCTTCGTTACCCAAGAGGAATTTTGATCCGTGCTAGCTCCACTTGGCGGCGTGGGCGGGCCTGAAAATTTTTATCTGATCATCTTATCTGATTGATAATGCAGTTCCATCAATCCATCATCGCGAGATCCCTGCTGTTGTTTGTCTTCCCTTCCCCGCTTTCGCCATTGATGCGCACTTCATGCAGGTGCGTTACCCGGAGTTGCCAAGTGCGATATCGGCAAGATCCTTGAATCAGCTCATCACTGACGCGGCCACGAGACATATCGAAGCACATCTCCAACCTCTGTCACTCGCGCTATTGACGCCATCATCACTTGAGTTGTCCCTTTACGGCCGCCTGCTCATAAATGTGCCTGACAACCATAGGTAGTTGATGGCTAAGGTATTTTCATGGTTTCCCGGGCTGTGGAAACGCTGGGCTTACTCGGTCGTCCCACGACGCAAAATTTGACCCGACTCACGAAAACATCCGCTCCATGGTTCCCGTGCTCACCCTGATCCGGGAGCCGGGCTTACGCTTTGGGAAGGCCTCTTGGCAGCACTATACTATACACTACACAAGTTGCATATGCGTTGTACTACATACATGTGTAGAGTACACCTGGTTGCACTGCCACGCGGGAATGCACTGCAATCTCTGTGTTGCGTTGCGTTCCGGGTTATCGGGTCCATACGGCTCAAGCCGGCCAACAGGCTAACAGAGCGAGGTGTCCCTGGATCAGGGCCCAATTGACAGCGGTGACAACCGCTATTGGCTATTCTGAGGTTCTGTATTCAAAAATTTATATGCAACACATAATATTTCTTTCCTGCATCATCTCTCAGGAGATCAACTTTGGGGTCATCAGAGTACGCCAGGCCACATTAGGGCCTTCCTCCCTCTCAAGACCCCACCTTTACACCAACAAAACATGTGATGAGCAGGTGAAGGAAGTGGTCTTCAGCCAAAGATTCTACTCTATCATATGCTACCGTTCGCGTTCAGGTACGGAACTACGGATATCTCGGTCGATCAGTTGCGCGGCTTGTAGACACTCTTCGTCCCGGAGGTGTGGTGCAACAATCTGTATCCCAACGGGTGCACCATCCAGTGCCTCGGGGTCGTCTGTTACCTCCGTCAGTGCCTCATAAAGCCTCACACGATTGCAAAAAGTTGTTGGGAATTGGATTTCACGGGCAACTCACAATCAGGAACGAAAGCCGAGAGCGCCTTCACTGGCGTGGGGTCAAGCGACTTGGCGACCTTGCCAAATGGGATAAGGCAGACCGGAAACTAGACGAGACGGGCATATGAGCACACACTACCCGTTGTTCAAGTTTGCAGAACGCTGGTTGACAGTGCCTACTCACATCGAGGAGATTCCACATCACAGTATAGGTCGGCAGCCCGTACGTATCCAAGGGCACAGCCGGACTCAGTGCGCCAGGCGCGAGCACCACGTCCAAGCCGTTCTCCTTCCACGCGCGCCGCCACGCGTCTGCGAAGGCGCCTCTCGCGGCATGAAGCTTGCCCAGGAAGCGGATCGGGCTCGGATCCCTGGGCACGGGCGGCGGGTCCTTCGAAAAGGGATGGCTGCCCACCGCCACAGACACCACCGGCGGCTCTGCAAGCTGGGGCACGCCTCCTTCCCAGCCGACCCCAAAGAACTGAAAGGCAATGCGCATCCCCAGCCCGACCTCGCGGTCTGCGTCGGGCGGTAGCCATACGATTCGGTGTCCGGCTTTCTCCAGCTTTGCCGCTGCCGTCTGGACGGCGCGGCGGACGGGCGGATGCAGCGGATACGCCGGGTCCTCGGGGAGGATGCCGATGGTGAGCTTTCTTCCGAGTCCGTCCGGCTTGGCGGCGGCGTCCTCAAGGGGAAGAGGATCTCGCCAGGGTATGTCATATGCATCCGCGTCGTAGAGCCACGGCCTCAGCTGCATCATGGCAGCCATGGCGACTCGAAGGTCCTGGACGCTGTGTCCGAGCGGCCCTGCCGACGGCTCGATACTGCCGGGAACGCGGATCAACCCGGGCGGGTTCGTCTGACCGGCGTACGGCAGGCGGTTTGCGGTGGGCTTGAAGCCGTAAACGCCGCAGCACATGGCTGGGATGCGGATGCTCCCGGCAATGTCGGTGCCGATCCCCAGGGGACAGCCGCGGAAGGCAACCAGACTGCCCTCGCCGCCTGAGGAGCCTCCCGCGGTGAGGTTCAGGTTGTGGGGATTCAGCGTCCGCCCGAAAATGTGGTTCTCGGAGTCGGCTGTCTGTTCCCAAGAAGAGTTAGTGACGGGTTGGCATTGAGCGAAGGTGGCCGAAGTTGGGGTTTTGCACGCACCATAAGGGTTTGCGGGACGTTTGTTTTGGCGTAGAGAACCGCGCCGGCGTCTAAGAGTATGTCGATCAGGGCCGAGTTTGATTCCGCGGCCGGCTCTTTGAGGTTCGTCAGAAAGCCGCCGGTGGCATGGAAGCCCTTGACTCTGAAGGTGTCCTGTTGTCTTCATGTTAGAGGCACGGGATAGAGTCACGCAGTTCACGCCGAACGGGCGGCTTACTTTGCAGCTGATGGGCAAGCCATGTAGAGGTCCCATGGGCTTGTTGTTTTGCTTCAAGTAGTTGTCGAGTTCCTCCGCCCGCTCAATGGCCTTCTCGAAGAAGATTTCAGTGAGACATGAAGTCTAGTTCGGTCATTCAATCAGCTTTTGCTCGAGCCCAGCGGTTAGGTATTAGATTGCAGCTAGCCTTACCAGTTGTTGAGCCACCGCTGCTCTCTTGCAGAACGCTCTCGTAACGGCTACGGAGGTGAGCTCCCCCTTGCCAAGCTTTTCAAGCAGATCCGTAGCCGAGTATCGTTCTGTGATTTCGAGTTCCTCATCGGTCAGAATTGTTGATTTCTTCGCAGGACTTGGTTCAAGCAAGCGGCCGCCAGGACACTGCTTCAGCTCGTGCAAGACCTTTGAGTCTATAAGCCATTCAGGGGGGATGGCTGATTGCTGAGACTCCTTTTTCGCCGCCACCAGCACCCTCCAGTCTTGGTCGTGGGCAAAATCACCCATAGCTCACTCGATAGAGGACAGATGTCGGGATCAGGTTTGTCAACGGATGGCGGTAAACTGGCTATCTAGAACTATGTTCAGCTGGATATCCGCGTCTTTTAAGGGGAAATACTCCATCCATTTCGCCGCTAGTGATTGAATCCTGAATGGAATCCATGTCATCGAACTACAAGGCAAAGTTACATTGAATGTGTCGCTAGTAGTCTTTATGCGGGGTACATTGCGCAATGCTGGTTTCAATGAGTCTCTTGGGGTTGTGTTTGCTAACCAGACAGAAACTTGGCTGTTTTGGGGAGGTCGAGCCGCCAGATCCAGAAAGGCTTATCTGCCGGTAGTGCATTACAACGGGCTCGGCAACTTGATATGATACCGATTTGCTTATCGGCAGTCGTAGGGTCGAACATAGGTACGCAGATAGTGGTAAGGACGTATCGTATATCAGTATATCACAGTCTCAGACCAGGGAGCGCTTCAGCTTGGGTTACCTTGGTCTGAGAGCTCGTCTTATCCCCACCTCGGTAGTTCTACCCTTAGAGCGGGGTTCTTATGCCGGGGCACTGGATGGGAAAACGATTCAGCATATACGTACCAGTAAGTGCCCTAGGTAGCAAGATAGATCCGAGTCATGGTTCGGTATTTTGTTTCGGCTGCGTTGATCTTGCCAACACTCCCATCAGTCATGAGTACCTTAGGTATAGCCCAGTATGGTGGTAGGATTTCTCATTTCCTCGCAGAGGATGGCTGGTAGGCTCTTGAATGACATAATTCCCATAGATTGCTGACCTCGCCCAGCACCACAATGTCCTCAACCTTGTAAACAGGCCCTGGTCACGGTGGTTTAACTAATTGTCTAGCCTGGACTTTCGTGATCAAGGACCCCAGCTGCCTGACTGGAACAATGTTTATATGAGGGCATCAAAACAGCGGGACCTCGATCCCTTGCAGCTTTGCTGCCAAGTCCAAATCATAGTCGTCGTCGCCGCTTTCCATGGCCTCATCGAGCATTTTGAGGATAGAAGGGGATCGCATACTCAACGACGTGGGCCCGAGCTTGAAATGTGAAGAAGCGATAGAGTCGAGGGCTTTTAGCCATTCAGGGTGGGCTCGCAACAGTGTCACTTCGAGACGCGCCGCCGTGAAGGGATAGGCAAGAGAGTTCCACACAAGCAGGTGGCCGTATTCAGGTCGACAGCGCATGTCCCAAAGCGTATCGATGCAGTCAACCAGGCGACCGAGAACCATCTCGGAGATGATCGGTGTAGCATGACTAACACTCCATAGCTGCTGCGACTCCATAGATGCCAACAAGTTCAAGGACTGGCCTTGTAGGCTTGAGGCTCCATCAGGCGCAGGGTGATGCTTCTTTTTCCTTCGCTGTAGTCGTCTCGCCGTGAGGATTCCAGCAAGACGCCAAGCTTCCCACAGATGGCGCTGGGGCAGTTCACCTGTTTCTCCTGCCCACGACCAGGACCAGAATTTGCCTTCAACATCTATGTCCTCGTCGCTTTTATGGCCACATAAAGCAAAGATATCTAGAAGCGTACGCGGTATGCCGGTCAAGACCTCAACGCCGCCGGGACGCCCGCCTTCCAAGCTGTCCTGAGCCTGGCGGAGGCGCTCCCAGAGACCCATGGTACATATGTCGCGTCCTAACACCAATGTTGGTAAGTCCATCACGGCCATGATCTCAGTGGGATGCTGTATGGCAAGCGGCGGCGGGCCATTTCTCATCAGGTGGCCGAGATCGCCATGTAACTGATAAAGATCCGCCATACACTTGAGGTGGCTGGTCCACGGATTTCCCAGGAGGATCTGGAAGGAGCAGGAACACAAGGTTAGTAAATCTCCGGGGAAACACGGGCTTGAGGACAACAGTGAATATGACACGCCTATGCTTAGCAAATCTGAAAGGTCAAGGTGCCTCCTCACATTTAGTGTGCAAAGAAACAGGCCGGCACACATGGTCCCGCCGTTCATTGTTCCCAGGCTACTGTTGAGCTCGCTGCGAAACGCTTTCAAAGCACGATCTACCTCCTCATGGAACCTGACGGTTAGATCTCGGCCATGTCTGGGGAATAGGTGCAAGGCCTCAAGAACGATAAACAGCGCGTCCGATGTCTCAGCGAGACTGCGGATGAGTGGCAGAATCCACTCTGCCCTCCGAGTGCCGTATAAACGATGTACCGTCGTATCCATAGCTTTAGTGGATGGATCAGTTTCGCCTCAGCGGCTGACTAATGATCCAGGGGCTGGGGTTGGGGACAAGAGAGGCCGCACCTTGGTCAAAGAGATACCAGTCTTCGGCAGACCGCTTGATATGGCACCGACGGTCCTGTGGGGTTTTCGCAGGAGAACATCGGTCCGGCAGTTCGCAGAGATCCGAGGCCGCATTTGAGCAGAGATCCGAGGCCGCGTCTGATCCGAGCTGCTCACGACTGGATGAGAAAGAACTCTTCGTGGGACTGCTGGCAAAATCAGGGGGCCCATTACGGACAGCGGGTGGACAGGTTATCCAAGCACTTCCTGCTGAGTGGCCTGTTGCGGAACAAGACTGCCGTGGGAGGTGAATGTTGGAGGCCAGCGATTTGCCGGTGCTAGCGAGGGTGGACGATGAGAACTTCTTCTGGGCGGGGAGGGTGGGCATTGTCGCACCAACGAAGCGTCCCCGCGAGGCGATTCCAACGCTCCATTGTAGCTTGACGTTGTAGCCCCCGCAGCGAATACCTCGTTTCTTGCAGGCCAAACACTCTGGCCGAGTCTCGTCGCACTTTCTCTTCCTCCTCTTGCACTCGGCGCACCCGGACCGCGAACGCGAGGGCATTCTGGGACACCAACAAGGCGACAGCAGCAGCGAATGCGTCTCTAAATCTTGGTTGTCGCGCCGATGTTGATTTTTTGCTTTTGCGGAGTTGTGAAACGGGAGATAAGGTGGCGGAGGTATAGGTTGCTACTCGGGCAGTCTTTGCGCATGTCCAAGCTCCTGTACAGTACCCGAGCGAGCTGAGGTGGCCGGTGTGACAGGTACTGTAGCATCCTGCTGCAGTACCCCGCCAAGCTTATCTATTGGCGTAGCGCAGTCCCAATCGGATGCTAGCGGCCTGCCAGCCCTGCCGGGTTGTTCCGTTGGATCGGTGGACAGACAGGCAGCGTTCTGTTTCATCGGGCCAGGGGGGGGAAAGACGCGCAAGACGGGACCAAAACGTGTGCATTTACTCTCCAAGGGAGGAAAAAGGAGGAGGAAGCGAAGCCACCTAAAATACGGATACTCTGTGGTGGTTGTCTGGCTGAGTAAGCAGTGTGGGCCAGGCACTGGCCGCCTGCCCCACACCCAAGTCCCGACTGCAGGTGGTCTTTCCTCCGCTTGTGCAGTGTCTCGGCCTGGGTTTCCCTCCAGCACAATTGTTCCGATTCTTCCATCTTGGGTGACGAATCCAGAGACATGACCAGACTACGAGACTTACATCAACACATGGACTGTTGCTATCATTCGAGAGATCTAATGTAGCATTTTATTCCAGACGATCCAAGGTAACTGCGCTGCTTCCCCCGCATGGAGTGTTGTTAAACAACCTTTGTGTAACGTTATGGCGCAGAAAAGTCGAAGGACCCGACCCAATGCTCGGTTCGTTCGCCCATAGATCCCCTGCAGGCGATGCTGATTCCGGCTGGGCCAAGTTAGACTGCAACGTCCGCTTTTGCGCCGCAGCACTTGTCATCACCAGAGACATTGTGCGAAGCCAGCTTATCAGCGAGCTGGGATACACGATCGCTGCTGGGGGGCACGTCTATGGCCGGGTTGGCTGTGAAGAAGTCTACAGGGCTGATGTGGAATGCCACAGTCTCCACAGGCCTGCACGTCCATGTCAGTGTGTGTACATGGCATACAAGGTAAGGTCTGCTTGGCGGAATACTCACATAACAGGCCAGTCTTCAACCCTGGGATTGTGCGTCAGTCCGAAGCAGACCCAGAAGACAACATCCGTCTGCACCACATCATCCTTCCGCGCTGCGGCATCCCTTACTCCGCCGTGCTCCTCGACGCTGGAGAACGGGTATTTGCCCGCGGCATACAGCTCGTCATCTTTGTACTTCGTCACCCAAACATGCTTTTGGGCAAATCTTGCGCGCTTGGCTTGGATGCTATCGGGATCCGAAAGCAAGAGCTGTGTGGCCGGGGGTACGATCTTGTAGCCAACCGGTTTACCCGACACAGTGTTCTTTTTCTCCAGGTTCTGGATCTTGAACAGTCGCGCGTTCTCTATCTTGGCGTCCAAGCCGGCCGAGCTGGTAATGGGGGTCTCCCGCACCTCGTACCAGTTTCCATGGGGATTGGTGCGTGCATCAACCTGTACCGGCAGTGACTCGCTTTGGACCACCGTGTTGGCGTGACCGTCAATGGCGGGATCGATGCGGACGCAGAATATGTGTTGATGGTTCTGTGCCAACGCGCCCGGAGACACCACGTTGCCCCAGGGGGCCGTCTTCCCCGGGTCGATACCGACTACGGACACAATGCCTGTCGCGCGCACTTCGACCGTGATGGCGCCTGCCTGGTCGAATTTGTACTATTCCGTCGAGAGAAGAGGTCAGTTAGCTCCTAGGTCCCGGGGTCGAGGGGTGCAGGCCAACGTACGTTGAAGACGTATTCGTAATTCGCCAAAGTGATGATGAACTGGACCACCAGCTCCCGGCGGCGAGTCACAACAGCACGACCAGTCCTCCAGTTAGTGTGTTTCCAACCAATGCCGTTATCCTGCTCGTGGAGGCAGATGACGTTACGGGCGACTTTGACGTTGCCCTCGGGGCTCACTAGGATGCCGTCAAAATACTGTGCCGCTACGTCAGCCACGTCTCCTAGCGTGAGCGGTCCAACTTACCTTTATTACACCAAGACAATCGCAACCCAAGAGGAGATTGTTGGTAACGTGCCCAATGCCACCGTCGCCAAAGTCAAAGGCCTGCTTTCTCTGGAACGGAGAACGCGGGTCTGCGTAAGGTACAGTCTGCAGCGCGTCAGAATCAGGCCACGATGGGAGATGAGAGGAGCATGATTGGGACCAAATCTTACCATCTCGCTCATGGCCAGCCGATACAGAATACTCCTTCCTTCATAGTGGATGTCATGGATGACAGCCCCCTCACGACTGTTAAAGCTGACACGAAACCGCCATTTCTGCCACTGCACCAGGTTATCGTCCGACACCGAGAAACTAGGCCCTTCGGGCTGCACCACGCTCAGGGGCTTGAGATCCTGCCGCGTGCCCCCGGAGACGAGCTCTGGGACGTATTCGGCCGGCCGGCAGTGATCAATCACCGGCCCAGTGGCAGGCTTTTCGACGACTAGAGGGTCCATGCCGCCTCCCGTGGGAAGCTCGTCGATGCGGATGATCTGACGGAGATGATAGTCCATAACAGGAATGATGGGAAGCGGAAACGCGTAGAAGTTGGAGTCGGGATTTCCCGTGCTCTTGTCCACGGCAAACACCAGGCCTTGGAAGAAGCGCCGCCCTCGAGGGTCATCCTTTTCCAGGCCGCCGTACGGCCAGGGCTCCACAACAACCTCGAAGCCAGGAGGCAACACAAACTGCTTGATGCGTTCCTGGAACATGGGCGATGCCATGCAGACGTCGAGGAAATGGTCAAACTCCCACGGGCATAGAGAAACCAAGAACTGGGAATCGACGGTGGTGCGGCGGACGATTTCTTTCCTTCCCACGTCGACCACCGCTTCCATGTACACGGCCTTGCCTCCGCCGGATGACGCGGCGCCGGGCTCGACCAGGTTGTAGTGCACCTGGGCGAGGCGAGGGGGACGCGGCGTTGTTGCTGCTAGTTTCCCGGCATGCTCCAGCTCGAGGAACTGGACGAGCTCGGCCTTTGGAGGCTCCTGGAGATCGATCACACGGAAGTGAAGCAGAGTCGCAGGGTGGTCCGCCTTGATGAGGTCCCTGGCAAGTTCTGCCTCGGCGAAGGTGAGCGGAGAGAGTGGATGGCGAGGTACGTTTTTCGAATCCATGGTGTCTGAGTTTGCAGATGAGAGCTTTGCAGATGATGGGCAACAAAACCACTCAATGATGATGTCCGGTCGGGGACTCGTTGCTTTTATTCGGTCACATCAGAAACGGACGATGTTGTTTCAAGGCATTGACGTGGCTCGTCGACTTGTTCAGTGCCGAGACTGACAGCCGAAGACCCAGAAAAGATAAGTAGGTGAGCATCGCTAGATATCTTCCGCCTCCTCATGGGCCTTGCATCTCTGCCAGTGTATCGTACAGGTACTAGTAACTATTCCAGGTTGTCAACATGGTTCTATCCCCCGGTCGACGCCACCAGGGGTCACAAGGGCTTGGCCAATGAAGCCTAGCCTTGCCCGGCGCTTCGACCTGCCCATTTGGGTTATAAGTGGGCGCTGTGGTACACGACGCGACGCCCGTATCAACTCTTGTGACTTACCCCAGATTTTGCGTTCCAGATATCGGGATCAGCTCTCCAGCCAGTCTCCACTGGCAGCCAGCCTTTCATGATAACCAGATGTATCAGGGAATTCAAAGAAAGTCATAGGGCAAGATCCGGCAGTTATCTGACTTGATATCTCCTCGTCGGCAAATGTGCTATAGCATGCCCCTTATCAGTCTTCCCTGCAAGCTGAGAGTGAGCGATGCATCCTAACGTCAGTCTGTGCGTTGGGGATGCGCGCCGAGATGTCCAACACCCAGAAAGCCGACCTGCGCACTGCTGCATCTATATAGACAGCTATGCCTTGCATCGATTCCCATCGTTGGACGTCTAGTATTTCGACATTGCCTTATCCCTGATTCTTTCAACATCGCCAACGGACTTGCATGTAGATACCTCATCTCAGTCGTCCGAGCTATAAACAACAGTTCGGACTATACGACACATACCCGCAAGGTGGGGTTAGCCATCATGAGCTCATCACTGGACGACCGACTTCCACCGGGCACAGTGCTGCTGATATCGCGTGAGTTCCCCTTTTTGCAGGATGGTAACGCGCTCATGAATGCCAAGTTGCCTGTGCTAAGCGTGAGGACAAACAGGTACGGCGGCAACCGAGATGGTTCTCCAGCCAACACCGTCTAATGATCCAAATGAACCGTTGGTGAGCTCTCTGGTTCTGATTAGGCCCATTACCATTGTGGTTGACTGATCACTAATGGAATGGATATCTAGAATTGGAGCATCTGGCGCAAATTGGTCAACTTCACATTCGTTCTTGCAGTGACTGTCGCCTCATTCACAGCGTAAGTTCAAGCGCAACAGAACGACCCTTTCCTCCTGAGCTAGAGGCACATGCTTCGATGAGTAATTGATCCCTCGGCTAACTTGGAATGCTCTGAATAGCATCCAAGTGCAAGCAATATTCTGGCCGCAGATGCTCGGAGACATGGACGTGAACCAGAGACAGCTCAGTTATGGTTTGGCAGTCCAGGTTGTGGGCCTCGCCATGGGATGTCTTCTCCTCATCCCTCTGACCAAGAAGTACGGCAAGCGACTGACATATATACTGGCAACACTCGTCATGGCCGGCATGTCCTTCTGGTCAGCAGAGATGAAGACTGCTGTCGAGCTGTACATGACCAATTTGCTGTATGGGCTTGCTTGTTCCGTGAACGAGACAGTGGTACAAATGACTGTAAGTGTCTGTCTAAGTACCCTTCTGACAGGGGACAATAGATCCACAGATGAAGGGTAAACCCGCTAATACATCAAAACACATCAGATTGCGGATCTTTTCTTTGTCCATCAACGCGGAAGCGCCAACGCCGCCTACATCGTGGCCGTCATGGTCGGCAGTTTCCTCACAACCATGGCCGCAGGAGTGCAAGCGGAGCAACAGGGCTGGCGCTGGTCGTACCGGTCGGTGGGCATTGCGTTGACTATTCTGGCCGTTCTCTTCATTCTTTTCTTTGAGGAGTCCAAATACATTCCTGTCACCGAGGGCTACTCCGCTCGCAGCTTGGGAGTCATACCGTCACACGACAGCAGCCTGGAACGCGCCCAGGAGAAGAACGCGGACGTCGAGAAGACAAACATAGGCAACGGCATGCACCCAACCATGTCAGCGCCATACGATTCAACCGATCCGCCACCCCGTCATACATACAGACGCCGTATGCGTCTGGTTACCAAGACCAACGAGTCCCTGTTGAAACTGGCCTTCTCTCCTCTACGCACCGCCACACTGCCGCACGTTCTCTACACGGCCATCCAATACGCCAATGCCATCTCATTCCTGGTGCTGCTCGCGACGTGCAACTCGATCCTCTTTTCCGCTCCGCCCTACAACTTCAACGTGGCCGGCATAGGGTACATGGCGCTGGGCCCCTTTGTCGGGAACGTGTTTGGCAGCATCTACGGAGGCCCTTTCACCGATTGGTTCATCGTGCAGATTGCGCGCCGCCGAGGCGGCTACTACGAGCCCGAGATGCGGCTGTACAGCCTGGGCCTGCCCGCGCTGTGCATGTCGGGCGGCATCATCATGTACGGGACCACTATCGACCGAGGCATGCACTGGATATTTCCGAGCATCGGCGGGGCTCTCTTTGCCTTTGGCCTGGGCTCCATTGGGGATGCGTCCTTTACGTTGATCATCGACACGTACCGCGAGGTAAGGAACCCCGGCTCAGGCTCTGTTCAGTTCAGTTCCCGCGAAGCTGGAGAATATTCAGTCGCTAACACGATGTCCTGGCTCCAGCTGACGGCAGAGTGCTTTGTATTCGTCACGTTCGTCCGCAATGCCGTGACGGTGGCTGTTCCTTTTTACAATATCCCTTGGATTGAAAGCATGGGACTAACCAAGATGTTTGTCATGGCTGGATGTATCAATCTGTTCTTCAGTTTACTCTTCATTCCGCTTGTTATTTATGGAAAGAGAATCAGGATTGCACTCCATGGACACTACGATAGAATGGTGGAGAGCCAGTAGGAGATTCTGTACGGCTGCTTTTGCTTGTGTTTCCTGATAGGTGGTTCAGGGGGGTAAAGGGGTTGTCCGCTACGACCGGTGGTGCCCACGAGAGCAGGGGTTTTCTGTGTAGCTGGGGCGTCTCAAAGATGCGCCCCGAATCAAATCGGTTCGACGTGGGAATGACTTTGAGTTCAAGACGCGGCAATGAGGTATCATTTCTCCGGTCCGCTCAAGAACAGAAGGATTACCAACTTATGATGAAGGGCAAGGCTGTGACCGGTTCTCCCCCGGCAGCCATACAATGGGTTAGGTGCAATCAAAAAGGTACACGAATTACTTGATGACAGGCAAACGTTCGCAACCCGCCCTTTGACTCGGATCACTCCCATCGATCACTATCAGCATAACCGTAAGCCAGCCTGACGATCCATCCATCCCCTTCGTTCTCGCCCTTAGCATTCACACCTCCCCACAGCACAACCCCGCGACCTCCGAGACAGGTATCGGCACCAAAGAAGGCCCTAGGGCCAGGATGAACCTTGCCCCCTTCTATCATCTGCTCCGTCGGAACAATCTCGGCCTCGGCCCATCTAAACTCTCCAGACGCCATGGCGGGCATTTCTTTTTGGATCTTGTCCTTGGCCGAGGCTAGACTGAATCCTTTCGTCGGCAGTTGCAAGGTCCAGATGTCTGAGAAGTACTCTAGCCCCGGCTCGTCTCCTGAAACGTCGGGCGCGGAACGCCCGAACATATACACCAGATACTCCCGCCCATGCCCCGTCGTCAACGGCACCAACGCACCGCCCTCCCGCGGCTTTGGGCGAGGAGATTGGGGGTCTGCCCCAACAGTAACCGTCTGCCAGACCAACGCGCCAGGCTTCTCCCTTTCAGTAGGTGATTCTCGCATGTCCATGCAATGCACCGCAACGCGATCCCCAGCGGCATCCCGAGAAACGATATAAACCGTGCCGCGAACGTAGGCAGCAGCCAGCGGCTTTGCAGGAGCCCGCGGCAGTGTCGTCCAGGCGAGCGCGTTGAAGTCGTACATCCAGACCTCGGTCTCGGTGTCGGCCTCTCCTTCCTCTGCCGCCATGCCACCACCACCACCGTGATGCTCCTCCCCCTTCCCGCCAACAAGGACCAAAAACCCCTGCGGCTCATCCGCAAAGATCCAGTGCCCCCACCGCGGCCGCATCCCACCCGCAACCCCGAGCTGCTGGCTGTCCCCGCGCAGCTTGGCCCAGCTCAGCTGCTCCCAGTCCCACCGCCACAGACAACTTCCTTCGTCGATTGCTCTGCCAGCGGCGGCGGCGTCCCGCCCGCCGTGGACCAGCAGGAAGCGGCCGCCACCCCCTGCGCACGCGGCATGGTCTTGCCGCGCCGACGGAACCAGGGTTTCGCCCGTGAATGCGTCCTGCAGCGTGAACGGCGGGTAGCAGGTGTATGCGGTCTGGTAGGTTGTTGGTGGCTCCAGGGTGGTGCCGTTATTGGTGGGGAGGGTAAGGATATGGATTGCCGGCGGGCATAGCGCAGGTCTGGACTCTGAGGCGTCCGCCTCCGGAGAATCAGAGTCGTGCCGCCCGCCAAAGATGGTCGCTTGGTCGTTGATCACGGTGAGCGTGTGGTGCGAGCGGGCCAGGGCTGGGTGGCTTCGGTTTGGGCAAGGATGAAGCAGGTCAGATTGGTTGATTGAGATTCGTCCAAGTCAGGATAACGAGAGGAGACATACGGTGTGGATTTGGTGGCTGGACCCTGGATCTGTGTCAGGGAGATCTTGAGAGGCAAGGTGGGCGCCGCCATTGTTGCGGCCGCTGCTGCTGCGTCGGCGCCTGCTGCGACGACTCGTGTGGCCGTTGCCGCTGTAGCTTCAGCCATGATGTCGATGAGATACTATGAATTGAGGATTGAGATTTGATATATCAGCGAATTATGCTTCAAGATTCCCCATCCAAGTATGGTCCAACTGATGCTGCCAAGATGTAGAATGAATGAGTTTCATGGAAAGTGGCACCGCACATCGTGAGAGCATACCTTGAGGTACCTGTTCGAACCATGACGTAATGGGGTTGATCAACATGCTTCAGGGGAAGGAGGGGGGTCACCACAACTACCGTGACTGAGGTGCCATTATTTCCAATTCATCAAGCAATGTTCAGTTGTGGTTTTAGACCATTATGTTCTATCTCACTACGGATGACCCCAAAGGGAATGCTCATATTGTTCAAGTTCTTGCTTCCTCTCTACTAGGTAGTAGGTATTTAGTGCTTCATGTTAACATACTAGTACTTCAATACTTCAAGTTGTCTAACTGATATATTCGAAGCAGATAGTAGGGCGTTCAAGCGTCTCCCGGATCTCACCTATGGTTGGAGTTTGTTCTTTGTGTTCGCAAGTCAAGGACGTGGGCCATAGAGAATTCCCAAGATCATCTGCAGTGGATGTACCAAATCCCGAGTCCATTCCCAAACCGTCCCGTGTTATTGAAGAGCAGCTTACTGTTCTGGTTTTCGATAGTCCAGTCCCGACTCTCAGCAGAGTGATGGCGGCCATGAATGTGATAAGCTGCAGCTCGAAGTTGGCACGACCAGCTTCCCAACCAGCTTCCTTACCAAGAACGCTGCAAATCCGAGTGAACCCCGGAAATGACAGCGCCTCAGGCTGAGCTGAGGCTGACGGAGCAATCTGGAGCCAATCCTTCTGTTTGCAAACCACTTCCTATCCGATCTAGCGCCTGAAGGCTCACTTTGGATCCGACGGCAGGATGCAGAGCACAAAGGTCGAGACCTGCCACTTTCGTCATCAGCCAATGAAGATACATGTGAAGGCGGTGAGAGATGTCTTGGGGATTCTCTTGGCTGAGTGCATTGCGGGGATGAACGGAAACCAGACTGAACCATTCGAAGAAGCGCGCGGGGCGTGGCTGAGTGCCAGCCAACCACGGACTGCAGTGGTGCTACACACGTCACCGAGTACGAAGCTGTCTCACGCAGGCGAGCGTTACCAAGGGAAGGAGTTGCCCTGGGGGAGCATAATATGCCTTGGTCGTTCACCCACAAGTCCTCGTACATGATACGGTACGGCCTCTCCGCGATCCGTGGTCTCTTACACAATACTGTACGTTGGCAGTACCCCAGCATTCCGCATACCTCACCATGGACAACCACCACGTCTGCTCCATTGTCCCCCGCTACTTGCTCGAAAGTCTCTGCGAATGCGACGACGAGGAAGTCCGGAATAGCGCCCACGCCACCCTCGCCGTTGCTGAGGCGCTTGTCAACAACCGCAACGAAATCTTTGCGGCCAAGTGTAGCGGACATCACGGCCATGGAGGCGGCGGGGGCGGCGGGCAACAGTACCACCCCCATAGCATCGTTCCCGGCACGCTTCTCCAAGCCGTGGTGGATTCACCTGAAGCATCGGATGAGATGAAGGCCGCTGCTAGGCAGAACCTTGCCGTCTCTGAGCAAATTCGCGAGGACAGGGAGGCTGCGCTGGCTAAAGCAGCCGGTATCACGCCCTTGGCCCCTGAAGCGGAGTCGGAGGCCGGAACAGCCCAGGGAAGCCGGGAGACGGCAACGGGCTTCATGCGCAGCGTCTACAACATGCAGAACGGGGGTAACGTCCAGGACCCATCGACCTTTGACCTGCTGCCCGGCAAGCCAGCACGGATGGAAGGAGAGAAAGCCACGAAGGACGAGGAAGTCAACGAAGCATACGACATGGCGCTGCACGTGCTTCAATTCTACAAGAAATTTCTCAACTACGATTCTTTAGACGGCCAGGCCATGGAAGTCAAGAGCTCGGTTCACTTTGGCAACAAGCTGGGCAATGCTTTCTGGCTAGGCAGTCATGAGCAGATGGTGTATGGAGACGGAAACTCCTTTCTGCACAACTTTACCGGCTGTGTTGATGTCATTGGCCATGAGATGACCGTAAGCCCGATCCCATGCGTACAGGCTGTGTCTGTGACGAGAATCCCCATCTCTTCTCTCTAACAAGACCACTTCCAGCACGCCGTAATCCAGTACAGCGCGGCCCTCATCTACCGCAACGAGTCCGGCGCGCTGAACGAGCACATCTCCGACGCCTTTGGCATCATGGTCAAGCAGATGTACGAAAACGAGATGGCTGAGCACGCTGACTGGCTCATTGGCGAAGGCTGCCTCCTGCCCGGCGTGAAGGGCGTCGCTCTGCGGAGCATGAAGAATCCGGGCACGGCCTACAATGACCCTCGCTTCGTCAGTTCATATTGTCATCTGCCGCCCTCCGTTTCCCATGATTGAGCATAGCCGATTCCTAACTGATACCATGACCTATGTAGGGCTCTGACCTCCAACCCTCACACACCGACCAGATCCCGGACTTGATGAAGAAGCACGGCGATTTCATCCGGAACCGTGACTATGGCGGGGTGCACGTCTTGTCGGGCATCCCCAACCGCGCCTTCTACCTAGCCGCCGTTGCGTTTGGAGGGTACTCATGGGAGAAGGCCGGCAAGATCTGGTGGAAAGTTGTCTCGGAGCGGGCAATCCCTCCGAACTGTACCTTTATCCAGTTTGCCGATGCCACAGTTGATGCGGCCGAGGCCTTGTTTGGCACCGAGGCGGCTGTCATTGTGAGAAACGCGTGGAATCAGGTTGGGGTGGCCAGGAAGGTGTAAGATCTCTTCTAGTACTTCCCCTACTTAGAGACCTACCGTCACCTACGTAGCACCTTGCGGTCTCGACGCTACTCAGCGGCAAGGGAAAGAGGAAGAAGAGCGGAGAGTAAAGAAAAAAGTGAGAGATGAAACTAAAGGACCAGATGTAGAGATTGTGGACAGGCACGAGGAAATCATCGTGAGGAAAAGAAACTTGATTACAACCCTGACTCAACAATTCGACAACACAGTCAGGCGGCATGGAGGGATTAGTTTATGGCTACGAAGACAAGAGTACGGAGTACCGCAAGTATGTTAATTGATCTGATCCTAATTATAGCTGTATTGTAATGTACCAGACAGTATGTGCTGTATTCTTGGATACGGAGGAATTTATTACAGTAGTGTACGAAGTACGGAGGAATTTCTTACCTTACCGGAGATTCACCACCGCCATCATTACTGCTTTTGGGTGGCCCACTGTGGGCAGTTCCACACGAGATCTCGCCTGTCTCACCTGCCTACTGTAGCCTAGATCCTGCCTCTCAATCTTGAAGCACCAGGGGTTTCTCATGGCAGGAACCAATCGATACCTCCCGTTGCCACGATCTGGAGACATGCCAAGTCGCAGCATGCAGGCTGAGTAGTACCAGCCCTGTGGCTCGGGCAAGCCGTTCAAACGCTGACTGGTTCCTTCGGGTACGAACTGGGCTTGGACATCAATGCTGACTGGGATGGAATGGGCAGAAATTTCGCATGAGTTTGCGCCGGATAACTCCTACTTAACCAACCGTCAAGGACATCCATCGCCCAAAATATCGACGCGAAAGAAAAGAGTTCATATTCCCGACCGTCATTTCGCATTAACAAGGCCGCGGAGAAGAGCTGCCGCCGTCAATTGAACACGACTTGGAGCAACGCATCTTCCGATCGATCACCAAATCATCACCATGTCGCCGCCGTATGTCGTCGGCGACTCGTCGCCTTTTCTCAAGCGCGTTCTCATTCCCTTTTGGGTTATCCGCATCATCATCATGGTCATCCAGATCGGTGTATACGGAGTCCTCATCGCAGGACTTGGCGTCTTCAAAGACGACGTTCAACGGCTCTGGAATGAATACAATACCTCACTCAGCTACGACGCCGTCCTGGGTATCGCGGTCGTCATATTGCTCATTGTCTTACTCTGCCTCATCCTCGACTTGGTCTGCATTATCAAACGTGCCAGGCGGACGCTCAGCCCTCCGTTCTTCCTCGGAGTCAACATCGCACAGTCTGTCTTCTACCTCGTTAACTTCATTCTGAGCATGGTCGGCGCGAGCAGTGGTCCCCTCGCCATTGCCATTAGTGTTATCATCTTGTAAGCATGCTCTTAGAATTATTGGCCTTCATTGCCGAGTACATCGACTGACAAATTCTGCCAGATTATCATTCCTTGGCCTTCTCATCTACGCAGGCGTGGTTTTCCACCAATATCGCAAGGGCACTCTCTCGTACGCGCCCGCCCACAACCCCGAGGCCCACAAACTTGTCGTCCAAAATCACACCGCCTATCAGCCTCAGACGACGTATCCCCAGCCGTATGCTCAGGACTACCCCCAGACCGGCTATTACGACCCTCAGGCCGCTGCGCAGCCTAGTCCTGCCCACGCCGGTCAGGGCTACGCCGGCCAGAACATCGCCAGCCCGGGCTATGCCGCTCAAAGCTACCCTGCTCAGCCCCAACAACGGCACCAGCAGAGTTATGAGACGAACCCGCACTTCCCGAACAGTTCTTCAGCTGTCTGATTCCGGCGTTATGGTTAGACGACAAGTTTTTTTTTTTTTTTTTTTGGGTTTTTCCATTGCATGGCGCGGCGTATTTGGGCCTCGGTCGTTCAAGGGTTCTTAATCCATGGGTTTCCTGTACTTTGGGACTGGCTATGGCTTTGCGCGGACGGTTGATGGAACTCAAAAATATTGATAGATGTCAGGCTGCACAGATACCTAACGTAATGTTTTACCAGACTTTGTTTTTATCCCCTTTGTTGAGTGCACGCCGTGGCTGTCCGGGCAGCAAAAGCGGGACTGGCTTGGATTACTATTGGGCACTCATCTGCCTATGAGACCAAGCCACCTTACATCGCCAGACACGAAGCCCAACGCACAAATCCGACGCGCCTTCTGGACCAGCAATTCCTTCACGGTGCCCAACTACAGTGGGCTCTTTCTACAAACTGGAATTCGCTTACGGATAGCCACATCAACCTCCGAACCTTACATGGAAAGCTGTCAAGTCTGGCCTCCCTTGTCATTGGGACCAGCTTGGCCACGTCGAAATGGGGATTGGTAGGGCACCGTTCCCTTGTCCACATGCTGCCAGACGCATGCGTTAAGCCTGGCTGCTATCCCAATGCTCGCCATATCCATGTCGCTTTGAGTTGCATATTCCCTTCAGCTTCAGTTCTGTTTCTTATTCATATCTCACAATCGCTGGCCGATTATCTAGTTTTCTTGTTTCTTTCCACTATTTCCCGTCAAGACGCCTTCAGCAACTTTTGACTTCATGACCGATTCACCACAGCCGGCTTCCCTTACTCGGACCCGGTCGCACAGATCTCACAGGTCTCACAGGTCTGTCTTCACCGAGGAATTTGACCCCCAGCACTCTCTACCATATCTCGATCTCGGGATGGACGGGACGCCGTCTGCTTCTCCGACGCCTCGGGATATACGACGCCTCGCCTCCGATCATGACTTTGTTCTTGGCGCCCACCCAACCCCGAGGCGGCTTGGTCTGTGGCCGTTCCTGGTCACTCACCTCTCCTTGATTGCTTCCCTGGGTGCCGGCATTATCTTCGTGGTCGTTGCAATCGCCTATACAAGCGTAATAAGCGAGCAGATGCTCGAGTGCCCGTCATGGGCAAACGGCTGCACGAGGGCTGATGCATGGACAGTCGAGAATCTGGGGACGATCCAGGGTATCATCACACTCATATACCTTCTTGGCATGGTAGCTCTGGGGTACTCGGCGTTGGGCCTTTGCGAGGCTACAGTGTGGCCGCTGCTGCACCAGCAGTCGTTTACGATTGGGGGCCTCGATGCCTATTTGGCCACAACCCGGGGATCCATCATGTCGGTGCCTGCGGCGATCATGGCAGTGAGGTCACTGTCTGCAGGGCTCGTTCTGGCCGCGGCGCTCGCAGTCACCCTGCTTCCGCTTGCCGCGCCGCCACTTGTTGGACATGCATTTACCCCCGTTCGGCAACCTGTCCAACTTGAGAGCAACTACACTCCGGGAGGAGGGATTGGCGAACTGTATGCGCAGACGAATCCGCCAACTTCCGTGATGGTCCGGATGCTCGTTGAGTACGACTCCTGGGCAACGAGTCCATCGTCCGAGCCTCTATCTCACTACCGTGACTGGTACATTGACCGGGAGACGCTGAAGGGAAGGGGCAACTTCTCTGCCAATGCCGTCAGGCTTCAGACGTCCATCTCCTGTCGCCCGCACACACTGCAGCAGCTAAGGAGGGAAAATGCCTGGTGGAACGCTTTCCTGACCAATATGACTCGCAGCAGCAGCAACTCAACCCAAACTGGCGACAATAACACCAATGCGGAGGTCTGGGTCCGTCCGCAATCACAGCTTACTCTCTGGGCCGATAGCTTCGATTTCTTGTCAGACCGCCGCACTCAAACAACGCTCATTCTCGCGGCACTGAATGGAACCATTGAAGGTGGCAGCGTCACTCCAGTTATCGTTGGGACACTGACCAGCGCATCTGCCATAGCATGCGACGTTGAGATCGAAGCCATAGATGACATCCTCTCCGTGGGAAGCGAGGGTCCCGTCCCAACAGAAAATTTCCCCGTCCTCTCTTCCACATCCGACCTGACCGTCAGCCGCTCCGTGTCCCCGGACACCCGGCTCAACGAGCTTCTCCTCTGGTTCACCGTCGCACCCCTCCTAGCGAGCAGCAGCGTCGACGGCACGCAGCCCATGTTCGCCAACTCGTCATCCACCCACCGACCTGTGGCGTTAACCACCTCAGCCACCACCACGACGATCATGGACAGCAACACCGACACCAACACCTGGACAATCCCCGGCCTCTCGGAATTCATCCACGTCTCCATCGGCGCCCTCGCGCAAGCAACCTCGTCCAACCGGGACCAACCCAACTTGAATCCCAGCACCGTCACGATACGCTCAGAGACGCTAACAAGGAAACTATCCCCGTCCCGAGCAAAGCTCCTCACCATCCTCCCGGCCACAGCGCTCACCATCCTGGTGCTGATGACCGTCTACACGGCCTGGCTGCACGCACGGCTGGCCATCCCCGTCATGCGGCCCGTCTCCCTCGGCGAGCTGCTCAAGAGCGCCCAGACGGCCTGGCTGCGCGACACGGCGGGCACCGACGCCGCCAAGACATACCTCCCCAACGAGCTCGGCCGGGTCTGGGTGCGCTACGGCGTCGACGCGGACGGCATGGCCGGGCTAGGATCCGGGTTCGGGTCTGAGCATGGTGCGGTTGGGGCGTTTGTGCGTCGAGGTCAGGGGCAGGCTCAGGGCCAAGGTCAAGGCCGAGGAGGGGGTGGCTTGATGGGGAAAGGGGTTGGGGTGGCTGTTTAGGTGGATCAAGGGACGATTGGATGGAGAAGGTACCTTGGTTGGTGAGATGTGCTGGGTGGGGTTTGGGTTGGGTTGGGTTTTTGAAGGCTGTGGCTATGGACTCCCCCAGTTTTCGAGGGCTAAGGTGCTACTAGTTAGGTATTACTTGCCCTTTGTTCTGGCTTAACCTTTGTTTGGGACGTGATGGAGCTCAGGGGTTGTGCTTGCACGGATCTTTCATAGTCGCAGATTCCCCTTTTTCCATTTCTCTCTTTCGTCGTTGCGCGTGACTGGGAATTAGCAACGGTGCCTGGATTGGGCGTTACATGGGAACGGACGGGACGGATTTCAAGGGGCTTTGGAATATAATGGACCAAGGGCGTTACGGGTTATGAACTTATGTATCCTATAGATCAAGTACAGCACGTAGTTTATGGTCGCTCTAGGAGCGTTAAGAATATCCCCTAACTTGTCGTGCTCCAACTCATATGCTGCCAGCCATCCCGCTTGCGCTTCGTTCCTTGCCACACATCCGATCCAAGTTTGATCTAATGCTCACCATAGTGGAAGAGGCCAGTCGATGTCGGGCGACCTGTCGATGCCGTCCGCCGACGTCGTACCAGGCGGAAGTCTGGGTTCGGTGGAAGGAGCATCGCCGACCTCGGGTTGGTACGGATACGTCTTCTCGAATGAATTCACCTCGACCCATCTGGCCATGGCGAAATAAGTGTAGCAGTCGGCTGTCAAAGAGCAGGAATGTCAGCCAAGCGGAGTCTAACATGAAGTAGGTTGCCTAAGGTACCGAGAAAGCAGTAAGGTAAGGTCAGGTACTCACAATTTCGCGATGACCACTGGGAGGGCGTGTGGGCTCGATCCCAGTTAGCGAGGCGTTTGGCGTGGATGATGCCGTACGCTCTCTCCTCGTTCCCGTCACGATTCCTGATGATGAGGTCCGGAACGTCCGGATCCTGGTTGGCCATGGTGTTCATGAAGTACTGCATATGCATTGCCTCGTGCAGCCATATGGCTGCCCTGCTCCAGGTCCAATTCTCCAGGTAGATGCGGTCTTCGGCCCTTTTCAGGTAGTTCATGGTGTTGGTCAAGTTCACCAGATCCTTGGAATTGTCCATGTACAACTTGCCAAAGACAGTCGTCGTATAGTCCTTGGGGTCATTGAGCGTATAGGCAACACCTTCGTAAGCACTGCCGTCAGGGTGATTGTTACAGCGGACCCTGATCCAGTTGTACCACTGTGGAACCGGGGGACGGAGGTCGTCCCACCAGTGCGCCCACATTTCCGAGGCGTAGTAGAACTTCTTCTGGATCAGCGCCTTCTGCTCGTCAGATATCGAGCGCCCCTCGCCACTGCCGAAGAACTCATTGACAGCGCGGCTGTTCCAGTCAATGTTGGATTTCAGACGGTCCAGGTTGGACAAGGAGTTGAAATCGTCCCACCCCTTATTAATCTTTGATCTTTCGGTAGAGAATATGGAGCCACACCCATCATATCCAAAAAGCCGAGTGCCTCGCAGGTTCTTGATGTCAATGTCGGAACCATCATCATTCTTGAGAGGAGGATATGGTGGAATCTCGTCCTGGAAATAAACAGGGGCATTATCCCAGATTTCTCCATCCCGGTCGTTGACAGAGTAGGCCGGCAATCCTGGGTTACCTATAGAGTATGAGCGTGAGCAAGTTACTTACTCTGGTATGATCCATTTGGAGGCACATCGGCACCGGCCACGTTTCGTGGGAATGACGGGAGACTTACTGACAGCGCCATCATCGCCCCCTCCTCCACCCTCGCATGTGTTCATGTGTGTTTGCGCCGTGTTCGTTCCGGGATCTAGGATCTGATGAAGGTCTGCTCGGCCCAAGCCCCCTATGTTCGCAAAGTACTTTGAAGAGAGACGAGCGGATCAGCAACGCATGCATGTGTACGACCCAATGATCAGACAACAGAGACAATGCTTACCAGACATTCTCCCCGGTCCACGCCACTGTAGAGAACGCCTCGGTCTGTCCAGCTGAAGGAGGAGCCGCCACCGCCCCCACCGGGACCCTTGAAGCCGTTGTTGGTGAACACCCTGCCGGCGCCGGTGTACTTGTTCATCCAGATAATGTCTGCTCTACCTGAGTTCTCCACGTCTGCAAACCGCAGGTTGGCACGATCCCAACCTTCGGCGAACTTGATCTGGCCGGCGTTGAATAGGCCGGATGCTCTATTAAGCCACGCAGTCATTCGCCCACTCGTCTCGATGCAGATGGGATCGGCTCGTCCATCGCCACTGTGAGATGAAAGAAACTGTGCGTGAGCTTGGATATGATTTCAGGTTTGTATGCCAGGAATGGGGTGACTTGGTTAGCAACTTGAAGTGAACGTACTCAATGTCTGCGATGCGCATGCCGCGGTCAAAGATGCCGACTCCCCAGCCTTGGTTACACCCCGTCTCGGCAACCACGCCTCGATTGGTAAATGTGATGGTGTCTCTCCCAGATTGCCAGTCATTCCGATATAGGGTCAAAGCCCCCGAAGCCTTGTTTTGAACCAGTACATCGCATTTCCCGTCTCCGTCCCAGTCGGCCAGGTGGATGCCCGTCCGAGGCCCAGGCACGCTGAGAGAGATGTTGAGGTTGTGGCCCCACTGCAACACTTGATTAGCATACTTCAGGTTCCCTGTAGCCTAGGACTTGGGGCAATGTCCACAGTCTCACTAGAAGGGACAAGGTACTAGCATGAAAAGAACTTTTGAGTGGGGAGACTCACATTCGGGGGTGAGTGGATGTTCAGGTTGACCTGGTCCAGCTTGCCATCGTAGTAGATCCAGACGTAGTCGTCTGAGCCGCTGCCAGTCATGTCGCAGTAGAAGTTACCATCTGCTTTACGCTTCGTACCGCCCCGTCCTGTGTTCTCCCAGACACGGACTTCGTAATGGTCGTCGGCTTCCCTGAGGTAGATGTAGTCAAGCCGGTTAGATCCGTAGATACGGCCGAACTTGATATTTCCAGTGATGCCAGTGTCGGCCTGGCCGGGGTGTGTGAGGCCTGCGCTCCGCCATTCAGGTACCTGCTCCACAACATGAAGGTTAGCCACTTGTGCTGGGGCCAAGGGCTATGGTACAGTAGGGAGATTGATATATGACTCGATCAGGGCAGAGGTGGGGCCCGGAGGCTTGAGGACTCACAATTCCCTTGCCGTGCCCTCGTTGATTGATGAACGTATCCACATTTCCGTTGTCCCCTATATACATATAGTCGGCTCGATAACTGGGAATGAGTCAGTCGGGCATCATTGTATGTACTTGTGCTGTGTACCTCTAACATGGATTGAATGGGACGCAAGTGCTTGGAAACCTGAAGACGTACTCCCCGTTGAGATCACCCAACCAAACCCGCATTGTGTTGCCGGTTCTGGCAAAGACCTGCTCCCTAATGCCACCTTCAGTCTGGAACCCCTGCCAGAAATGCTCATCACCTCGTCCACCATTGCGTGAGCATCTCACAGGCTGGCCATCGGCGACGAAACATAAGTCGACCCTTCCATCCCCATCGATATCTGCATGCGGTCAGGAAAATTGTGCATACAGAGGGAAGGGCGCCCAAGCATCAATATGACGGAGCATAGAGGCAGGACATGGAATGTGTGCTGGACTGACCAGCCATGCGGACTTCTTGACCTGTCCGATCGCTTTCGCCGACAATCTGGCCAATATTTTTGAAGTTTGGTGGATTGCCGCCTTGATTCAATGAAGCCCATACGCCAGCATTGGGCGTGATGCAGAAGAAGTCGTCCAAGCCACTGTGGCAGAAGATTAGCATGCCAGGTACTAGTATTGAAGAGGAGGCGTCTCGATTGGAGTAATCAGTAGGTTCCTCGCTGGCGGGAGGCACTTACTCGTTGTTAAAGTCTCCCCAAGCGAAATCTGACTTAGATGAAAATGCAACAGTCAACAACAACCCTCTGCATTAGGAGTCCTCAACCCGATGCATTACTCACTGTTCTCAGAGCCACAATTCGAATCCACGTCGAGATCCTTGTCTGTGGAAAAAGAGCCGCCACTCCCAAGGTTCTGACGGAAAACCCAGTTTATTGTCCCGTCCGGGTCGGGCTTAGCGATGATAATATCATCGAGGGAGGCGTCGCGGGGCGCGTTGGGATCGCCCTTGACAATATTCGCAAAGTAAACATAATCAGGGACAGTTCCTGCAGCGCCTTGGGGAAGGATGTCCTTGCTGATGGTGGCAATGCTGCCTCTCTCGACACGATTGTGGACATAGTTGCCGTCATCTTCACCGCTTCCTTGCTGCGTCTTGAAGGGCCCCTTGGCATTTCCGGCAACCTTTTTGCAGGTATTCCCATTGGATCCTCCAGTCTGCGTATCGTCGACGGTGCCGTCGTTCACGGGTGGCTTGATCTTTCTCGCCACTCGATCTATGGCGGCTGCCCAGACGGCCGCAAAGAGCCTGTAGCCGTCATCGTTAGGGTGAATGCCGTCTGCGATCTGGTTCAGTTGAATGGCGTCGTGGATGTTGGCTAGTGTGATACGATAGCCGCGGTACTTGTTGTACACAAGTTGCCGATACTCCTGGCTCACGGCCGCAGTGCAAGACACAATACTTGCATTGGTGCTGCCACTCCTGACCAGAGTAGAGAGGATGACGGTTGTGTCTGGCCACCTCTGATAGATCTCATCGATCATCCCCGCCATATTGGTAGCCGTTCTCTTGGGATCCTGGAGATTTTGGCAATCGTTTCTATTTTCTTCTTAGTAAAGGCACCCTTTAGACATCAAGAATGTGCCCTTGACAGGTATCACTTACGTTCCGGCGTTGATCAAGACAAGATTAGGCTTCAAATTCGCCACGTTGGGGAGCTTCTCGCGGACCTGATGCACCCAAGCGCCGGGATGTCCCTCGTTGTCCTGGTAGCCGGGTGAATCAGTCACAGAACTCCTTCAGGTTGGTTAACGTGTGACTGCTCTGGCGCCCTTACATTATCAGCCATATTTCCATCCTGCTTTGTGCCAACCATGTTCACTTTCCATCCCTCGTAACGCAGATAGTCTCGGAGGGGTTTTCGATAACCATTTCCATCGCTAGAGGAAAGGCCCTGCGTGATTGAGGCGCCAAGGGGAAGGATTCTCAGGTAGAAGTCCTCGGCACGTTTGGAGAATGTGTTGGTGTCATTGCCAGAGCCTCCACCGCTTTCGTCCTCTGGGTACTCAGTCACTGGCCCGTTGCCAGCCGGCATAACCACATCAGGACTGTAGGAGCCAGCTCCGTTGGGCGGCGGTCCATCGGGCCGGTCCCAGACTTCGGCTGATGCGAGGCAGTGCCGATAGAGAGGGACCAAACAGAGAAGAGGGTGAAGCCAGCGCATGCTCAACGTTAGCTGCTTGAAGTAACTTGCAATGTGGAACGAAGAGAGTGAGGAGGTGCAATGAGTTGCTTGTGCTACAACAAGCAGTACGCAGCATCTAGACTCGAGGCGGCTCTGAGAGAGGCGCCTCCATCCCTTTTATCATCTCAGAATCTCACCTCTAAAGCCTCTCGACGGCTTCTAACATACCTACCAACGTAAGCCGCTCCAGGAGCTTTAGCACCGACAATATAGGTACCCGCGGAGCATGACTGTGCTCATGGGGCCCAAATATCTGGGAGGATCAAGCTAATAATTCCCGGATGCCTGGGTACGCATACTCCTTCCAAGGCAGTCGAGTAGGAGCTCGCGTAGTTATACCGAAATTGAGGAGCTAGTAGGGTTAGCGCTGATAACATACCCTAGGAGCATAACTGTGTTCATGAGTCCGAGGTGTTTGGTAGTATCAAGCTGACAAGTCCGAGATATCGAGTCGGCCCGGGTTTTGAGGGGACATGTCCACCCCGGACCACCCGGTAGGCTCAGCTGTGAATGACTGCGACCCGGGATCAGCCTGGGCTTTCTGCATCCAAACGCGTTCAAAGTGCAGCCCTAAAGCCCCAGTTCGGGACGCGATTACCGGATGATTGGATGGCGCATTAGCGAGGGATCCATGATAGTGTGGAACAGCAAGAGCAACCTCGAGGCTCAGTTCACCAGTGAATTTCGTTACCTCTGTTCGTGTGCTCCGACGAGAGAGCCTGAACCGCCAATCATGGTATCCAGTCCACAGCAGTTCCTTCCAGTTGCTTTCGACATGGCATTCCACGCACGGAAAACTGGAAGGTGCTTAAACAGGCCCTGCTCTTGTACTTCCTCTTGACTGATTTGGAAAGCCCACTCCGGGAGCAAACCTAATGTCGTGACATGAGTTTCAGAATTAGCATAGGTGATGGCGATCCAAGGCTCTAACTGAGGAGAGTCAATCCGCCTGCATTTGACCGTTCCGGCGCTCGTCTCCTACCTCCGCGCTTTGCTGCGCCGACTTAACTCATGGAGAGGTACACGAAGAAAACTTAAAAGTTGGGAAAAGCATACTAGTGGTACAGGCTAGCGTCAATGTTGCTAAGTAGGTAGCGGAGTTGGTTGGGTGCTTTCACTTACAGATATCTCCTGAACCACACGCCAACGTTGAGAAGTTCATGGTGAAGAACTCGGAGTGCTTTTTCCGTCGTCGATATAGCCGGTCTGGACTGGGAATGGTCAAGCTTAGATGTGGGAATTTGCCCTAGTCATGGCTCGGCCCTCATCACCCGCATCCGGCTATACTAGGTAGATTTCCGGTAGTTGGAGAGGTTCGTCACCAAGTGCTCCAGGTTTCGTTTTATGAGGTATCTCTCCCCCGAATCCCGCCTCTCCAACCGACCGAGGAGACCACTGCAGCAGAGCATCCGCTTGGTCGCACGATTGAAGTCCACAAACAAGCAGAATCGCAGTCATGCTCCGGCGACTGAGCACCTTAGCACTGGCCTTTGGCCTACCGTATGATCTCGCGAATAAGGAAAATTAGATGTGGCTTGCCCAGCCAGCCCAGCGCAGCAAAAGCGAGCAAAAGACGCAGGATAGCCACATCTAGCCACACCTGCCCGTGCTCTCATTGGTGAATGTCTGACTTTGCAGGCTGGGCGTATCCACATCTAATTTTCCTTTATTCGCGAGATCATACGGTAGTCACCGCCCAGGCATGCAACAAGTCACTGCTCTGGGAAGCGAAGGATCGCTACCTTGCAACCCAGAGTACCGGCAATCTGACCTGGCTTCGGCCACTGCTGTCCGCCAACGCCACGTACCTTGAGAATGGCGAGGCCGTAGCCGACTGGGCGTCCAACAGCACGCTGACTGCCAGTCCGCTTCGCATCGATCATACCTCCAGCGTATTCGACCTGACCCAGTGTGCCTTCTTCACGGATCTGGTATCCACGAACTCGTCCATGCCTCGCGTTATTGGCGCTCAAATCTGGCTCGCCGGCGGCAAAATCACAAAGCTGGACCGCATCGTTACGTCGCCGGGTGACTGGCTCTTCAACGCAACGGGGACCCTCCACTACGCGCTGGGAGAGGATTGGGGCGAGATACCGGCCGACAAGCGCGACAGCCGGGAGACTATCAAGGCCGCAGCCGGCGCATACCTTGACGTGTTCAAAAACGCGAGCGTGGCGGTTCCTTGGGGCACGCCATGCGCCCGGCTCGAGGGTGGAGCGTACACGGGACGCGGCCTGCCGACCGACAGCTGCAACGTCGGCGTGATACAGTCGTACGACATGCCCAACAGGCGTTACGTTATTGACGAGACGGTTGGGGTGGCCAGTTTGTTGCTGGAGTTTGGGAGTATTGGGAATGCTCCGGACTGCCACAAGTTCAGGGTCGAGAGCGAGAAGCTGAGGTTCATCCACACCATGACCTACTGCGAGAAAAAGCCGAACTGCGGATATACTATGCCAGGGCCGGCTCAAAGACCTTCGGGTCGAGCCTAAGGTTCCGTGAAAGTTTGCGTAGGTGCTGTCGTTCTTATAATCTTTTGACCCAATAGTATCCGGTCTCTGGCGGTAGCGCTGTACTTGATGGGCTGATGTACTTCGTCTCTTTGAAGATGCCGGCTATGAATTGCAGCCCAGGCAGAGGCTTCAACTGTACTTATGCTCGAGAAAACCCGGCTCATACTGGGGCTAGATGGCGCGAAACGCTTGGTTAAAGAGGTTCCACGCCCAGGCATTAATTGTGATGGATGCAGGCGTACACCCACCTCCCGAGACCGGAACTCGCGCCTCGGAACGGCACAGGTGATGTATACACCACGAAACTGTACGGCTTCTGTACCAACCCGTGCAATACAACTTGAACCGTGGTTCAAGAGAAGAGCAGTACGGAGTAGCGATTGGAAAACCGTGCATAGTTTGCAGTCCCTTCGTGGCCCTGCACTTGTCGGTGATGTTTTGGGCATCTATCAACGAACGGTTTGGTCTGATGCGGCACAACCCACCTTAGACATACCTGAACTCCCGAAGCCAGAACACGTAGCTGGCCGCTGGCCTGTCAAACCTGCTTGCCCAGCAGATTGAGCACACCTATCAAGACCCATACGTAATTGCCACTGGAGGAGGGGCAAGAGATGCTTGACAAATTTGCGGACGAGGGATTGCGTTGGGAACGTCAATGGTGTCTAGAGCGGCTCGGCTGTAATCCTGATTTGTCGCAGGGGACGGAGGAAGGAAGAGAGTTTCAACGCAGTGGATTGACAGGGCTACTGAGGAGGAAGGAAAAGGAGGAAATCCAGGGCCAACGTACAGGCCAGATACAGGGGTGTGTGGCTGGCTGAGGTAAGCATTGTGGGCTTGGCAAGGGCCCACAGGACATGATCCCTTGAATCTTTGCCAAACGCAAGTTGCTCGGATTTCTCCATTGCAACAGCAAATCGAGGCGACGATTCCATTCAACAACATGACCCACAATCAATCGATCATTCCAAACCTATCCTGTCCGTCCACATGTGAGACACGGCCGTCGGCCGTGGAAGATTGGACGGCGCTCAGCGCTGCTTTGATGTGACTCTCGTGTTGCAGCTGTGGCCTGAAGTACGCGACATGTAATTACCTAGGCTTTAGGCAAGAAGATGCACGAGAGGCTTGGGGAATTGCGATGGCTGCAGGTCAAAATGTGAGCCCAAGTAAAAGTTTCTTCCTTTAGATTCAAGGTATGACTCCACCATCCTGGCTTCTCCTGATAACAAACTGGTATATCTTCTCCCTGTCGCTGCAGTCGCCACAATGCCGGAGGTATTCTATCCCGTTTGCACCTTTCCAGACGATGACGCCGGCGTTGTCGCTGGCCCTGACATGCGCGGCACCCTCGACATTGTCTGGAGCTGTCTCGCCGTCGTTATCCTTTGCATCTGGGTCGTCCTGCACGAGTTTGTACCAGCCGAGGGCGTCACCCACCATCATGACTGGAAGCAATGACGCTTTCTCGACCTCTACTTGGCAGCTCAGAAGACATGTGCCTTTGGCTGGGCTCTATTCGCTCCTGAACTGTTTACCGGAAAGGCCATGATGGGGTTATATTTTGCTCGCCATGTCCGTGATATAGTGAGGAAATCTGTGAGTGTAGAGGAGGTAGATTGGACACTACATCACGCCTTTCTGGCCAACATGGGCGGTTTCTCAATTGAGTTCGACGAGACCACCCCCCCCGGCCCCTGCTGATGCACCCAGTGTTGAAACACGGCCAGGCGAACCACTGGCAGACAAGGAGGGAGGCGTGTTTGTGAACATTGGCGCACCAAGCCCTACCGACTCATGTGCGACGCCATTCTCATTGAACCCAAGGCCTACGAATATGAGTCCCGGCCAGCTTGAAGCACAGCAACAAATCAGACTCAACACTGAACTTGATCAAGTGCCGCTCCAAACTATGAGTCTATGGCCCTGCTAACCACCGACCACAGCGACGACTGACGTTACAAGCAACTCCGATCTCCGATCCAAACTGCTCAAAATGTTCGACCGACACGACGGGAATAGATGGTTCATCTTTCAACTTCCTGCTGTCGTCCAGGGCCGCTGGAAAAAGGACCTCCAAAACATGGCCCTCATCGAGTCCGCCCTCAAGGCCACAACCACCTCCGATTTCGGCTCCCACACTCTCCAGTCATACTTCCAGAATTTAATGGTCCTCCGCGGCAACATCTGGATCGTCGACGGCATCCATCTCCAACTCGGCAACGATAACATCCACCATAGGGTGGGCAAGGATTCCGCACCGGTGATGATTGTTATTTGCGGTTTCATCGCGATGGTCTTTGGCTCGGTGCATTTTGCATCCTGGCACTCGCGTTTCCCGACGTGGGGTGAGCCAGTTGGGGTGGAGGGTTGCCTGTGTGATTCTGCTAGTCATTCCAGTGCCCATTTGTGGGTTAATGCTGTTGGACCATCATTTAGAGAGCAAGAGAAGGGAGAAAAAGCAGAAGATCCAACCGGGTACAACTTTGAAGGGAATCTCGTTTGCGCTTGAAGGGGTATATGTGCTGGCGAGATTGTTTATGATGGTGGAGGCGGGTCGTAGTTTGTATTACCAACCCAAAGAGAGTTTTGTGGCTACATGGGGGTTTATTCCACATGTTTAGAGAGGGCATCTGGTAGCCGGGGATGGCTGAACAGTAGCCTACCGACATCCTCCTTCATCTCCCATGCATACGGCACACTGGGTGACTGCCACTTCGGCGTCACACCCCTTTCCTCCTCACCATTTTCACCTCTTACAAACCTGGTTACCGGTCGCAGTATGCTCAACCTCGACCCCTCTCCAAAAGCTGTCTTGTCCCAGCTTTGAAACCAGCCGCTGTCCTCTTTCAAGTACTCCTTCATGATCTCATCCCCGTTCCACCCCTTCCAAACAGTCTGCATTAGATCCAGGACCCCATGCTCCGCCCTCATCTCCCCCCACTGAAACCTCTGCTGGCACTCTTTAACAACCTCCTCGCTATACAACCCAACCTCCTCTTCAAGCGCAAACATATTCCCCCTCACCAGCGACGCAGAAACCACCCAGCTCCCGCCCTTGACCGCCCTCTCTCTCAGACCCATCATCACCCCAACCGCCCCAACAAGGCCACAGAGCATATCACTGACGGGCAGCGCGGGGAGGACACACTCGCCCGCATCCAACCCCAGTGCGCGGCCCATGACGTGCGCGACTCCCGTGGCACAGTCAGCGACCTGCTGCCAGCCGGGGCGAGCGGCGTACGGGCTGGCCCCATGGTCGCCAAAGCAGGACTCATCTACATGAACAATCCCCCACCCGCGACGGGCCGCGACGGCGAGCACATCGTCTCGCGCGAGTCTGAAGCGCGCCAGAGCCCCCGGGCGAAACCCCTGCACAAACACGTCGGCCTGGTCCAGCAGCCTTTGCACCGCGGCCCGGTCCTCCGCCCGCCGCAGGTCCAACCCTACCGTGCGCTGCCCCGCCGTCAGCGTTAGCTGCAGCGTGTTCACGTCCGCCAGGTGCGGCGCCGACACGCGAATCACGGTCGCCCCCAGCGCAGCGAGCAGAGTGCCGAGCTGTGGCCCCGCGATTATGCGCGTCAGAGAGAGGACTTTGATACCTGAGAGGGGCCGCTGGTCGTACGTTGGGCCTGGGGAGGGGTCGCTGGTGGCTTGTTGGCGAAAGGGCGCGAACGGCACGGGAGGCAGAGGGATGGAGTGCGCAGGCTGAGGCAGGACGTCGATCAGCGGGCGCTCTGAGGCGGCGCGGCCCATGGTGCTGTTGCGCCAGGCTGCGGGCGTGAAGCAGATCGTGCCGCACTGACTGGTCATGAGGTTGGTTAGCTCGAGCTCTTCCGGGAGATACCGGCTTGTGTGTTCGGTGATGTACGCCGCGGCCTCGGCGGGAGTCTTGATATCTGGCTTGTCCGGGTCCATGCCAAAAGTGCGGAGCATGGCTGGTATGTCGAAAGAGCCGTGCAAGCAGTACCAGACGTCTGGTTTCTTCGTCCGGTAGATGCCAGTGCCGCGCTGCTTGAGCGGGGTGGAGTGCCAGCCTTGCTCCCAGTCCGGGAGGAGAGATCTGAGTTTCTTTTGCTGCGCCAGAGATGGCAGGCTCTGGCCGTCCAGGTAAACAAGGCAAGGCGTAGCGAGCCAGAGCGCTGCGTGCGTTGTGTTGACGGCTATCCTGCGGTTCTTGTTTTCGAGGCCACGGAGAGCAAAGATCTCGTCCCCCAAAACTCCCGCCATGGCATGCAAAGCCGCAGCAATTGGGACAGCCTTGATGGGGCCTGGAAGAACAGGGCTGTCGTCGCCCTCAAACCGGACCTTGGGCAGCAATGCTTCGTTTCCGGGAAAGCCTGGTGTCTGTGCCACGAGGAGGCGGAAGATCCGTTCGGCCTCTCGTGGCACCGGAACGAATGCCCGGTCCGCGTACGTTCCGGGCCCGTAGATGTCAGCGATCCTCGGCTCGTGCGCCATGGTCCATGTAATGTCCTCTTGTGCCAAGCTGGTAAGGCCCAATGCGAGGACGAGAGCGCGCAACCGCGGGGACGGCAGATTTGTAATTCCCACTGATGCTTGATGTCTGCAGTGCCGCCTGGCGCTGGAACAAACCTTGGAATAATCTGACCAGTCTTAGTTTGAGTCCAGCGGATCAACCTGAAGCCACTCAAGCCCTAGGCCGGTTGAACTTAACAGGCTGAATAAATTCTTACGGTCTGAACAACCGGAATATTTCTCAAGGGCTAAGCGCGGAGTGGGGTGTAAAGGTATTCTATCTGTCCTTCAAAACTCCGGAAAAGGGCGGGAAACTTGATCCAGCGGGGTCATAGGCCGCTTATTAGGACCGGTGCCGCATGGGACGCCGGCAGAGTTTTGTCATCCATTCGGGGCCCGACCGGCGGGGAATTACGCCGCACTGCTTCCGGGTCCGGACGATAAGAGAGCATTTGGCCATAATAGAATGGCATCATGCCGGAGCTTGTTCCCCTCTTAGCTTCCTGGTGCTAGCAGTCATGTGAAGACCGCGAGTATTCAAACGGATAGGGCATTAATGGAAGGCTGAAGGGACAATCATGGAGAGCAACCGACTGAGAAAGTAGCCCCTCGGCTACCTTCCCCCCACTTGGCCAAGTTGGGGGATGGGCACAATGAACAGAACCGGTATCATGATGAGTGCACCTGGTGCAACTAGCAACACTCTTCCTCCTAATGAATACTCTAGCGGTCCGGGAGGAGTTTCCAGATGGTCTGGTACGCATTAAAGGTTTTGGAAAGGAGTGAGAGCGTCGCAGAGGATAAGGGTTTCATCGGAAACATTCCAACTCCGTTCCATCGCGTATCATCATTGGGCAGTGGCGGAATCAGACAAACATATACCTCCGTATCGTCTTGGTGAATTGTTTAGGCATGGCTCGGCAGGCCCTAACCAAACTGTGACTGGGCTTCCAGTACGCTCGTGGGCCGTGGCTGTGGGCAGGAGATGCATCGTTGAACAACTGGCGTCTGCGATTGACCAGTAGCAGCTCCGTCGGCAGTCAACGTCATCAAGCTTCTATTATTGGGGTCCATCGTCGGCCTGACAACTGTGACAAGTCCTGCTTCGCCCCAAGATCGTCCAAGTGTGGCTCCTAAGCTGGCTGGCACCAGCCCACCACTGACCAGGGCTGTATTTCGAGAGTGATCCGACCATGCCAAGGCTTCACGGTGTCTTTCGTAGCACCATGGCATGCAGTCGGCCGTCTGGTTCCGGCCTCCGGGCTCCGGCTCGGAGCCGTTCTTGCTTACCAGACAACCTGATCCTGAAAACTGATATTGCGTATCTGTTAGTAGTAGTGCTGAACAAGCCCGAGAACCGAGGTTCCATGTGATGACACATCATATCGGTACTCCCCGAGATACATATTGTCTGGCGGCTCATACCATGACACTGTTCCATGGGAGACGAGGAGAAGAGCGGCTTTGAGGGTTTGAGACAGCGGTCGGCGTCATGGAGGTGAACACGGCAGTGCTACGGACGACCACTTATGTGCCAAGAGACTTGATCAACAAATGTAACAGCTTGGCGGAGTTGGACATTAGGTGCCAAGGTGGTCACGACGGCAGATGATGCTTGGCGCCGCCCATCACGATCAGCACCCCATGTAAGTATTCTTCTCCCAGACAGCCAAGCCGTCACGGCCGCCCCAGTCCTTATCGATGGGTAACTATCATGGGATATTCTTGTCAAATGTCTCAGCAACAGACACTTGATCGTGGCTCAGATGCTTGCCTGGCTGGTTTGCCCGAAGTATCAGTGACGTGTCGCTCCCTTTGCTTTGTAGAGGCAAAAGACTCTAATGTCTACCGACGGCTGTTGAGTGTTGACCATGTTGTACATGTACGTGTTTTGTGGAATTCAAACCGGTCGCCGGCCTCTTGGCGACGGAAGGCTTCCCGTTGAATACAACCGCGGTCACCCGCGGGTGACACTTGTCTTTGCCGCGCTAAGAGGCCGCAACGCGGCAAGAGCGAGGGACGGCCAGAGTTTCCCATCCCCGTCCCAATTTCCCGATCAGCTTGTTCAAGACCAAGAGACTGCTGCCATCCAGGAAGGTGACAAGGAGGAGGGAAGGCAGTGACACATGCCTCGGCCAAGCTGCCATAGCCGGGAACGTGCGGTATTGCTGTGCAAGAGTTCTGCAACCAGTTGCATCTCTCTGCTGCCTCCCACGTTTGCTTTCCTCCTTCAATCATTTTGTTCCAGTTGCTGTTGGCGAAGAATGCTTGGCGAGGGCGGTGACGAGGGCACTCAGGGTACTTACAGTGCTGCGCAAAATGTCTAGCGGCTTAGCGCCATGATAAGCCTTGGAGAAGAACGCACAATCGCAACAGCTGGCCTGTCGCGACTGCTGATAAAGGTGCGTTTGTCAAGTAATGAATGAATGTCAACTCGATGGCGCTGGGCCGTTGGCTGGCTGTGGCTTGGAGCCCCTGACCGCGTGGCGCACTTGCCGAATCGGGCCGGATTGTCGATGCCCAGACGATCTGCAGCGAGGATGAGCGGTTTGCCAAGCAAGCCAAGCTTCTCATCCCAACACAGCGAGGCAAGCCCAAGGACGAACGTCGGCCGTTTCGAGGAACTGATGAGTGATGAGAGCAGACAGATGAGAAGGCCGTTCTAACCTGTCACACGGAATCTTCCGACAACCCCGTTTAGCTTCAATTCGACGTCGCTCAGCCCAGGTACACTTACAGCACAGGCCTCATCCCTCCCTGAGTCCCCTGCCTCCGATGCCACTCTTGCGTCAGCAAGGCAGTACAGTAGGCACGGTCACTAACTAACGGCACTGCGACTCCGAAACCTAAACTCATTGGAAGCTATGGTAGCGGCCAAAATTGGTGCGCACCTAGCGCACATCTCGATTTGCGCTCCAATCTGATCCACATTGCTCCCGGTCGGTAAATGCTTGCCAAGAATGGTCTCCCATCAATGGTGGGGGAGATCAGATGCGATCGGTGGATACGTCGTTTGTCCCGCCCATGTAAGTGGCATAAATATCCTAACCGCTCTTTGCACATGTATAACCAGGCGGTTCGAACCCTCGACATCTCACATTGTTGTGCTTCTTTCCATTGTTATGTTTTAGCCACTCTTCTCTGTGGTGTGTGATAATCAACCACGATCAGGCCACCAGACAGTCCAGTTCCTGTCCATCGCCGATTTGCGTCATTTTATAGATCTTCCCGATCCGTATAAGCCGCCGCTTCCCCCTCACTACAGCTTCATCTGCCCCTCAATAAGCCAGGGCACTAGCTAGGCCCCTGAAAAGAGCTTCCATCACCGGCCATTTGCGTCGAACTTCTTTCATCCTCTCACCGTTCGACATGGGGTCTGCGATATCCAGGTGCACCTCTAGGAACACGGGTCCGACTCCTAGCCTGGCCGAGATAGGACAAAGGATCCTCGACAAACAACCAAACTGGCTCATCGCGCCGACGAGATGGAGATCACAAACCTGTGCACACCAGCCTGTCCGCTACCGCACACCAACACCGTATCCCAAGGACGACAGGAAACGGCTTGAAGACCCCATACACATCCATATTCCTGAAAAAGCCGTTGTCGTCGAGAGACTCGAGACTCCGGTAGTAAGCCATTTCGAACTTGCCGAACCACCTCGAAAACAAGCACCAATGCAGCACAACCCACGCATTCAGCTCCCACAACCCGCCCTCACAATAACATGGGAAGTCCACCATCGGTTAAACCGATTCGAGAGACCTGCCTAGACCAAACACTCCAAGTGAACGGTCGACAAACCTGGGGTGCAGACCTGCCAAGGGCCAAGGAAGATACTCAAACACACCAACTCACCTCACCGCACACAGACGCTGCCTGTCTCTCACACCAGGAAAGGGGACGGTTGCAGCCACACGAGACCATCATCACCACACTACAGGGAAGGGCCGAAAAACAAGCAAATGCAAGCATCCAGGCCAAGACGGACACAAGACCAGAAAGGCAGGCAGGCGGAATGCGGCCGCAGAATATCCAAGGAGGAAGGGGCATTACTGAGCACGAAGCAACCACAAGACGCGCGCCAAGCGCGGACACGCAGCAAGACGGCGAGGGGGGCACCAAGCAGAGTCTTCTCTGAGATTTTAGGCAGATTGAGTTGCACAACACAAGCGCGAAACCCGTTTCGCTCCGCTCTCTAACTCTGGCTGCTTGGCGCTTGGCGAACGGCATACAGATCACCGCGTCATATTATCCTTTGGCCTTGGCTGCATGTGCATAGAGGGAGAATGGGAGGATTCCCTGGCGACAAACGGGCCCGGGCAGATCATGAGCGAGTTATGAGGCTTCACTGAGACAACTCGCAAACTGCTACCAACCCAGCCAGGTACTTGTACATGATGCACTACAGGGTCTGAGCCGTAAGAAGTAGGTGAATTGCCAGGCACGCGGGCAGCAGTAGAACTGTTGTACATTCTCGCCTTTTCCGTCACATCTTGTCTCTCATATGTTCTCTCTTGACGGTATGCCGTCATCACACCCTTTGCTGCCTACCTTGGGTATGATACAACCATTTGGCCGTCGCCGGTTGTGACAAATCCCACAAGTCGGTCTTCTTTTTTACTTCCGTCTCCGAATATTAATGTTTCTCTTATATTCCACAGCATTTATGTCGGCACGATTCTACGGGACAGGTGGTGGGTGGGATCCTCAGTCTCTTGGGGTTTGGCAGATCGGCCGCAATGGAGCCCGATCGCAATGCATATGGCGGTTTATGACTCTGCATACCAAGACGGAAGAGGGTTGTAGTGGAGGGACGACAGAACCTCACCACTTTCGTTTGTCGGCAGAGGCGGTTGGCTTTCTCTGTGAAAAGTATCATTCTATATTTGTATATTTTAGAGTATATCATTCAACATCGTCAGGTGGAGTTTGTCACGGCCACAGGCTGTACCCACAACTCGACATTACTATTAGCATCCACGGGCTACGAGGAGTTGTAGGGAAGTATTGTACCTAAATGATCTTCATTGGACAGACGAGCGTACGTACATATATCATATAGGTAGCCACATGGGCCTCAGGAGAGGTTTGGAGTTCAAAGGCACTACAAAGTGGCACTAGTTGGGCAGAATGCCACAGCTACT